CTGCTGGCACAGGCCTGCCACCCAACGTGGCCTTGGTGGCTGCAGTAGCTCAGCGCTTGGAGCCATGCTTGCTCGTTGGCGCAGGTGCACAGTCATTAAGAGCAGGGCAGAGAGACCCACAGAGGGATGGCTTTGTTTTGCTTTGTCCCCGTGGTGGCACCAGGAGGGAGCCCCAAACGCGTTGGCCTCAGTGCCCGGGATGGAGCAGGGACAGGCTCCGGTGGACTGGCTGACTGCTGAGGGCCGTGTCTGCGGCAGGGCTGTCTGTGTGCGTGCGGGAGCCATGTGTCCGCGACCTGGAGTTGCTGACTTTATTCACGTTGTGGTCACAGAGGGCCCTTTCGCTTGGGTCCTCTACATGGCTCGCTGGGGGCAGCCTCAGGGTCCCAGAGGTGGACTTGGCCCAGGAGACTGCCCTGGCCAGCCCTGCCCAGAAAGTGACTGTTCCACATCCCTGGGGGTGACCTGTCCCCTGGGGACCTCATGGGCCTGGCCTCTCTGCTCGCCGTCTGGTGTTCCTGCTCTGGACACAGTCCCACCCCAGTAGTTGTGTGTCTGCTGGTCCTCCTTCCTGGAACCCCACTCCACACTTGCGTCACTGCCTCTTCTGCATCGTGGTGTCAACAGCACTTTCTAGAAGGCTGTCCTGTATTCCCAAATCTTGAAATCACATCCCTCATCCCTCACCTGCTCTCCTCCCAGCTGTTTCTTGTTGCGATGCTAGCACTTTGTTAACCGCGTATTCGCTCCTCTTCCAGCCATGGTCTAACACCCGTCACACGACCGAGACTTGCCGAGCGGGATGGACAGAGTGGCAGGCAAGCTGTGGGCAGGTGACGGGAATTCTCTGCCCTGCCCGTGTCCGCCGTGGGGGCTCCTCCGGGCCTGGCTGGACAGGGCTCACCTGTGTTCTGTCTGTGGGTGTTCTGTGTCTCAGGACTCTCCCAAGAGCCATGGCTCTCTGCTGTCAAGAGCCCTGCCCCCTCAGGCCCCCCAGTTTCTACAGCACGTTGGCAAGTACAGTCACAATGCTCCAGAGATTCCTTGTAGCTGGTATTTCTACAGCATCCCAGCTTCACCCCCGGGCCACCCTGCCCCTGTGTCCTCCAGGGACTCCGTGTCAGGCCTGTGGCTGGTGGGTCAGCTGACAGCCCTTGTGGTGTCACTCTGTGGGCCTGGCACCCGGGAGGTGCCCTGGTGACCCAGCCGCGAACACACTTCACAGTGGTGTTGGTTGAAAACCTGCTGGGTGGGACACAAGTTGATCCTGGGAGTGTGGCCTTACTCGGAAAAGGGCTTTGCAGGTTATCGCCTGGCTGGGGCTGGAGGTGGGGCTTTGGCCTGGGTTAGGGCAGGCTCTGGATCCTTGGAGGACACACAGGGACACAGCCCCAAGGGCTCCGAGGCACGCTGAGGGGTTCGGAGCCGCGAGCATCACCCTGCAGAGCCCTCAGAGCGAGCGTGGCTCGGCCCGTGCTTGACCTCGAACTTCTGCCTCCAGAACCTGAGGTGACCATTTCTGTTAAGCCACTCAGCCTAGGAGATTGCTGGGCAGGCGGGCAGCAGCCAGGGCCGTGGGGGCTGGTGTCCCCAGGACCCACGGATCACATGCTGGGTTCCTGCCACCACCGTAGCACTCCCACCCCGGGCGGGCTCTGTCACGCCTGCAGGTGCAGGTGCTGCTGCCTGCCCGCTCTGCCTGCAAGGCTGATTTTTAATTCCAAGGCTTTCCCACCTGCTACCAGTTCAATGTCAGTGCCCATTAGTTCCAAGGAAATTCCAAGCACGTGTGCTGCAGACAGCTCTGCTGCCTTTCCCGTCCTCAGAGCCGCGGGCTGAGGCCCCCACCCGCACATCCTCCCTTCAGCTCCTGCAGCCAGATGTGGGGATCTGTGGGCTGTGTCTGGGCTGCGTGACCTTGGCCATCCTGCAGGAACGGGGTAGGAAGGTAGAGCTGGAAGCCCTGAGAAAGCTCGGGGCTGGTTCGTGCCTCTGTTGGACGCATGCGTCCACGGAGCACCTCTCATGTGCCGGGCACAGTGGGAGGTCCCAGGATGTGGCAGTAGCAAGGCAGACAAGGGCATTGGAGCTGGCTTGGGAGCCCCCTCGCCTCGTTAGCCAGGTAACCATCCGCAGAGCCTGTCACCAGGGGATCATGTCCTCAGGTTGTGGATGGGAGCGCCCGCTGTGGGCCAGTGACAGAGACTTGGGGCCAGCCGGGCACCCTGGTGCTGCTGTTAATGACTTGGTTTTGTCCAGTGTCCCTATCACCTGGCTGTAGCAAGTCCTGACCCACACATGCAGTCTTGTCCCCGCAGGAGGCCCGGCCTTGCTGAGTCATCTTCAGGAGCACCTGCTGTTCCCGAGGCACCTCTCGGGCCCGGGGGCGAGGCGGGAGGGTCCTGGGGGCAGGTGTGTGTGCAGCCAAAGCTCGCCAGGCACCAGAGTGGTCTCGTGGTGTCTGAAGGGAGCAGCATCAGCAACTCTTGGTTTCCTGCTTCCGCCACTTCCTCTCCTTGCCGCCGTCTGGTCCTCTCATCAGACTGATGAAGGTCTCTGTCCTCTCCTGCTTGCTTCGCCCGTCACCCACCTTCTGTGGCTCCCAGCCGTATCCTGGTCCCGCCCTGCCCTTCTTCCCCACCCCATCCCCACCCCGTGGCTCCTCAGAGGGGCCTGCCCAGCCTTGTCTCTGGGTACTGACTCAGGGGTGCCCTGCTCCTGGAGAACTCCTCCCCACGAGTCTCCTGGCTGTCCCCGCCGGCTGGGGTCTATTTGGGTTTCTGGAGTCTGGCCCGGTGGCCCTCAGCTGCCTCCCGTTTTCCCCTCGTTGTTCCTCTGCCTTGCTGATGTTAAGTTGAAGCATGATTTCTTTTCCCACTCGCAATATCGTGCGGCCCCCTTGTCTATCAAGTTACCAGTCACCTCCATCACTGTCAGCCAAGCGCCGTGTCTCCCTGCCCTGGCAGCTGGGCGCCCAGTTCCTGCCCTGTGCCTGCACTCAAAGGACAGTGCCTGCCTTTGAGCTGTGTGGCGTCTCGTCCGTCTCATTATTGTCCAGGTTCACCTGCCTGCAGTGGGTGGCCGAGGCCCTCTCTCTTTAGGGCTGCGTGCCGCTCCCCTGAGCGGGAAACCCTTGTGCCGGCTGCTCCTGCTGGCGGCCCTGGGGAACAGTGTGGGTTTTGTGTTCACGTCCCTGTTTTCTGTTGTCTTTGCCCAGCAGTGAGATTGTTGGGTTAGGTGGTAATGGTGTTCAGGTCCCGAGGAGCTGCCAGTCTGTTTGCCAGGGCGTGGGAGCTCCAGGTGAACAAGGGAGGCCACATGTCCCCCCAGTCCCAGGCCAGCTCTGGAGCTGCTGGGGACCTCTTGCTGAGTGGGGTAGTCGTGGCCTCACTGTGGAGCAGGGAACCAGCCAGGCCCGGGCCTGCTCTCAGTGGCTGGGGCATGGTCCCTGCGGTGGTCCTCAGCTGCCGGGGCTGGAACAATGTGTGAGTTGGGGCTGTTGGTGGTAAGCAACATCCTGGGCAAGGGCGGGCACCTGGCCAAGCTATGTACTGCAAGCAGGCCTTGAGCTGCCTCCAGGCAGCCTGGCACTGGGACAGGCTGTGCTCACCCAGCACCCTCGAGCTGTTTTCCCTCTGGCCGGCACTGCCCTTGGGCTGGCTCCAAGCTTCCGTTCTCCTGGCCTAGGTCTCCCCTGGTCCCCAATACTGCCAGCCAAAGCCTCAGGGTTGACTCTGGTTGGCTCAGTCAGGGTCACATGCTCATCTCTGAGCCAGTCACTGGCTTTGGGGAGCAGGAAGCCGATTGGCCAGCTCCAGGTCTCGTGGCTGTCCTGAGCCCTGGGGAAGGAGATGGCTCCAGAAAGCAAAGAGGAGTGGGCACGGTTGGGGCTCTCGGCAACCATGTCTCCGATGTTTCCTCAGGACTTACTGACCGGCATGTCACCATTTGGGGAAGGGCTGCTCCCTGTTTCAGAGCAGAGGGTGCCATGTTACCTCCGCGGGTCCCCACCTTCTGCCCTGACCGCCTGGGATGCAGCCCCAGGCCTCCCTCTCTGCCAGCCAGGTCCAGGTGCTGGGCTCTGCAGCAGGGGGCGTTGCAGGGTGCAGAGGCCTTTGCACCTGGCAGGGGCTTACACCTTGCCCGGGTGGTGGCCCTGGGAGCAGAGGCCAGAGGGGATGAGAGGGGAAGGGCTGTGGGGGACCAGGGGGCCTCTATTCAGCTGGTTTCCTTGGCTCTGTCAGGGTCTTGGTTCCCCCTGCCGTAAAGATGCCACCCTGGCCTGTGAATCGCCACAGCCATGGGCAGCTCCTTGCCCTGCCAGGCGCCCCGCCGGAGCCTTCCCACGCAGCACACAGGCCCTGCTAGCTCCTGTCCTGCCCCAGCTGTTTCCCTAGGTGGCCCTCGATGTCCCAGTTACCTCCGCCTCTAGCTGGCCTCTGAGCCAACCCAGTGGCTGTTCTATCCCACACCATTGATCACGTCATCTTGCTGCTGAGGCTAACAGAGAGGCCCAGGTGGCCTGGCCCTGCCCGGGGTCACTCTGTGACCTGTACTCATGCTGATCCCGGACACCACAGCCCAGGTCACTTGTGTGTCACCTCCCCCATTGGCCATGCCTCTTGGGACTGGCCAGGCACCTGTGAGCCGGCAGGTGCTACCAGAGAACTTTGTCCTGAGACCTGGAAGGCTCTGGAGGCTGTGGAGGGAGAGTGTGTGCTCGGGGGGGCGGGCTTGGGAACCAACTGTGGGGGTCCCGCAGAGTTGGGCTTTCTGTACATGCAGGGCTTGGGGTAAGAGCCGTGTGGCCTGTGCAGCCTCTGCTGGTCTCATTGTGTTGCTCAGCTGGCTTGCCAAAGCCGCGGCCTGTCGTCCAGCTTTGTGGGTAAGCAGGTACTCATGGCGGGAGGAGGGTCCAGGCAGACCCTGCGTGCTCACCGAGGCCACAGGGGCGACCTGGGCAGCTCACCCTGATCCGAGCTTTTCTGTTCTTTCCACAGGGTCCATGCTGTGGTGGCCCAGCAGCAGATGACCAGGCCTGGTATTTAGTTCTTGCCGGCGACTGAGAGAGTTCCTCGGGGCCCAGAGCCCCCACCCTGCATCCTCATCACCATGTCAGGGTCCACGCAGCCTGTGGCACCAACCTGGAGGGCCACGGAGCCCCGCTACCCACCCCATGGCATCTCCTACCCGGTGCAGATTGCCCGGCCCCATACGGTGAGAGGGCACGTGTGTATGGGAGAGGGTGCGCATGCGCGTCTGGGCCTGTGCACCTCACCGTCTGTCTTCTGCCATAAGCCCCTTCACAATTGCTTTCTTCTCCTTGGGACCGGCTGCTATGGCTGCCGCGGCAGTCAGTTTCCGAGCTGTGTCTGTGTGAGGGTGTGTGCCTCTGGGTCCACTTTGCAGCCCATCTTGCCTTCCCTCAAGCTCCTTCATGATTGGTTCCTTCTCCTTGGGCCGAGGCTGCCATGGTAGTCTGTTTCCAAGGGGTGTGTGTGTGTGTTGGGGGTGGCCAGGCCCACCTTGCAGCCCTGCTTCCCTTCCCTCAAGCTCCTTCGTCATTGGTTCTTCTTGGGATCAGGCTGCCTTGGCTCTGTGGCTGTCTGTGTTGGAGGCGCAGGAGGAGCCTCACCCGAGGCCCCCCGGCATCCCAGGGCCTTTCCCAGGCCAGGAGCACATGGGGGGGTGGCTTTGTTCTCCTTGTTTTCCAGACTAGGGCCTGCTCTTTCTTGAGGTGGTAGAGTTCCTGCTGTGGCTCCGTGGGCCCCTGGGCTATAGGACAGTGGTGGCTTCCTGGGAGCCTCATCCGCTTGCTCTTGCTCTGGGATGTTGGCAGTCCCCAGGCCCAGGGGGCTGCCCCGGGTCAGGGGGGAGGCACTGGTGCCTGGGGCTCCTCATGGGTGTCCTTCTCAGTCCCTGAGTGGGGGCTGTGCTGTCCCCTCCCCGCTGTGGTGTGACTGGGAGGGCAGCCTCCAGGTCACTGTGCTGGCATCTGTTGAGGTCCAGCTGTTTACTGTGTCCCTGGGTGCTTGCCAGCAGGCTGTGGGTCCTGGAGCTCCTGCACTTGAACTCTTGGCTACACAGGAAGGGAATGTAAGTTCTGGTTTACAGCTGAGGCAGATGCGGGTCCTGCACCTCTGTGTACACGTGTGTCTGTACACGTGTTCATGAGTTTGTGTGTGTGTGTGTGTGTGTGTGTGTGCGTGTGTCCTGGGAAGGCCTTTCCTCGTGTGTGTGTGTGTGTGTGTGTGTGTGTGTGTGTGTGTGTGTCCCCGTCCTGGGAAGGCCTTTCCTCGTGTGTGTGTGTGTGTGTGCGCGCGCGCATGTGTTTTCGTTGTGGGAAAGCCTTTACTTGTGTGTGCGCACACGAGTGTCTCGGCTCAGCCGTGTGGCCGGTGAGACACCTGAAGGAAGCAGTGTGGGAGGGTCCCTCCAGCACTGAGCAAGTATTCTGCAGGTGAATTCCCTGCCCAGTCCAGGGACATCCGGGCACAGTGGCCTCCTCGGGTGGGGTTCCAGGACGCTCTTCTGAGGCTGTTGCAGCAAATGCAGGTGCCGAGGGTACCCCAGATAGAGCAGTGGAGCCCCACGGTAACCCCCCTTGACAGGGTAGCTTCCGTGGAGGCCTGGAGCTCTCATCACAGCCGAGGGTATCTTCTGCTGACCTCCTTGTCCTCATGCCCACGTGCCCAAGGCCAAGGACTGTGCCCTGGTGGGATTAACTCTGTGGTCTTGTGGGTTCCTTACCAGCTCTGTGGTTATGCTGACTACAGTGGGAGCAGGAAGGGGAGTGCCTGTCATGGAACAGGTGCTACAGGGCCAGAGCTGCCCACTGAGGAAGCAGGACAAAGTGTTTGGCTCCTCTGCGCCTCAGTTGTGCTATCTGTAATGTGGGGCAGCAAAGGTACCCCTCCCCAGATTCTCCATGTCCTCCTGAGGGTTGCTGACCCACACTGGCCCTTGCCAGCCTCTGGCCCAGAAGGGGTCCTGCCCCAAGCCTTCCCCTCTCCTCTCCTACTCTTCTCACGCCCCTTCCCCCGGTCCAGCTTGGCCTTACCCCTGGTGTGGGAGGTTGCCAACTACCCAGGAACACCAGGCTGCTTCAGTAGGTCTGTCAGTGACGCAAAACGCAGAGGCCAGGACCCAGCGGCCATTGCCCCCTGCAGGCCAGGGGCTGAGGTCAGGGGAACTGGGGAGGCTGCAGACTGGAGCTCCTGTGCTTGCCTGGACCTTCGCTTGGGCAGCTGGGACCTGGGGAGGAGCTTGTGCACTGTTGGTTGTGCTGGGGCTGGGGGAGGCCGGTGCTGGGGCTGGGGGAGGCCGGTGCTGGGCTCTGTTAGCAGCAGGGTGCCTGGCCAGCACTCCCCACTGATATCTTCCCACTGGCCCATCTGATGAGCGGAGAGCAGATTGCAAGAGTCTCCCTTCATGTGGGGCTTCAGCCGTGGCCTTGGGGAGACCAGGAGGCAGCAAGACGGGCACTACCTCTGGGGGTAGGGCTCCTGGCCGTGGGCCTATGTCCTGGCTCCTAGTCTGAGCTGCCAGGATTGGGGCCCCTGGGCTGGGAAGCCTGGATGATATTCCATATGACTCCGAATGCCCGTTGTCCCCACCTTGCCGGGTGGCTCTGGGCTCTCCCGCCACCTGGTGGAGTGGCCTCCACTTTCCCTTCTGCAGGAGTGGGCGGGGGAGGTGTTTGCAGTGCTGGGGTGGGTCTAACAGTAAATATGTGAGGATCGTTCCTGCCTTCCTGGCAGGGTGGGCCTCTGCACTCTGAGTGGGCAGCGGGTTGTAGACTTGGGGAGCCCAGGGCCCTGACCGAGCTGCACCACGCTGTCGTTTTCTGACATGGGTGCCATGTGTGGCACTCCTGGGGACCTAACTTCTCCTCTGGGGTTGAGCATCTACTACCAGAAGGCAGGAAGTTGATCTAGCCAAAGGGCCACATCCCCTTTTCCTGCCCCTGTTCTGGGCGCTCTGTGGCCTAGCTCAGTTCTGCCATCTCCCCCGAGTTCTCCTGGTCCTCCTGGCCTCTGCTGGGTTCCTGCAGGCCCTGGCCTGAGTGAACCCACTTAGAAACAAACATGAGACCAGATGCCAGCACTGGGCAGACTGCCCTGTGCTTCCGTATCCCTGGCAGCATAGGCAGCGGGGGTGGTTACAAGACTGGACTCGGCTGGCCATGGGTCGGCTTGGTATGGAGCTGGGGCGTGTTTTCCTGTGCGGCTCCAAGGGTGGGATCTGGACTCTGCTTGCAGGAGGGGTGACAGGCTTCACCTGGGACGCTTCAAAGTGCGCCACAGCCTTCGTAGCACAGAAGCAACACAGACAGTACCTAACGGAGCGGGCGTGACTGCGTGCCCATTGCACCGGATGCTGGACCACACCTAGCTTTGGCCTTGGGCCTGATTTTGCTGACTCTTGCCCTGAACAAGTGCTTATCAGGCACTCTGTGGAGGGATCAGCCTGCTCCATTTCCAGTTTGAACCGAGAGGAGAGTCTGCCGTAACCCCTCAGGGATGGGGCCCAGTTGAGCCCCGTAGGACTATGTCTGGGCAGTGCACAGGGACGCCGCAGGCAGGCACAGCTGCCAAGGCTTCTGCATCCACGTCGTTGGGGCCGGCAATGTCAAGGGCCTTCCCTGCGGTCAGCGCTACCTGGGCCTGGCGTGGGCAGGCACACACACGCGGCAGCCAGGGCAGGAGGCTGAGGGGTTGGAGCGTGAAGGTCTCCGGCCCCTTCTGCAGCCCAGGACTAGGCCGAGCCTTTGAGGGAGGGTGGGGAGCCATGGTTTGGGAATCCTTACGTGGGGAGACTCACTCATTCGTTCATTGAGCATCTCAAGTCCTCTTCTGGTCAACCTGTTCTTATGTGAGAGCAATGGGCAGGGGATGGGGCAGAGTCAGGGAGCGGGCCTCATGGAGGAGGCTGCGGGGGTGGGCAGGCACAGGGCCATGTGGCTGAGGCAGGTTGCAGGCTGTGGGCTTGGCATGTGCCAAGGCCCTGAGGTGGACTCGCCCTTGGCAGTAGCCCTGTCACTCCAGCAGGACCGTTGGGTCCAGGCACTGGGAAGAACTGGGCTTTCTCTTCACATCCATATGGAACCCCATAGGCTTCTTGCAGACGCTGTGGGGTGAGCACCCTCTCAGGCCAACCACAGAGAACACCTTCCTTCCAGAATCCAGAGCCCACTGCCCTGGCCCCTTGGGACCTGGCCTGGTTGTACCCACGGGCTTTGCTTCAGGGAGAGTGGCTTGGCCGCAGGGTGCTGTCCTAAGAATTTGGAAGGTGGAGCTGGCCACAGCTGGGGGCCATGCCTCCTGGGCATGCACAGCCCTCCTGAGCAGCGGCCAGGCTGGGCCTCAGCTCTGCCCAGGCAGGGGTTGCCTCTGACCTGTGCACTGCAGGAGGCTGCTTCGCCTCCACCAGGTGTCTCAGAAACAGCCCCTCCCCACTGTGTGTCTGTGCCCTGCCTCCCTCCTCGCGTCCTTGCTGGGGTTACCATGGTAGCCGCCTCATGGGCAGCCTTCAGCTGCAGGTGCACGCAGTAGGTGGTTTACAGATACCGGCTGTCACCACTGCTGCTGTGCTTGTTGCTGCTTGCTCCTGTCACCTGGAGGTTCCAGCTTGGTTGAGTCCAGCTTCCTGGGGCACGTGAGTTCTTCTGTCGCCAGTTGCTGCCCCACTGCACTGCTGGGGAGTGCCCCTGGACTGGAGACGGGTTGGCATCACCACAGATACCCTGTGCCCCGGTGGTCCTCGGGCCGGCCCTGGCCTGGGTCGCTGAGGGGTGGGCCCTGGCCTGGGTTGCTGAGGCCCTGGCCACAGTGCTGTGTGCACCTGGTGCCTCTCCCTGCCCGTCTTGCTGAGAAGTGGCCTGTCTGTCTCGACACTTCTTTGCTCATTTTGTTTTTGCGTGCAGAGAGAGGCCTCCTGGCAGCCTGTGGGGCCTGCTGACTCCCTACCACACCTCTGTGTGTGTGCAACTGCCCGCTCACAGCCTCCTCCGCTCCCTGCCTCACCCTGCCACTGCTTCCTTCTCCCACGTGAGCACCTGCTGTCTGGTGCAGGACACCAGCACGGGGAGGCGGCCTAGCCTCAGGGAAGGGAGGGGAGGGGAGGGGAGCTCCTGCCCCTTACTCCTTGTTCCCTCCATGCCACCCCAGCCCCTGCCCATCTGGCCTCCTGAGGCTCCCTCCCTCAGGTTTTGCAGCCCCTGGGCTCTCAGCCACTCCCATTTTTTTCTGTATATATATATTTTTCCATTGTGTAGGATCTGAAACAAGTACATTCTCAACACAGCTACCCAGGATCTCTGACTCTTTTGTTGGCAGAAATAACCACTTTAAAATGAAAACCTAGAGAACAAAAGAATGGCTTGAGCTAGGTGGAAAATTGTGACAATAATCAACAGGTGCCAGAAGACACAAAGTCACCTGTGGTCGCGGTGTGTCTGACGCCACACCTGTTCAGACATCACTAATTGATTGCCACTCACTATGTGAGCATTCTAAGCAGACTGGACTGACTTCAGTGCGTGGCTTCTTTGTTTAAAACATGGTCTCTGTGGTGGCTGCAGTGCCTGTCATGTGTCACTGTTCAGCTGTCAGGGTGGTGGGCGATACATTCAGAGAAAATGATCCTGCCCCCGTTCAGCAGTGTGGAGGACACTTCATTCAGGGCTGTTGCTGCTGCCCGGGGTGGAGCCTGGCTGGGACAGAGGCCAGCAGAGAGGTCAGGGTGGGGACCTCTCTATCTGACTCCACCCAGAGCCCTTCTGGGAGGCGGCCAGGCGGGATCTCCCAGCGCCTCTGACCACAAGGCTTGCGCCAGCCCCTGGATGGGACTGGGGCTTCTGTGTCAGTGTGTTGTTTGCACTGTGGTCTCCTGCCCATAAGCCGCTTTGTCTGCTCCCCCTGGGCCTGCGGCACTTGCGAAGCCGCCTTGCTCACTATCCTCCACCCCCCCTCCTCCCTGTGTGTGCCCGCGTGTGCCCATTCTGTAATGGTGTGTGCGATCCTGACGGGGCTGTGTTTCCCAGGCAGTGGCAGGTGGCAGGGTAGGCCAGGTGGGGGGACAGGGTTCTGTCCTGATCTCTCTCATGCCAGCATTCCTGCCAGACATGTGCAGTGAACTAGCCCATGACCTTGGAGGGGCTGCTGGGCCTCTCCAGGCTCGGCTATGTTATCTGCGGCTCCTAGGGAGGCCATGTGTGGGACTCAGCAGGTGTCGTCTTACTGGGGAGTGGCCCCAGCACTGCCCTCTGAACGGTCTGGGTCTGGGAGGCCTGTGGAATGTGAGGGGATGTATGCTGGGCAGCAGGCTCTGGGCGGAGCCTCTCCAAGCTTGTCGCTGTGCAGTGGACTCAGCCCCACCCCCTGCACCTAGCACCGTTCCCACACTCATTGGTGCTTGTGCCCACCTGCAGGATGTTGGGCTGCTTGAGTACCAGCACCACCCGCGGGACTACGCCTCACACCTGTCCCCTGGCTCCATCATCCAGCCCCAGAGAAGGAGGCCCTCCCTGCTCTCCGAATTCCAGCCTGGAAATGAACGGTGAGGACGGACGGCTGTGTGCCGTCTTCGGACCACGAGGGACTCGCAGGGTTTGCTCTGCCCCTGGATTGTGACTCAGGACCAGGAGGGGGTCATATAGGGGAGAGCTGTGGCCCAGACAGGATGGGGTGGGAGCAGGTGCAGATCCTGGCTAGGAGTGATGTAGAACCCCTCCCCTCCCACCCACTGCCCCCTCCTTCTCCAGCTGCAGTCAAGGCCTTCAGCCTGGGCCAGGCTGGGCTGGCCTTGCTTTCCTCAAGTCCAGTGGAAGGTTCAAGCAAGTTAGCTAGGTGTGGCTCCCAGGAAGGGGAGGGCCCAAGGCGGCATTCACTTCTTGAGCCAACTGGTCTCATTCTTTCTCTTTTTCTTCTCCAAGAGCCATTAGAGAGGGGTGGGGGTGGGAATGGTGCCTATTTCCTGGAAGGGGACAGCTGAGGCCGAGGTCAAAGCAGGAAGGGAACTCTCACCCCCAGGATCAGCCCCAAATCCATTAAAGTGGAAGTGCCACACACTGGTGGAAGTGTCCCAGGGCCTGCAGGCAGCTCACCACCAGACCCCACGCCACAGGTCCCCCAGGAACGGGGAGGGACTGGAGGACTCAGGGGTGGGTGCCAGGTGCAGGAGGCACCGGGACTGTGCTCTGCAGCCTGTGGTGGTTTCCTGGGGCTGCTGGTGCCAGTATCGCAGTCAAAGATACCATCCTTCAGCTCTTGGGGCCAGGAGTCTATTGCCTGGGCTCTGCTGCCCACTGAGGCTACTGGGGAGGCTGCCCTGCCTCCATGGCCATCCCTGTGTTTGCTGCTGCCCTGCCCTGCCCCTGTGCCCACCCCGTGCCTGCCCCTGCCCTGCCCCTGTGCCTGCCCCTGTCCCTGCCCTGCCCCTGTGGCCACCCCGTGCCTGCCCACGTGCCTGCCCTGCCCCTGTGCCCACCCCTGTGCCTGTCCCTGCCCTGCCCTGTGCCCCCCTGTGCCTGCCCCTGTCCCTGCCCTGCCCCTGTACCTGTCCCTGCCCTGCCCTTGTGCCCACCCGTGCCTGTCCCTGCCCTGCCTTGTGCCCCCCTTGCCTGCCCCTGTGCCCGCCCCTGTGCCTGCCCTTGCCTTGCCTCTGCCCCGTCTTCACCTTGCTCCTGCCCCTGCCAGCTCCGGGGCTGCACCCCTGCAGCCATGTCCCAGGTGGCGTCTCCTCTGCTGCTGCTCATGTGGCATCCCCTGCTCTTGTGGGGACAGCAGTTGTGGGGTTCAGCATCACCCAGTGACCTCAACTTAGTTCAGTCCCATTGGCAAGGTGCTGACTAGGTTCTGGGGATACCATTCAGCCCAGTATTATGCACTTCTTGTGTCAAAATGCAAAGCCTCAGGCTTGAGGCCATGCTCTGGTGGTGGCGAAGGCCTTCGTTCTTGGCTGGCAGCAGGGATGTTGGGGACCCAGCTGGGGTTGTCAAGGACTTGCAGCAGGGCCTCCAGAGGCAAGTACACAAGGACAGCACAGCTCTAGCCTCGCTGTGGTTGGTACCGCCCAGCTAGTCTGCATGTGCTGACTGACTAGCTGCCATGTACCTAGGAGACAGCCGTGAGTAAGGCGAGCAGATGGCCCTGTCCTAGGGCAGCAGGCATGCTGGCGTGGGGCAGAAAGTGGCTGACGTCTCGGGCAGAACTGCAGTGGGCAAGGGAAGCAGGGGCCCCATGAGGCAGGCCTGCAGCTCTAAGGTCAGGGGTGCACTTCTGGTTGGCTGTCAGTTAGCAAGGAGGGCACCTGCTGGAGAAGCACCTGGGCAAGGGCAGCATTGGCAGTGGGGGGTGCAGGCTGCACAGGCCATGCCATCTCTGGGCCAGCTACCTGGGAGTGCAAGCAGCACAGGCCATGCCCTCTCTGCCCTGGTAATCTGGGGGTACACAGAGCCTTTTCCTGAGGGTCAGACTAGCAGCTCCTGTCTGCATGGGGGAGTCGAGTCAAGTCGAGTGCTGCCTGCTGCTGGGTGATCAGGAAGTGGGCCACATGTGCCTTTCCGGCTGGACTGTGTCTGGGACCAGCCCAGGCGGTGTCTGAGTCCTGTCCAAGGGCTTGAGATGCTGACCTTCCCAGGAGCCCGATGGACAGGGCCGCCGTCTCCTCCAGCGGCCTCGCTGAGCATCCCCTTCCCATTGGCATCCTCAGAGAACATCCCTGGGTGCAGGCAGACGCGAGAGTTGCAGGGAGCAGGCTGTGTGGGCTGCCCTGGTTGGGGTGGCTGAACCTGGGGCTCCCGAACCTCGCTCCTCCATGCAGTGCCACCTGCTTCTGCCTCCCCAGGTCCCAGGAGCTTCACCTGCGGCCCGAGTCGCACGCATACCTGCCTGAGCTGGGCAAGTCGGAGCTGGAGTTCATAGAGAGCAAGCGGCCTCGCCTGGAGCTGCTGCCTGAGCCCCTGCTGCGGCCCTCGGCTCTGCTGGCCACAGGGCAGCCTGGCGCCTCCGAGGACCTCACCAAGGTAAGGCATGGCCCCACTGTGCAGGGGAGAGGGGCGAGGCTGATGGGAGGCTGACTGGGGGCTGGGGGCCTCCCTTTTTAGGTGACAGAGGCTGGGACAGATGGGGAAGGAGGTTCCAGGGCAGGAGTCCTAAGTGCAAAGGGCTTGAGGCAGGGCCCTGCGGGAGGACACGGGGTCCTGGGATGAGCTGGGTGGCATGCTGACACAGGTGCCAGGCAGAGCACCTGGCCAGGTGCTTCACACTTCAGAGGTGCTTGGTCCACCAGCCTGTGTGGCTGTTGTTATGGAGATAGCAATGTGGGCCCTGGGGCAGGATGGGGCTGGCAGGGCCGCACCTCCGCTCCTCCCCTGCTGGGCTCACAGCTGTGTCTGCTGTGCCCGCAGGGCTGTCATTGGGCCAGTGCTGAACAAGCCTGCATGGCCAGTGGTTATCATCAGGGTCTGTGGGAAACTGTTAGAGCTGTGGAGGTGGCCTGCAGGGCCGTGTGCTCCAGTTCCATCAGCCCCAACCTCACCCTCCCCTCCTCTCTGCCGAGCCCACCCAGCCCTGGCCCCTACAAGGCTGTTCTTGGTTCCTTGCACTGAGCCTCTGGCCTGGGGTCCCCTTGGCCAGGGGCACCCTTGACCAGGACTCCCTGCCCCTCAGTGAGGTGCCTTCGTTCCCTGCTCCTTTTCATGGAAGCTCTGGGGCCAGCTCTGCAGGGCTCCCCCAGGGTCATGGCTGAGCTAGCCACATTTGTTGGGGGCGGGGGTGGCGGGGATCACTGTGGCTGCAGCTTGGGTTGTCCATGATGGCGTCCAGGCCTTGGTGCTGGTACCAGGTCCGCTGAGTTGGGGGCCTTGTCTGTTGGGACCTCACCTTCCTGCTGCCCACCCCCAGCAGGTATCCCTCACGAGCCTCCCAGCCCCACGCAGTCTGTGGCCTCCACTGCGGTGGAGGGCAGCAGTGCACTCCAGCCCAGCCTCCTGAGAGGATGTCTGTGGGCAGTTGCAGGTCGGACCTGGCCTCGAAGGGTTTCTACCCGACCCGCAGCCACATGGGTGGTGGTGGTCGCCCAAGTGCTGTGTGTCCCTGTCCCTAGCATAGGCTGAGATGTGCTCTGGCCAGCCCCGTCAGGCCTCTGCCTGGGCTCTGGCCGTCTGCTCCAGCCTCCGTGGCGAGGCCAAGCCCCGGGCCTGCAGGGTGGGACCCTCCCTGTGGTGCTATGGGACTGCCCAGCTCTAACTGCCTTTCTGTGTCCCTCCTTTAGGCTCTGGCCTTGTCTCTCTGCCCGTTCCCGGGCCTGCAGGGTGGGGGTGGGACCTGGCTTGGCCGCTGCTGCTGTAATTGCTGTAACTGTTGAAGCTATTGGAAAGTCTGAGCCAGTGCTGGGCAGGGAGGCAGCCTGGGAGGACCCTGCCGTGTGGGCCAAGGTCTGCGTGGGCCATGTGCAAGCTGAGTCTGTGTGGGCCATGTCCAGGCCAAGATCTGTGTGGGCTGTGTGCGGGTCGAGGTCTGTATGGGCTGTGTGTAGACAGGTCTGCGTGGGCTGTGTGTGGGCTGAAGTCTGTGCAAGCTGAGGACAGCATGGGTTGTGTGTGGGCCGAGGTCTGTGTGGGCCATGTGTGGACCAATGTCTCTGTGGGCCCAGGTCAGCATGGGCCTTGTGTGGACTGATGCCCATGTGGCCTGAGATCAGCATGGGCTGTGTGAAGGCTGAGGACAGCATGGGCTGTGCGGGATTCAGCCCCACATGGCTGGGTCGGTTGGCTGCTCACCCTCAGGCCAGCTCTGCTCCTTTCTCTATGGAAATGCCTGTCTCTGGGGTGTGTGGTGGCAGAGGCTTCCTGTAGATGCACCCCACTCTAGTTGAGGGGTCCCCTGAGCCACTGGCTGAGAGTAGCATACATCCCCGTCAGACTGGCTGGCCTAAGTGAATTCCAGGGTTGAGGGGGCTTCAGGCATACGTTGATTTAGCTCACACGATGCACCCAGACAAAGCAGAGCTCCCTGCTCCTCCCCACAGTCCACCCAGCGCCCATTGGCCTTCCTGGAACCTGCCAGTGTGGTGGGGCCAGATGGTGGGCGCCTGGGGGCAGGGACAGCCTGGGGGGTGCAGACTCTAGTCCCTAGGGCTTTTGTTTTGTATAATAAGCTTTGCTGTGCAGGGCTGGTTCCCACCAGCAGCAGGGGGGCCACTGGTGGAGAATGGTGCCAGCTGCTTGCTCGCTGGCAGTTGGCAGGGTGGGGGCGGGGCAACTGTTTGCCTCCCACGGGCCTGGGCTCCTTGGAGGCCACAGTGCTGGCACAGCTGCCCGCAGGCCTGCTGGCCGACTCCCTGCCATCCGGCCGTGCCTCTTCCTGGGAACTGAGGCGAGCAGCACGTACAATGAGTTTTTAAAAATGCAGCATTCCCAGGAGCTCCGTGTTGTTGTTTGTTTATTTTAATTTTATTTGGAAGGCTGGGAGAAAGAGATCTCCTAACCCTTGGCTCACTCCCCAAATGCCTGTGGTGGCCCGGCACGACCAGGCTGAGGCCAGAGCCAGGACTCCATCTGCAGCTGCCATGCGGGTGGCAGGGGCCCAAGCCCTTGGCTCACCTGTTGCCTGCCAGGCTGCATGGGCAGGAAGCTGGGTTGGAAGCAGGGGAGCCAGGACTCAAGCAGGATGTTGGGGTTCCAAGTGGCCGCTTAAGGTTTGTGCCAAGCGTTCACCCCAGCATGGCACTAAGAACCCCGCAAGAGTGGGACCGTTGAATAACGCCTAGGATGTTCAGTGTTCCCATCCAGCCCAAGTCTCTCATCGTGTGGTCGGGCTTCCATCACTGCCCTTCTGTGTCTACATCTGTAAGGTGGGCGGGCAGAGTTAGCTCTGAGTGGCAGGAGTCAGGAGCCAGGGGCCCGCGAGCTCCAGGGCTGGCCCTCTGCTGCCTTGGCACAGGGCAAGGCCCGCTCGCTGTGGATGGCCGCTCGCCTGGCCCTCAGGGCCTGCACTGCTTTGATGTCTCTTGGCTCACAGGGCTGACTGCTGACTTTACCCGTTCCGGTTGTTTCCTCACCCAGCTGGGGCTGGGTGGCTAGCAGAGCTGCCATGGCAACCTGTGCTTGGGTGTGCTGTGGCCTGGAGCGGCTGGGCTTTGCTGCCCACAGCTGCTCTGTGGACCACAGTGGCCCTCCACCGTGGTGGAGGCAGCTTGAGGAAGGAGTCGGGGGACTTTGCTGCATTTCCTTCTTGGCTTCTGGGTGTAAGCAGGCAGATCTCGCAGGGAGCCCCCACGTTTTCCTGGGTGACCTCCGGGACTCTGAGCGCTTAGTTGGTATCTTAGGGTGGGGGCCTGAGGCTTCTGCTAGCTGTCCTGGGTGTGCTGCACCAAGTGCCCCGTGCAGCTGCTGTGGGGGCCTCGCGGGCTAAGGCTGGCATAGGGCACCTTGTGGGTCCTGCAGGACCCCAGCCGGGTTCACAGCAGCCTGGGTGGCCTGTGGCACAGACAAGGAAATGGAGGCAGAGTGGTCGGGCTCCGGAGCTGCAGGGTGCAGAGCCGGCTGGGCCCGGCGAGCACTCGGCCCACGTGGGGCATGAGATAAGCAAACCCCGGAAGAACTGAGCTCCAGCTCCCACGTGCCGCGGGTGGCAGACGCATGTCTGAAAGCGGCACTATCCCACGGAGAGCAGCCCTTGGGGAAGGACAGGCAGGATGGCAGCTGGGAAATGAAAAGAGTAGGAAGAAGTCCCCTACCACCCTCCTCTGATCCCTCTGCGCGTGTGTGAACATACCGGGCATGCGTGACGGCCCCGGGCCAGCCTGCTGTGGGTCAGGCTGTGTATCCCTGTGCACGGACAGACAGATGGATTCAGCAAGCACCACTAAGAGTGTCGGGGAAGGCTATGTGGGGATCATGTACTCAGACCTGAAGTCTGGGCTGGAAATTGGGGGTGCCCGGGCCCTGACGTCACTCCTGTCTGCCTCCTCTACCAGGATCGCAGTCTGACGGGCAAGCTGGAGCCGGTGTCCCCGCCCAGCCCGCCGCACGCGGACTCTGAGCTGGAGCTTGTGCCTCCACGGCTGTCCAAGGAGGAGCTGATCCAGAACATGGATCGTGTTGACCGTGAGATCACCATGGTGGAGCAGCAGATCTCCAAGCTGAAAAAGAAGCAGGTGCGGATGGCGGGGTGGCCCTGGGAGGCCACGGGGTGCTCCTGGGAGCCTGCGGGGGTGGCCCTGGGAGGCCACGGGGTGATCCTGGGAGCCTGCGGGGGTGGCCCTGGGAGGCTGCAGGGTGGCTCTCAGAGCCTGAGGGGTGGCCCTGGGAGCCTGTGGGGTGGCCCTCAGAGCCTGAGGGGTGGCCCTGGTAGGCTGTGGGGTGGTCCTTGGAGCCTGTGGGGTGGCCCTCGGAGCCTGAGGGGTGGCCCTTGGAGCCTGTGGGATGGCCCTGGGAGCCTGCGGGAAGGCCCTGGGAGCTGTGGGGTGGCCCTGGGAGCCTGCGGGAAGGCCCTGGGAGCTGTGGCGGATGGCCAGGAGCAGGAACGTGGGCAGTCAGGAGACGGAGCACTCATGGGAAGAGCCAAGCAGCAGGATGCGGTGTGGTGATTGCTAGACCAGCAGCCTGAGTGCCTGCCGCCTGTGTGTGTTGCACAAGCCCCTTGGGCAGGCCAGCCCTCTGTGGTTGTTTTTAGCTGCAGCATTGCCATGCTCAGCTGTGCCATTCCTGAGACCCTGAGCTGAGCTGTTGCTTTACCAGAGGGAGGGTGAGGCTGTAGGGCTGGGCTGGGTAGGTCCAGTCCTGAGGTCACCGCTTTCTGGCAGGTGAGTCAGCAGTCACTGCCCACCCCCGTGATGGAGTGGGGGCAGGATAGATGTGGCACTTGGGCTCCCTTGTCTGGGTGAGTGGCACAGGCAAGAAGGCCACCCAGCCCAGGATCCTGCGTGCTCACAGTCCCTGTTGGCGTCACAGCAGGCCACGGGAAGGAGACAAACATCAACTCTCACGCTGCCCCTTTCGCAGCATTAGCTCAAGTGGTGTTTGATGTCCTTGTCTTTGTCACCCACTGTCCCGGCTCCTCTGCCGAGATGTCCCCTTCACCAGAGCCCCCGAGAGGCAGCCAGTCTAGCCCAGTCTGGCTTGCTGCTGCTTTTTTTTTTTTTAAAGATTTATTTACTTTATTATAAAGTCAAATATACAGAGAGGAGGAGAGACAGAGAGGAAGATCTTCCATCTGCTGGTTCACTCTCCAAGCGGCTGCAACGGCTGGAGCTGAGCCCATCTGGAGTCAGGAGCTTCTTCGGGGTCTGCTGTGCGGGTGCAGGGTCCCAAGGCTTTGGGCCGTCCTCGACTGCTTTCCCAGGCCACAAGCAGGGAGCTGGATGGGAAGTGGAGCAGCCAGAATTAGAACTTGTGCCCAAATAGGACTTTAACCGCTGCGCTATCGTGCCAGCTCGCTACTGCTTTTTATAAATAAAATTTTATTGGCACACAGCCATGCCCTGTTGTGCCCATGGCACCCGTGGCTGCTTCTGTGCCACAGAGCTTGCAGCAGAAATGAGTCTGCCAACCCCTGGTTGGTGACATCGTTAACCAGGCCCCTGGGGCTGGTAGGTGGGTGTCTTGTCAGGAATCTGACGGGGAGGCTGGCCCTGGTTGGGCTGGAGCAGGTGTTGCCCTGGTCAGCAGGGCATGGAGATGGGCGCCTGCGGCGTCGAGGCTGGGCTTTTGTCTTGGTGTTTTCCTCAATTCTGCTTTGACCTTAACATAAAATTCACCAATGTAACCCTTTTCGGGCACACAGCTCAGTGGCATGGTGGGTGCGCCCACCGTGTAAATGCCCCCCAAGACTCACATCTGCCCCAAGGGGCGCCCCCCAGCCCGGGCAGCAGGCTTCACCTGTTCCCCCAGCCCCCACGCTGCTTCCCACCTGTGTCCCGGACATTCCGTGCCCCCAGAAACCTGCACTGTGTGACCCCCAGCCTCTCGTACCCCCCTCTCGTACCCCCCCTCTCGTACCCCCCTCCTCGTACCCCCCAGCCTGCTGCGGCCCAGCTCAGAGCTTTGCTCCAGACTACGGCAGAATCAACTTCCCGACAGCTGGGGAACAGCTGGGGAGGGACGCTGGTTCTCCCAGGTGCCTGCAGAGGACACTGGGGGTCAGAGGGGCTGACAGAGCTGTTCACCCTCTGCACTGTGGCTCTGCACGTCTCAGGGGGGCCGTCTTGCAGCCTGAGAGACTCTCTCTTGCACCCACCCCACCCAGCTGGGTGCCTGCCCCTTCCGGCTCTATCCTTCAGTGCTTGGCTTCATTTGACACTTGTGGAGGACATCTGGAAGCCACCCCTAGTGGGCGCTGTTGGACTGAGGCAGTTCTGCTCCAGCCCGGGCCCTGATGCCTCTCAGGCCGTGACAGCCCATGCCACTTGCAGGCTGTGTGGGCATGGTGAGCCTGGCAGGCCGGGTATCCACCGCCTGTGGTCTTGGAGCTGGTATCAGGAACTCTCTCTGTTCTTTACTTTTCGGAAAGAATACGGACAGCAGCAGGAAGGTTGTCTTGCCAGAGGTGATGGGGGTGGACGGACAATGCTTATGCCAGTGGCAGCTCAGGGGGAGCTGGTGAGGATGAGGAGTGATCCTGCCAGGTGCCAGGGACACCACTTCATCTGGTGCTCGCCCCCATCTCCAGGGCAGAAACTGTCCTGGTCCCATTTTCTGGGTGAGGAAGTTGAGGCTCTGAGATAGCTAGGAAATGCCCAGTACCACCCCGCAAATCCGCAGCAGACATGGCCTGCTCTGGTGCCGCCAGTTCAGCAGGAGTCATGGCGGATGATTCTAGCTGTGATGGCTGGAGGCTGCAGCAAGGGGTGGGGGTCCCCTGCACGGCCCGAGTCCTCGAGTGACTCAGAGGAAACGGCCAGCAGCCTGACTTCCTGTATGCGGTTGGGCCCTGCCCCTCAAACTGTCCCCCATCCTGCAGCAACAGCTGGAGGAGGAGGCTGCTAAGCCTGCCGAGCCGGAGAAGCCCGTGTCGCCGCCGCCCAGCGAGGCCAAGCACCGCAGCCTCGTGCAGATCATCTACGACGAGAACCGGGTATGTCCCGTGGGCTTCTCGCCCATGCCGCAGCGTCCCCATCTGGGCAGTGGGCAGCACAGTGAGCCCAGAGCAGCAGAGGCATGGTGGCTTCTTGGTGTCTGTGCTCAGGTTCCAGGAGCACGCCAAGCCCACTGGCCCCTGGGCTCTCGCAGCCACTCGGGCTCTGGGCGGAGGAGGTTACCAGGGTCCAGGCAGTGGTTCCAGTGAGTGTGGCCTGCCCAGCTCCTCCCTTCCAGCCCTGGGAACCTGGGTGGGCATCCCTGTGGTTATTTCTGTTTCATCTCTGGGGGCGCAACGAGGTTTGGGTCCCTGAGCTGGGAAGGAGTGCACCAGGGGTTTGAACCCACGTGCTGCAGTTCCTGGTCCTCTGGGCCAGCTTGCATCGGCCTGGCGAGGCACCCTTGGGGCTAATGAAGCACAGTCAGGAGCAACCCTGAGGACCCTGGCAGGGGCAGCCACTGGGAGGCTCAGCCTTGGGAAGGGGCCAGGAGTGCCAGGGCTGGCTCCCTGAAGGAGCACTTGTGCCAGGTGGAAGGCTTCTTGTTGCCCTCTGAGACTACGGCTTTGATGCCCCCCTGTTGGCGGCCCCAGACAGTGCATGGTTTTCATGGCGGGTTGGGGGGTGATCCTTGTCCAAGGCTTCAATCCCTTCCTCGCAGCTAGCCTCCCAGATGTCTCTTCTCTGGGTCTTCCCTTGACCGCATCAGTGCCAGGGTCAGAGTGGGAGCTGGGGATGTTTGTGGCAACACTGGGTCTGAGTGGCTGCTGGAAGCTTGAGAGCCTGTGGCAAGGAACGGTGGTCTGGCCTGTGGCGCTCTCTCTCCATCTCTTGAAGCAGACACGCTCGGCAGGACTAGACCAAGCCCGCTGGGTCAGGGGCCGTGCTGCAGTCACCGCCCACCGCCCTCACCCTGGCTTACACGGCCTATAGGAGAGCTGAGGGGCCATCCCCGCCTCACATCTCTCCCACACCCTGATGCTGACCGTGAGCCTGCTACTAAGCCTGCCTGTTCGTTCTGCTCCCCGACTAGGGGGAGAAGACGGCAGTGCCCCTGGGCAAGTACCGGGGCCTGTAAGTCCACTGCCCCGAGCCCTTGGGACAGCACCTGGCACCCAGGTATACCGGCCAGTGCTCTTGGCACCGTCGTTGGCACTCTTGGCTTCCTTTGACTGTCTTGCAGGCTTTTACCAGTGGGCACCATTGTTCTCTCCGTTTTACTTGAGAGCCTCAAGGCTCGGGAGGGTTGGTGACCTGTGTGCAGGCAAGACCGAGCTGATTCCAGCAGCGTGTGGGGCAGGAGCAGGGGGCACCAGGTGGTACCTCCGCCCGTGTTCCTGACTTGGTGGAGAGGAGGCACGGTTCCCTCCAGTAGCCACAGGCAAAGGTCGGTGTTCCTGGGTTCTGCCCGGCTCCCTCAGCCCAACCATCTGCCTAGAGCGCCTTTGCTGCCTTTTCTGTGAGGTCCCTGCTGGATCCTGAGAAAGGCCTTCCACTCCCCTACCCGCCCCCCTTCCACACCCCTGCCCCACTTCCACACCCCTGCCCCCCTCCCTTCCACACCCCTGCCCCCTCCTTTCCACACCCCTGCCCCACTTCCATACCCCTGTCCCCTCCCTTCCACACCCCTGCCCCACTTCCACACCCCTGCCCCTCCTTCCACACCCCTGCCTCCTCCTTCCACACCCCTGCCCCCTCCTTCCACACCCCTGCCCCACTTCCACACCCCTGCCCCCTCCTTCCACACCCCTGCCCCACTTCCACACCCCTGCCCCCTCCCTTCCACACCCCTGCCCCCTCCTTTCCACACCCCTCCCCCACTTCCATACCCCTGCCTCCTCCCTTCCACACCCCTGCCCCCTCCTTCCAACACCCCTGCCCCCTCCCTTCACACCCCTGTCCCCTCCCTTTCACACCCCTGCCCCCTCCTTCCACACCCCATCCCCTCCCTTCCACACCCCTGCCCCCTCCCTTCCACACCCCTGCCCCCTCCTTCCACACCCCTGCCCCCTCCCTTCCACACCCCTGACCCCTCCCTTCCACACCCCTGTCCCCTCCCTTTCACACCCCTGCCTCCTCCTTCCACACCCCATCCCCTCCCTTCCACATCCCTGCCCCCTCCCTTCCACACCCCTGCCCCCTCCTTCCACACCCCTGTCCCCTCCCTTCCACACCCCTGACCCCTCCTTTCCACACCCCTGCCCCCTCTCATTTCCACGCACCTTCCACACCCTCCGTCTGCCGTGCCCCTCCCCCATCCCTTCCTTGCCTCTCCTCTGACCCCTCCCCCACTCCTCCAAGGAAAGGACACCCTTTTCTCTGACCAGCAGGAGCAGAGGCCCCTGGGGGCTGGAACTGTCTGCCTGCTTGCCTGGAAGGTGCAGGGGCTGGATCCCTCGGCTGGACTCAGCTGTCTGGCGGCCAGAACCCGCTGTCCCAGGGGAGCAGCAGGGTTAGATTGTATTCTGCCTCCTTGCCTCCCTTCTCTGCTGGTTCTGGGGAGGGATGAAGGGCATGGCCACTGAACAGCACGGCTCTTGCCAGGTGCGGCCGCCAGTGCCCTGAGTGTTGGACTCGTCCATGCGCAGCTGCCACTGAGCTAGGCTTTTTGTGCTTGGCCTGGTGGCTGGGCAGGTGCATGCAGATGGCAGGAGCGGAAGGCATTCAGGGCGAGAGGTGGGGTTCAGGCCAAGCGGCCTCTCCTGTGTTTGTCCTGCCTTGAGTATGGGTGGAACACATGTGTAGGCAGCACCAGGGAGTTACGGGTGGGGAAGTGGGGGAGGGTCCTTCTGTGTGTGTGTGTGTGTGGGGCCCTTGAGGCAGTGGGGTATGTGTACCAGGGAGGGCTTCAGGGAGGAGGCAAGCTTTAGTAAGATCCAGGTGGAGGAAGTTTGTAGCAGAGGTGGCTGGAGCACGGGGCTGGTAGAACCTTCGGCAGGAGGGCCCACCCTCAGGGGAGGGGTGAGAACGGGGGACCCCTCCCCCACCCCCCAGCAGCAGCAGCTCAGCTCACCAGCGTTCCTAAGGTGACTGCTTAGCCCTGTTGTTAGGACTGAACTGTGGTCAGGGCTGAGCCGGCCAGGAGTGGGGAGGCCCTGCCCCTCGCACTCTGTGGAATACTCCTGGGTCCTGGGGTGTGCCCAGCGCCTGCTCCCATCTGTAAAATGGGTGAGCAGTGGTACCTGGGGACAGGTTGTTGCCTTTTCTGTTAGGAGTTCTTTATTTGGAATGTAATGGTGGAGGGAGAGAGACAGGAGACAGGTCTGTCTGTGGGTTCACCCCACAAAGGAGCCCAGTGCTCTGGGCCGGAAGCCTGGATCCCCGCGGGGTCGCTCAGCCCTCAAAGTCCTGCATGCCGGGCTCTCCTGGACAGTCCTGTGTCCGCTCTGCTCCTGCACACTGCTGTCCTTGCGCCCTGGCCTTGCCATCCCCACCCTACACCCTCCAGGTCTGGGCAGTTTGTGTGTGTGGGAGAGGTGGAGGAAGTGGCTCATGTGGCCCATCCTTCCAGGCCCTGCTGCCCACTGTCCCTGTAACATGACCACCTACATCTGCTCATGTGCTCCGGTAGCCCGTGCTGCCCTCTGCTGTCTGACACAGCCTTGGGGAAGCCGCCCCTGTCTGCTCACCCCTGCAGCCGGGACCACCTGCGGGCCAGCCGCCACAATGGCCCGTTCAGGGCTGAGGGCCTAGCGTGGGGGCGGCGCTGCCCGCCTCGGCAGTCTCGGGGAGTCCTCTCAGCCACATGTTCCTGTTTTCCTAATAAGTCCCGGGTTGTGAGTGGGGAGGGAGGCGGGAGGCCCGGGGCAGCCCAGACCGCGTCACATGACTGTGAGACGCAGGAATCCTAGAAGGCCACCCTCCAGCCCCGCGGCCGCTCCCCGCCCCTCGCCGCTGCACCAGCTCTGAGGTCATCGCAGGCGACCCAACCGGCTTCCAGGGCAAGGCAGCGGCCCGGGCCTGGCAGGGAGCGGTGCCCACATCGAGGGCACGGGGCCTGAAACCGAAACTTGGCCAGGCTGCTGGGGACGCCGTGGGGTCCAGAGGCCCTGCTCTGTTTTTCCCAGCCTGGGGGAGGGGCGGTTGGCTGGGGAAGGCTGTGGTGCGACATGTGGGTTGGGCAGCTGCCCGCTGTTCCCGGAAGCCTCTATTTATAATCTCTTCTCTGTGTGTTTTCCACTTCTCTGCTTCTCCGTCCTGCAGAAGAAGGCCGAGGCTGCACATCGCATTCTGGAAGGCCTGGGGCCCCAGGTGGAGCTGGTGAGCTGGGGTGGGGCGGGGAGCTGGCGGGGTAGGGAGCAGGTGGGGGAGCAGGGGGAGGAGGTACAGGAAGTCCGCAGTGGCCAGGGTACAGGAAGCAATACACCCTCCTGGTAAAGCTGTGGAGTGGGTGGGGGCCGGGCCGAGGCCCCCTGTGGCAGGTAGAGCCACGTGGTGGGGCGGGTGGCATGTCGCAGCTCAGGCTGTGGAGCCTTTGCGTGGCCCACACAGTCTGTGTGCAATTCCCAGGCCTGACGCTTCGGGACTCTGACCTCAGCAGGTCTCTTGACCTCTGTGTCTCGGTTTCCTCCTACGTAGAACGGGCACAGCCATCGCACCCGTCCCGCTGGGTCACTGCCAGTGCCGGTGCCAGCCGGTGACCACACGTGCTAGTCAGAGTTGCTCCCTGCCGCTATGACTGGTTATTTCCATGGTGGGAGTCATCGCGCACTGGGTGGACATCAAGGTGCGGATGGGGCTGGAAAGCCAACCCTGGCCTCTGAGAGCCTGGCCTGGGGCAGTGGGACACAGGGCCTCAGCCCCAGGAGCGCCCACCAGGGCTCCTTCCTGTTTGTGGGGGGTCTGGGGCCGCTGAGTGCAGGCAGGGCATCAGTGAAGTCTTGTACCTTGGAAGCCCGACTCGGCTTGCTGCACGGGTGTGGGCCAAGAGCCTGTGCGAAGGGTCTCCCTGGCACCCGTGTTTTCCCACCTATGGAGTTGGGGAGCCTGTAGGGCCCCCTTTCTGATGCGTGTGACAGGCTCAGACAGTGCAAATGCCCAGCATGGTGAACGGTGGGCAACATGGGGTCGTCCACCGAGTTTTCTGGGGCTGGGTCAGCTTGGTGCAGGCAGAGCTACTGCCAGCGCTGGCCACTCTGGAGGTGTGGAGGGATAGCAGGTAGAGATGGGGCCCCCTGACCACCTTACTGTACCTCCGTCTCCAGTTGGGCTCCCCACTGGGGCTCTGCTGGGCATGGGCATAGGCAGTGGCTTCTCACACTGTGTGGTCCCTGGCGCCAGCTTCGCTGGAGCACTGTGCACCTGCCACACAATGTGCCCATTCAGTGTGTATACCCCGTGTTTATCTGTAGCCACACAGTCTTCTGTGTCGGAGATGCTCGCCACATGTGGCCACAGCCAAAGAACACGGGCTTTCATTTGGGCCAGGGTCTCCAGGTCTGTCCATTGGCCCTGAGCACAGTGTCTGCGTGGATGGCTGCTTGGTCCTGGGCTGGGAGTGGACTGTGGGCTCGTGTGTAGACTGGTTGCCCCATTTTCCATCCCCTCCAAGGAGCTGCTGCTTTGCTTATTGGGATGGTGGGGTTGGGATGGGAATGGCACCGTCCCACTTCCCACTCTCCCTCTCCTTGCTTTGTCTCTGGGCCTGCTGGGGTCAGAGGCAGAGGTCGGGGTGGGGTCGTGGAGCTGGTCTGGAGGGGGGCTTCTCAGACCTCACTGATGCTTCCTGGGGAGACTGCGTGATCCATCTCCATTGGGGATCTCAGCACAGAAGCCTTTCCAGGTTGGGGCACAGGTGGCTCAGAGTATGGTGGCCTTAGGTGGGGAGGGAATGGACTCTGGGACAGGGCACTGCAGGTGAGGTTTGTGGAGGTGTGGCCTTAGGAGATGTGGTCACTCAGCAGGTGACCAAGTGGACAGTATGCTGTGCCACCAGGCCCTGGGGTCACAGGATACAGAGCCCCACTTTGGCTTGGGGTTGGGGTGGGGAGGGGTCATCGTTCATAGCCTGTGATGTGGCCAGGGGGCACTCTGCCAAGGCCAGGCTGTCTAGGGATGCCGGCGTTCCTGCCCACGGGCACAGTCCTGAGGCTGCTGCCCACAGCCAGGCAGGGAGAGAGCTCTCAGGGAGGGAGGTGTGAGCTTCTGGCGGTGTGTATGGGGGAGGAGGAGCAGAGGCGGGCCTGGCCAGGGCTGGGGTGGGGGGTACCCAGCTTGCTGGTTGGCCCGTGGGTTGGAGCAGGGGGTGGGTGGAAGGTGTGTTCACAGCTTTGAGTTACTCCTCGCTTTCTGCCTGCACGGAGGTGTTATTTGAAGAGCCTTGGTGTCACGATGGGGTCGAGGCTGGGACTGACGCCTCCTCTGCTGCCTGTCCCTCTGGCCTTCTCAGCTGGCTGAATGGCAGACCCATGGGGCCCCTCCCTCCCGCTGAGACACTGCTGCTCGTCTGAGTCACACCAGCGCATGCCCGCCTCTACCATGGGCTCTCACCGTAGGGCTGCCTGGGCCTTGTCTGCTCAAAGCAGGCTGGGGCAGCCCCTGGCGGGAGGATTCTCGGACACCTGGTGGCCACAGTGCTGGCTTGGCCCCTGGTGCAGTCTCATGCCTTGACCACAGGAGCTGTCTGGCCTTGTGCTGCCTCTGCAGAGGGAGGGTGATATGGGATCGGGGAGAACTGTGCGGGCCCTGGGCTCCACTTGCACTGCATCTGCTTGTGGGGGGAGTCCTCCTCTACAGAGAGTGAGATGGGGTCGGGGGGAACTGTGCGGGCCCTGGGCTCCACTTGCACTGCGTCTGCTTGTGGGGGGAGTTCAGCAGAGTCTGCTCTCTGCTGCTTTGCAGCTGGGGCCAGCACCTAGAGGGTCGTCCAAGCTTGCTCCGGCCAGGCTCCACGTGGCTCTCAGGCCTCGGCTTCCCTGGGCACATGGTGATGGACCTGCAGGGCTTCTGTGAGCTGAGTCGGACCTCTGCTGGCCTCCTTTTCCCAGGCCTCCCTGTGCTGACAAAGCCTGGGCCCCCTCAGCGCTCCTTCCACCCTGCCTGGCTCCTGCAGGCAGCCTGGCCTCCTTAAGTCCCATACCAGACGAAGCCACTGCCGTGTCCAAGTTCCTGGGCTCCTCAGATGCCCAGTGAAGCAGAGCGTGTCCTGTGCCCTGTCCTGATGAGATCCTGAGACCCTGGGGGGGGGTGTGCTTGTAAATTGGGCTGTATCTAGGCCTGTCTCCGGGCTCTGGGGTCATTTCATCGGCCCCGGGGTGCAGGTGGGGACCAGGCATCTCCCCAGGGCCCTGGATGAGGATCTGCATCCTTGGCCCTCCCTCATGGGGGTGGGGTGGGGCTGTGTACACCGTCTCACCTCACACACGTGGTCACTTTCACTTCTCCTTTCCCCTTCAGTGCCCGGTTGGGGGTGGGCACACCTTGCTGTGCCTCAGACAGAGCGGCTTGGGAGGGCAGCATGACCTGGTGTGGAGAAGAGTTGTCTGTGCCTGCACTGGGCGACGTCCTCGTCCCCAGAGAGGAGCTGGGCCCACAGCCCAGGGCTGAGTCACCGTGGCGAGGCCCGTGTCGTCAGCAGGCCCGGCTGCCACCCACTGCCCTAGAGGACGGGGGCTGGGCCGAGGCCTTGCTGACCGGGAACAGGGCAGAACCTGCTAAGTCCCTTTCTCGGCCCTGCCCTGAGGCCCTGGAACTTGGCATCCCACCTGTACCCGTCCGCCCTGGCCACTGCGGGAGGTCCCTGCCGTGGGTACAGGTGAGGGATGCAGGGCGACAGACACAGTGGACGCCATGGGCAAGAAGTGTGGACCATTTGCAGGCTTGGTATGGAGAGCAGGCTCTCATTCAAGCTTGTGTCTTGCAGCTCTCGGGATGCGTGTTAAACCCCCAAGAGCCGCCAGTGCTCCCTGTCGGGGCCGTGCTGTGTCACGGGCGGCAGCTGTTTCCTTACCCATGCCCATGGCTGTGTACTGAGACAAGTCCCCAGGCGCTGGGTCTTGCCATGTATGGCTGGCTTGCAGCATGCCCAGCCCTGCACCCATCTGTTAGCAGTGCTTGGGCCTGCGCGCCCCACGCATATGCCGCAGGCCCAAGGAGGCCGCAGGCTCCTTGCTGCCTTCCAGCTAGCACTGCCCAGTGCCCCTGGGGGCAGCCACCATGGCAGTCGCCACATGGTGTCCTGAGGAGCTGTCACATTCTGTGCCTGGCCTGATCACACGCCAGTACCTAGGTTCCTGTTAAAGCCAGTGAGTGCCCCTGGTGCCAGGGCCTTAGGCCCTGCTGCTGGGCCTGGCTCTGTCCAGCACAATCCACTCTGATGTGCCTCTCTCTGTTGTTCTGCAGCCACTGTACAACCAGCCCTCCGACACCCGGCAGTACCATGAGAACATCAAAATGTGAGTGCTGGCGCCACCGTGGCCATGCTCTTGGTGGGGCCAGGTGCTGGGAGTAGGGGAGACGCCCAGAGTTTGGGCAAGAGCCCTGAGCCTGGTAGGATCTAGCTTGGGGTCTGAACAAGGCCTGGAGGAGGGTTGGAGCCAGAACAGAGCCAGTGGCCCTGTGAGGCTTTAGGACACAGATGGGTGGGGAGATGCAGACAGCATGCCGCCCATGTTGAAAGGTTGTGGGCCTGGGGCAAGATGGGGTCCTATAGTTGCTTGCCTGGGGGTGTCCTAGGGTCTAAAACACAGTCCAGTCAAGGTGGCCAGGAGTGCTAACCCAGGCCTAGGGGCAGGTGCATCCTGGGGGTGTACCTGATGTTGGGGGTGGCGGTAGATGTCGCAGGATACCAGGACCGTGCTGGGGACTGGGGGAATGCTTGGAAGAGGCTGGCATGTTCATAGACTTCTGGCTGAGGTGGGGATGCACCATTGCCTTGTCATACAGGAAGCCTGGGTGAGAGGGCCACACGGCTATGCACAGGGCAGAGGTGAGAGCGGAGGCCAGGCTGGTTTGCAGTTCGGTGCCTTGGTTGGTCACGCAGAGGGCCCAGGCATCTGTGTGAGACCTGGGAGCACCGTATTTCCTGGGCAGTGGCTCATTGCTGGCCTGTGGCTTTCCCAGCTGCCCTGCGTTCTTTTCAAGCCCTGCAGGTTCTGGCTGGCAAGGCCCCTTGGCCCAGCGGCTTGCAGACTGCTCCCTTGGGCCTCATGGGGCTGCCTTGTGGGGTCATTGCTGCAGCCAGTGGGCTGTGTTGTGTTGCGCAGTCACCAGTGTGGGGCAGTGGCGGGTCGCTGGCACTTCTGCCTCCCAGCCACCCATACCACATCCTTCGGTGCCCAGCCCCGAGGCACTCCCTGTCAGCCCCTCCCCCAAGTGGTATGTGAGTGATTTCTGGAAGTAAAAGCAGCCAGGGAATTCAAGTGAGAAGGGAACAAGGCTCCCACATGAGTGAGCTGGGCGCAGAAAGTAGGGCCAGGAGTGGGGTTCAGTAGTCACACCTGTGCTGAAGCCATCCCCATTAATCCTCCGCAGAGAAGTTCGTCATCCGGGGCGGGGGCCTGGGGCTTTGGCCCACGGGTGCCTCAGGCTGGCCCTGGCTCACTCTGCCCATGTCCTTTGCCCTGCTCTTTGTCGTGTCTGTGAAGCAGGCCCAGGTTGGCAGTAGTCCTGGGTGGCCCATGTGTGCCCCACTCGGGGCTGGTCCCAGGGCTGGTGCGCCATGGCTTTGTCTCTAAGGGTAGAGAATTGGTTATCCCACTGTCATTCATTGGGTGTCTGAACCCTACCAGTCCCTGTCCTGGGTCCCAGGAGGACGGCAGTAATCAGGGTCTGATGTCCCCCTAGTTGGGGTCCCTCAGTGGTGTGTGGGATGTCACAGCCATGGCAGGGACAGCAGGATCGCCAGCGTTGTGGCGAGTGAGGGTGGCCGTCCCCAAGGGCCTTGCCTATCACTTGAATTCCTCTATGTCTGCGCCGGCCTGGAGCTGAAATTAATTTCACGCCTGACTTGCTGCGGCGCGGGTGGCTGGGATGGCCTCCTATGCTCGCTCCTGCTGCAGGGGCACCTGCTGTAGGGCCAGGGGCCCTGCTCTTCCCCCGTCACCCAGGCGTGACTCCGTGAAGGAGGGCAGGATCGGGTCCGGGGCTGCCGGCGCCAGTTATGGCCGTGAGCTCAGCCACTCCTGGTCGGCCCAGGCCTGATGCTCCTCAGGTTGCTGTGGCTGCTCAGGCTGTGCGAGCAGAGCAGGTGGCCAGTCAAGACCAGCCATGGCCAGCAGGACCCACAGGGGCTCTCCTGGGGGGCCCATGGACCTGCCCTCCCAGCTCTTGTCATTCCTGCCCCAGGCTGGCATGGATGGCAGACGCATGCTTCCTGACACCCTGACTTCTTCAGGACTCCATGGAGACGCTCTCCCCTGCCAGCTCTCACAGACAGGAACCTCAGCTGAAACACCGTCCACTATCAGCCATCTGCATCTCCGAGATCAAAACACTGTTTGGAACAGAGTAAACACTCAGAAGCATTTGCCAGGACAATGCTGAACACATGGACAACAGCCAGGAGTCCAGGGCCCTACCAACGCAGCCAGCTGCCTCTGGGACCCGGAGAGGCCTTAGCGAGGCAGTAGGGAGTGGCGGGGACTGTGGAGAGCTGAGCGCCCGGGACCTTGGGGACCCTGAGACCCCAGCCTGTGCCCTGAAGGCAGTGGTGGGTTGCCAGACTGCTTAAAAAACGCTCTGGGTTGGGTTCTTGGGGCTGGCAGTAGGTTTGGTTTTCTAGAAAACACTGCACGTACACTGGCTGTGGCCAGCACCATGTGCCAGTTGCAGCCTGTGGACCTGACATTTGTCCTCTTTGGCAATATCAGGAGGCCTCCGGGTGCCAAGCACCGTGCTGGCTTTGGATGGTGACGGCTCTGTTTGGGGGCAGGGAGGACTCCATGCCCTGTGTGTGCTGCCCACGGCAGTGGGCGGCTGGTGAGGCAGGGGTTGCTTGGGACCTGTGGTGGCTGCAAGACTGAGACACTGCTCCATGCTACCCGCACCCACGGGCCAGGCTGACTACAGCCATGCCCACAGGCCACACCCACACACCTGGCATCTCGGAGCCAGGCCCTTGCTCAGCCTTTCCTTGGTTGTCTTAATGGGATACATTTAGAGCAAGCTGCTCAGGGTTCTTGGTGGCTCTGACACTGTATTCTGCCTTGGGACTGATGCCATAACAGAGTTGTATCTGGCTTGGCCCCAACGTTGTAGTCCCCAGGTTTGTGCCCCTGGGGGTGGGGCCTGCTGGAGGCCCGTTGGCGCAGCAGTGGCTCTGGTAGGTGGTGGGCCCGCCTAAAGGGACGTGATGCAGCCAGAATTCTCTGTGCCTGCCTTGGGAATCCCCCTGGCCCTGGAGAGATGGGACTGATTTCCCTTTCTCCATGTATTTATTTATTCAGTCATGTATTTAGACCCACAAGGATGTGGGGCTTGTTTGGTTCTTGGGTCTGTAATCTCGGGTGAGTGTTGTTTATGTTGACTCCGGATTGTCCCAGCTCTGTAGTCACTTATGGGGAGGACCCCACGTCCTTCTGACGGTCTTGTGGTTTGGCTGGGTTTTGACGATTCTTCACTTTGATGGCTCTCACACTGAGGTCATCAGCTGTGTTCCTGGCCCAACCCTGGAGTCAACTGTTGGATTGAAGCCCTCATGTGGACAGCAGAGCCGGCGTCCAGGCCTCACAGTGGACAGCAGAGCCGGCGTCCAGGCCTCACGGAGGACAGCAGAGCTGGCGTCCAGGCCTCACAGTGGACAGCACAGCCAGGATCCAGGCCTCATGGTGGACAGCACAGCCAGGATCCAGGCCTCATGGTGGACAGCACAGCCGGGATCTAGGTCATGCAGTGGACAGCAGAGCTGGGATCCAGGTCACAAAGTGGACAGCACAGCCGTGATCCAGGCCTCATGGTGGACAGCACAGCCGGGATCTAGGCCTCATGCAGTGGACAGCACAGCTGGGATCCAGGCCTCACGGTGGACAGCACAGCCATGATCTAGGCCTCACGGTGGACAGCACAGCTGGGATCCAGGCCTCACGGTGGACAGCACAGCCGGGATCCAGGCCTCACGGTGGACAGCACAGCCGGGATCCAGGCCTCACGGTGGACAGCACAGCCGGGGTCCAGGCCTCACGGTGGACAGCGGACCTCAGAGTTGGGTGCTCATAGCTGCTCTCAGCGTTGATTTTAGCCAATTTTGTCTGCCTGTCTTTTTCATAAAAGCCCAACCCTTTCTTGGTCCAAGCTTAGCTGCTCCACGCAGGGTGGCCTCCCTGGCCCGTGTTGTGGCCTCTGCCTACACGGGCACACTGACCACATGAGCTTCTCCTGTCTGCCCCTGGGCCCTTCCCACTGCAGGACATTGGTGCATACTATGCTCACCTTCTGCCTTGAGCCCGCTTCTTTTCAGATCTTTCTCCACAGTGGTGCCCTTCTGAGGGCTCAGCTCCAGGCTGTCTCCTAGGGGGCCTCTGGTATCCTGAATCTTAAGCCCTGGACACTCTTTAACACCCACCTCCGGCCATCCTACCTCATCCCCGTAGCCCTCCCACCCCGTCTCCCTAGCCCTCGCACCCGTCTCCCTAGCCCTCCCACCCCGTTTCCGTAGCCCTCTCGCCCCGTCTCCCTAGCCCTCTCACCCCGTCTCCCTAGCCCTCTCGCCCGTCTCCGTAGCCCTTCTGCCCCGTCTCCCTAGCCCTTCTGCCCCATCTCCCTAGCTCTTCCGCCGCTCCTCCCTAGCCCTCCTCCTCGTCTCTCCAGACCCTCCCCTCGCTGGGTCCCTGCTTGGAGCCTTGACTATGCTGCTGATGGGCAGCGTGCCACTGTGAGGGTCAGCTCCCTGAGGCCAGGGCTTGGTGTGTCCTCCTGTGTATCCACAGCATTCAGCCAGCACCTGCTCAGCACATAGGGCCAGAGCAGTGGGGAGGAGTGGACAGCACTGCTGGTCTCATCTTGCTTGGAGACACTGTTATGGAATAGGGCTCAAGTCCAGCCTGTCTCTGACCCCAAGGCCTCCATGTGCTGGTGACTTATTGATGTGAGTGGTGAGGCCTCAGGTCAGGGGATTGGGGTCACGGCCGAGGTGAGACCCAGAGAGCGGCGGCCCCACGCCATGCGTTATCCCTCCCTGTCCAGCATTCCCCTTACCCTCCCCCAAGGCTCGGGTTGCAGAGGGCAGGGGCGCAGGCTGTGGCTCCCTGGTGTGAGTTTTGGCATTCAGTAGGTTTGGGGCACTGGCACATGGGGAGGTTGAGAGCTAATGGCACTGTGGACTCCAGCAGGTGGACAAGTTGTGGGCCGCTACTCATGCCCCTGCCCAGTGTAGACGCTGACCTGCGGTGTGCCTTGTGGCCCCAGTGCCTGCCTGTCCCTGGAACTCCATTCTCAGCCTCTCACTGTGTTTGAGCCCGTGCCCTTGGCTGCCTCCCACTGTCCTCCAGCCCACCTGTCTCTGTCTCACCTCTTTTCCACCTGTGCTCACGTCCCTTGCTCTGGGTCCTGACTCTCTCTTGGCGCTGCTGTGTCCTCCCTGGAAAAAGTCTGCTCCCCTGGCACCTGCGGGACCGTGTGTGAGACCCATGGTTAAAGGCGAGGGCTCTGTGTAGGTTGGCACCGTAACAGGGGACCCCATGCTCACCTGCCACACTGTGAGACCCTGGCCCTGCATGCAGCTGTGGGGCTGTGGGCTCACACCTGCTTGCCTGGCCCAAGTCCAGGGATATTTGTGTGACCAGTTCTGCCTGAGGCACAGGTGTGGCTGGTGGGCCACAAGGGTATGTGGGTACCTGTGGGGACGGGGAGGAGGCAAGCGTTCAGCCCACACACAGCTGGCGCACAGCAACAGTTCCTGGGGCATGGAGAAATAGTAATGGGGTGAATGCAGGACCCCCACTCAGGGCTGGGACAGCTGGGCCCTGGACAGAGGGGGCCTGGGATGCAGTGATTAGAATGAGGAGGGCCTGGGACAGTAGTGGTCAGAATGGGAAAGGCCTGTACAGGGAGGGCCTGGGACAGCAGCTGTTAGGACAGGGAGGGCCTAGACGGGGAGGGACTAGGGCAGTTGGAGGTCGGGCTAAGGAGGACCTGGGTGGGGAGGGTCTGGGGCAGTGGGGCCAGGACGGGGAAGGCCCTGGGACAGTGGGGCCAGGACGGGGAAGGCCTGGAGAGGGAGGACTGGGACCGCAGGTTCCTGGGCTGGGCAGGCCTGGGACAGCGGCAGGGAGGATGGGGCGGGCTGGGACAGTAGGGGCCTGAACTGGGTGGGCCGGCCCTCTGTGGTGCTGATTCTGTCTGCTGTCCCCTGCTCTAGAAACCAGGCCATGCGGAAGAAGTTAATCCTGTACTTCAAAAGGAGGAACCACGCCCGGAAGCAATGGGTACGTGGGGCCTCCCCGGGGCTTGCTGGCCAACCCTTCGCAAGGTCCAGAGGATTGAGGCTCCTGGAGGCCACATCAGCAGGGATGCTCCGGGTCCCGCTGTGACCCCAAGCTGCTGGGAAGACCTCAAGACGGTGGTGGATGTGAAGTTTCCGGAAGTCCCACACTGCTGGCAGGGAGGGTGTCAGGCCTAGGAGGGGCGGGGGTAGTGGGTTTTGCTGCCACACTGAGGCAGCTGGAGAGAGCCTTGCCATCTCAGAATTGGGCACTAGCAGAGCTCCAGAGGTGGGTGGGTGCTGTGGGTGCCATGGGCGCAGCGTGTGCTGACTGTGCAGAGGCCCAGAGACCTGACCCCATCGCTGTGGGAGGTGCTTCTAGCCCACCCTGCATCCCTGAGGCCTCCCTCCTTAGGAGGTGTCTGTGCCGGCCTTTTCCTGAAAGCAGCCCCTTTCTACTCCCTCCGAGGGCAGTGCTCCACCAGGCAGGTGCCCAGGAGGCCTTGCAACCCTCCTGGGTCAGCACTTGGGGCTGTGGACCCTGCTTCTCCTGTGTGTGAACTCTGGCTCCCAGCACCCCACAGCCAACACGGTTCTTCTCCTGAGCGTGGGGTACAGGAGGGAGGCAGCCAGGTCTGCTCTGGCCTAGGGTGGCTTCCCCATCCACTGATGCGGGCACCGTCCCAAGCTGTCTGTGCTCGGGGCTGTGAGTGGAGTACGCAATTAACAGGTCCAGGCTGTGGCGGGTGGCACCGTGGTCAAGCCTGCAGTTTAAATGTGACAGATGTCCATGCCTGGTGGCTTCTGCACACGGGGAGGCTTGGCCTCCCATAGGGAAAACGAGTTCTCTCTTGTGGGGTTCAGGCCTGCCCCGGGCTTGCTTGTGACTGTGTGTGGTCTGTCATCTGCCAGCCCATGGGACCCTGTGTGTGTGATTGAGGGCACATGTGTCTATTGCCTGCCCATGGGAATGTGTCAGTGTGTTACCTGTCCACGGGACCATGCGTTATGTTGTGGGCTGGGAACGGGACAGCCACGTACGAGCTGTGGCGAGCGTGCTGTACTGTGTACAGGAGCAGAAGTTCTGCCAGCGCTATGACCAGCTCATGGAGGCCTGGGAGAAGAAGGTGGAGCGCATTGAGAACAACCCGCGGCGGCGCGCCAAGGAGAGCAAGGTGCGCGAGTACTACGAGAAGCAGTTCCCCGAGATCCGCAAGCAGCGTGAGCTGCAGGAGCGCATGCAGAGGTGAGGGTCCGTGGTGGGCGGTCTCAGGCGGCCGGGGTGAGCCGCAGGAGCGCATGCAGAGGTGAGGGTCCGCGGTGGGCGGTCTCAGGCGGCCGGCGTGAGCTGCAGGAGCGCATGCACAGGTGAGGGTCCGCGGTGGGCGGTCTCAGGCGGCCGGTGTGAGCCGCAGGAGCGCATGCAGAGGTGAGGGTCCGTGGTGGGTGGTCTCAGGCGGCCAGCGGGCAGGGGAGGCGTGGTGTCCAGCTGCTGTGACGCCCCACATCCCAGAGACCAAGTGACCCCCGCATCATGGGCCTGCAGCTGGCCGCCCTCCTCCTCCCTGTCCCTGCCGCCGGGGGAGGGGCTCAGGCTTGCAGAGACTGAGTGTGTCCCTTTGGCCCCCAGCAGGGTGGGCCAGCGCGGCAGTGGGCTGTCCATGTCGGCTGCCCGCAGCGAGCACGAGGTGTCGGAAATTATCGATGGCCTCTCGGAGCAGGAGGTGAGTGCCCCGTGGGTTCTGCACAGGGACCTGGGAGGCAGCGTGGGCTATTGAGGCACCAGTGGACATGCGTGGGAAGCCATCTCCAGGCCTGCAGGGGGGACCTGCGTGGTCCAGCAGCACAGCCACAGAGAACTCGGGGACACCCGTTGCTCCAGCCCTGCCTTCTCATGCTGCCCACTCTCTCAGGCCAGCTTGGGGCCGTGTGTGCCGAGCTCAGCTCTTAGGGCCCAGAGCCTGAGGTTCTAGGGGAACCTGCAAAGGCAGAGGAAGTACAACCCCTGACTTGGACGTGGTCCTGTTTGTCCTGTGCCTTGCCCTGGGATTGCTGGATACCTGAGCTCAGTCAAGGGCATCCTGGCCGTGGTCACTGGGTCCAGAGAGCCTCCAGGAGCAAGGGCTGGCCTGAGCCTGGCCCCTCCTGGGTCCTGTGTGGCATTCAGCTGCCCACTCCCTACACTGTGGCTGCTAGGGTGTGCCAGTGAGGACTTCTGTTCAGGTTGGGAGTGAGTGGAGTGAGACAGAATTAAAAGCCCCCATCCTCCTCAGCACCAGGCACACACAGGGGCTACAGAGCCACCTGCACGTTGGGCCCGGGCTCACGTGTAGCCGGCCCCAGAGCCCAGAGAGGAGGCGGCTGTTTTGAATTGCAGAAGCCTGGGTGAGACCTGGCAGCCCCCACCTGGCTCTCCAGTAGAGCCCCAGAATCTGTATTCCTGTCGGTCTACCCACATGGTGGTGATTTAGGCCATTTTGGGGCTTAATGGTTAATTAGAAGTTTTTTTTTTTTCTTTTAAAACTTTCTGTGATGTGTTGTTTGGAACCATGTCCCTGTGGCAGGAAATGGAACCCAGAAAGCCACAGCCCGTAGCTGCCAGCCCTTACCCACTGTGGCCGGCCTTGTCTTGGCCACACGTCCTGCTGATGCTGTGGCTTTGTGGGTGTCCCACAGGGTGCTGGCCGGGTAGCACCTTGGCACCGGTAGCCAGGGAGTGGGGGGAAGGCGGGGGACTCCTGTGTGTTCCCGGTCAAGTGTCACACTCACCCAGCCACAGGAGTCCAGCCTATGGGCTCCTGAGGGCTGTGGAGGGACCAGGGAGTAGGTGGCAGATAGGTAGGAGGTGGCCCAGGAGTTCCCTGAGGAGTGTGAAGGAAGGGCATGTGCCCAGTGCCTGGAGGGGAGGGCAGGGAGCCTTGGGGACATCCTGCTGCCGTCCCTGCTTCTCAAGGCAGCCAGGAAGGCTGACGCTTCAGCACTGGGGGCTGTGCAGTGGTGGCTGGACCCCGGCCCTTGAGGCTTTGCTCCCGGCCCGGCTGGCTCGGAGCCTCTTCTGGTCGTCCCGGAGCCCTCCGATCCAGGGGCTGACAGTACTGCCCGCTGCAGGTGCGATCCAGTGGCTCGGTACACGCTGCCCTTTCCCTTGCTTCTGCATTTTCTACCCTGGCCCAGTCCTGCCCGCTGCTCACCCTGTCCCTGCAGAACCTGGAGAAGCAGATGCGTCAGCTGGCCGTGATCCCACCGATGTTGTATGACGCCGACCAGCAGCGCATCAAGTTCATCAACATGAACGGGCTCATGGACGACCCCATGAAGGTGTACAAAGACCGCCAGGTCACCAACATGTGGAGCGAGCAGGAGAAGGACACCTTCCGGGAGAAGTGAGTCCCCCGGGGCTCCTTCAGACCCTGGGTGTTCGGGGCGTCACACACAGGTCCAAGGTCCAGTCCTCTGGGGGCCTCTGCTGGCCACAGTGCCCACGGTCATTGGCAACCACACACGCCCCATCCTTGCCTCTGCTGGTCCCTGCCTTCTTGTCTGGACACTGCGTCCCCAGGGCTATCTTACCTCACTGTGTCCTCCGGGGCTCTGTTTCCAAAGAAGGGCCCACTCTGAGGGTCTGGGTGGGCATGAAGGCCCAGGGACGTGGCTCAGCCTGGTGCAAAGTGTGAGGCGGCCGCACGCACAGCAGAGTCATGTGTGTTGAAAGAACAGGTGGGTGACGCAGGCCGCACTGCAGGCACGTGGTCAGGGAGAAGGAAAGGCCAGGGGCGGGAGCAGAGATAGGAGTCTGCGGGGCTGCTGTGTGGCCGAGGAGTCAGGGAGATGGTGTGAGACAACAGGAGAGCCTCTTCCTGGTAGGGGTCCCAGGGTGTGGCCTGCTGAGCCACCTCTCATCTGGGGACAGTGCTCAGAAGTTACAAGCCCTCCACTTGCTGCAAAGGCTGGGCGTCCTCTCATAGGGAGGCCCCAGAACCCCAGGCATGGGAGACCGAGGTGGGGACAGAAGCAGGTTGTTGTGGCTCTCCGCGTCTGCCATGGCACACCTGCTGATTGGGAGTGCAGGAAACAGTGCATGCGTGTCCCACCTGGTCCCGTCCCCTCTGCTCTGTATGCGTGCTGCTCCTGCACTCTGCAAAGAGGTAACTCCCCACTCCGGCCAGGGTTGGCTGTGTTCCTTTCCAAGGCAGGGAAGCTTCCTGTGGGGCCTGCAAGATGGTCTCAGCCATAGGTCAGGCGGGTGCTGGGACGCAAGGGGCTGCCCAGGGGTCCTGGTAGGAAAGAACAGGTTTTGGGGAGCAGCTTCTCCTTGGACGCTGACACATGTAGGGAGAGAGAGTCCTGATTTCCCGAGCCCTGGCCCCATGTCTACCCCAGGAAATGTGAGCCTGGGTGTTCTGGGACGTGTGCTCGCCTGTGGAATCAGGTTTGTGTGGTCAGGTGGATGGGATGCTCGCTGGCCGGTCAGGTGTTTTGTTTTCCAGGTGCCGCGTGCAGCTGCTCGTGCTGGTCTGCAGGTCTGGTGGTTTCCATGCTTGGTCACCTTGGCAACTGCCGGGGGCTGGTGCAACTTGGGTGCCAGGCAGTCGTGGTCCAGCTGTGTGTGTGTGCTGAGTGTGGCCGCGGGCTGAGGAATGGCTGGTGCTCAGGGCCGTCAGAGATCTTCTGCAGTTCACTCAGAGCTGCCCTCTCACTGGCAGTGTGGCCACGCCCCACCACCCCAGCCTCAATTTCCTCACCTGTAAAGTGAGTTCAGCCTTGGGGTCCGCAAGGACTGCACCCTCACACTGCCATGTGCCAAAACCAGAGCCCACTCCACTTTTCATGCCAGATGGCACTGTGCCAGCTGTTCGGGGTTTGGGGCATTTTTTTCAGACTGCAGAATGTTTGCTGGGGCACACAGTCCGTTTGTGTTCCATGTAGGTGGATCATGCCCAGCCCAGAGGTGGTTCCACACAGGGTTTTTGACCCATCCACCATAGGCATGTCTGGAGCATCCTGAATGCCTGTGTATGGGTGAGGGCAGTGTGGTCCTCCCGTGATCTTCACATTGTGTCTGAGCAACTCCCTGGGTCTGCCATGGCTCCCCGGGTCTGCCGTGGCTCCCTGGGTTTGTTGTGGCTCCCCGCCATCTGCCATGGCACACCTGCTGAGGACACAGCTTGTGCTGGGGGCTTCAGGGGCAGAGGGAGTATGTGTGTCAGTGTGGGTGCAAGGCTCTGCCCCAACAGGAACTGCCATCAGGGCGCCCCATATGGAGTGGTGTGTCATGGTGATGGGGGGCAGGGCACATGGCCAATGGCTGGGGGAACAGGCGGGCTGGTGGTCATACCCGCGCCTGGCGTTCTTGGTTTCTTTGGGTGAGGAGAGAGCGAGAGGGGCCCAGCTGGGCCAGTGGAGTCACCCTGCACTTGCTGCTTCCTCTGGGAAGAGGGAGGAGGCTGTTGGAGAGGGCCCACTGTCTGACCTGGGAACAGGGTGGTGCCCGCTGGCCTCCTGCCCGGCCACCTGGAGCGTGAGCACATCCAGTGCCAGCCGTTGACCCTGCAGCTCCTCCCCATGGAAGGCTGCCAGGGGCAGTGTAACGTGCTGTGGGAGCATCTGGGCCTGAGCAGCCCTCGACCCCGTCCCCACCCCTGCTGCGGCCGCTTCTTGGCCACGATCCTGACCCTGACATTTCAGCGCTGTGTGGTTTCCCAGTGATCCTCCAGGCTTTGCAGGACACCAATGGCCTGGCGCCAATTCCCGCCACCCCTTCCGGCTGCAGGCCATCCCTGCCGCCTGCCTGGCTGGCCTACCTCCTCCCGCCTGCCCATGGGCACTGAGCCTGGGCCCCACCTCTCCTGGGGAGGCCTAGCCGGCCGTGACCTCTTGGTGGGGCTCCGGCTAAGCTCCCCAGCAGGCTCAACTTCCCAGACCCAGCTGGAGAGAGAAACAAAAAAAGAGCGTGGCGGGGGAGGCCCCCGGCGTGGAGCGGCCTGCCATGTCCTCATTTTTCCTGGAAGCTGCCTTCAGCAGGACAAACAAACGCATCTTCAGAGAGGCTCACACCAGTGATTCACTCCAAGGAACGCCCTCTCCCAGCTTCACATCCTCAGCCCTCCCACCCCCTCGCCCCATGCAGGGTGGTGCCCGCCCAGCCCCGTTGATGGGGATGGCAGCGCCTGGCGGGGAAGCCCCTGTGGTCCAACTTTATGCCTGTCTGTCTCGTCCTGCAGGTTCATGCAGCACCCTAAGAACTTTGGCCTGATCGCCTCGTTCCTGGAGAGGAAGGTGAGTGTGGCCCCCATCCCCCAGCTGCCACCCCACACTGTCCGTGGTCCCCTAGATGCCTGCTGGCACAGAAGCCGAGAGCCCTCCCACCCTGCCTGGCAGGCCTCTGCCAGCCTGGCCTCTGGCTCTGACTGCCAGCTCCTTCTCCTCTCTGTCCCTGAGTCCATGGGGTGAGTGCAGTGTCCACAGCCTTCCTAGAACCCCTGTGTGTCCTTGGGAGCTGCTGCATTCTGGAAGCAGTGGCATGCAAGGTGGCCCAGCTGAGGCCTCAGGGGCCAGGGTCACAGGGCTGTCCAGGGCTGGCTGGGGCTCCATTCTCAGCCCTCTGCTGGCCGTCATGTTTTCTGATAGCCCTAATGCCAATGCCGTGCCAGGTTTGAGACTAAGGCCAGTCCTCCAGACCCTGCTTTGCCCCTCCCCTCTGCTCCCTTTGGCTCTGCTTCCAGTGGACACAGAATGTCCCCAAAGTGTGCTCAGCCCTCTCTTTGCACACCATGAAGCCAGCTGCATCACGACAGAGGCCACGGGTAGGGGCTGGAGGGCCTGGCATGGAGGGGACCCTGGAGCCCCAGCAGCCTAAGGGCAGGGCCTGCACTGCCACAGTGGTCTTGGGGAGCTCGGAATGCCCAGGCCCCAGCCCTGTCTGCGGCTGGGAACAGGAGCCCACCAGTGACATGAGGGTCACAGGTGGTGCCAATGTCTCCTCTTGCCGAGACCGGACGGGATGGGGAGCATCTCTGGGCCCAGGGAGTGATTCCCCCTCCCATGGGTGATGGTGTCTGATGGTTACATGCCAGGCTAGGGTCTCTTTCCTGTGTGGGTGGGAGGCACACCCACTTCCCCTGAAACCCAGATTGAACGATCCCCTTGGGCGCTGGGAACCAGCAGTCTCCTCCATGGCGGTCAACCTGGCTGCCTGGGGGCCCAGCCAAGCTTCCCCAGGGCCTGGGCACCTGGTGCCTACCCCATGGGAACAGATGACTGCTAACAGGGAGCCAGGCTGATGCAGCGAGCTGGGTCCTGAGGGCAGCTGCCTTGTGGGGCAGTGGGGAGAGGTCCTTCACCCACACCGTCGCCAGCTGCAGCTGTGGGTGTCCAACCACCAAATGGCACTCCCAGGTGCTGTGTGGCCAGGGGCCCCTTCATGACGGGGATACCCCCGGAGTGTGTCACTGGGAAACTGGGTGTGGGCTTCAAGGGTGTCTTGCTGGCCAGACCAGGGCGGGGATGGGGAGGGCTGGGGTTGCCGACCCTGCTTCTCCAGGGGCCAGGATGACACAGTGTTATTGGCGGCGGCGGCGGCCGTAATGACGGGGAGCCCTTTTTACAGCTGTGCCCGTGCTGGGCGGTGGCTCCCGCGCCCTGCTCGCCAGACCTGGTCTTCAGGAGCACTTTGTGAGCATCCCATTTCACAGATGAGCACACCAAGGCACCCCAAGGTTGGGGGACGGGCCCAGGGTGGCTCAGCTGTCCGGCTCTCGTTGCCCCGCCGTGCCTCAGCCTGCCCCTCTGGTTCTGTCTGCAGACAGTGGCCGAGTGCGTCCTCTACTACTACTTGACCAAGAAGAGTGAGAACTACAAGAGCCTGGTGAGGCGGAGCTACCGGCGCCGCGGCAAGAGCCAGGTAAGGGCTGGGCAGGCGCGACGTGGTCTTCCTGGGGCCCCGGCCACCTCTTACTTGCCTGGCCCTTGTCCCTCATTGGCGGCTGGCCCTCCGAGCCCTCTCTCTGTCAGAGCCACTCATGCAGTGCAGGACAGGGCAGGGCTAAGACTGTGACCGCTCCAAGCCCGCAGAATTCCCAACTGTTGGCAGCGTGCTCCGCTCCCAGGGTCAGAAGGCTGCGCACGTTCCCACAGTGGGACTTCCCAGGACGGCCTGGGGTGGTCCGCAGACTTGACATCTTACACACTTGAGTGGTTTTGTGTGTTTATCTTTGTGGCCCATAGAGAGAAAAAATAGCCTGTCCCCCGGCGTGGTGTTGCCTGGGTGTCACCGCACAGGGTGAGCCCTACCACCGTGTCCGTGGGAGCTGGGTGGGCACTTGCGGTTGACAGGCGGTAGAGCCTGGCCGACTGCCTGCTTTTGCAAGTCAAGTTTTATTAGTGTGCCGTCACCCTGGCAGCTTCTGGACTGGCAGCCCAAGCAGCATGGTCCACAGCGCCCGAGACTTTCAAGGTTCTGGGCTTCTAAGATAGAGGGAAGACCCTTGTCACTGGGAAGGGGACTCCTGGCCCTCTGCGTCTTGGGGTGCCAGAGTGGGGCCTTCTTCAGCCTTGGTGTTCCATTGGAGTTCCTCGGGAGATTTCCTTCCCTTGGGCCCCATGGCGTGGGGCGGTCCTGGGGCCTGGAAGGAGGGTAGGGCCCTGAGTTTTCACTGTCGGGGGCTCTGCCTCTGCATTGCTAAGCCTAGAGCCGAAGCCCCGGGGCCTTCAGAGTAGGCATCGCACGCCACCTTTAGTGAAGTATGTCAGGGCCAAGCCAGCCTGGCCACACAGTGGGTGCCAGGCCGTGAAGTGCCTGGGTTTGAGAGCTGGTCCTAGGGGTCAGGGGTTAGGTAGGCAGCCACCCTGCAGTCTTCTGTCCAGGCCTGTGCAGTCCACCCCGCCAGCCTGGCACAGGACTTCATGGCACCAAGTTATGCAATTCCAGACTTAGTTCTAGAAGTTCTGGAGTGCTTGGGAACCCTCTGGACTGACAGACTGAGTGAACCCGGTTTCTATGTCAGGTACACGGGGCAGGTGGGCACAGTGGGGCTAAGGGCAGATGGTGGCTCTCCGGAAGGGTCGGCATCAGCAGGTAATGGCTGAGTTCCTCCTGGTCGCCACTGTCCTGCTCATCTCCAGTGTCCCCTGCGCTGGCCATGTGGGCAGCCTGGTGCTGCTAGAGAGGAGGGGCACTTTCCCTGATGCCCTGTCAGGAGCCACGGGTACATGGAGGGAGTGGCTGAGGGCCTGTGCAGCTCAGAGGGGTCACATGACGGGGCAGAAACTGGGCTGGAGTGCCACAGCAGAGGAAGTGTGTGCCCCTTCTCTGCCCCGAGATGCAGAAGGCTTGTCCTGGAGGGCTTTACACTCTGTGCCAGGCTGGCATTCCCACAGGACAGTGGGAGACACTGTGTTGTGCCCTGCCTCTCATAAGCAGGCAGGGCAGAGCCCGTCTTGTCTCACTGGGAGACAGGCTGCATCCCGGGCTCAGGCCCCAGGGCTCCTATCTGACCCCAGGCTGATACCCATGCCAGGCTGAGCAGCTTGGTGAAGAAAGTGCTTTCCAGATGGGAAAACTGAGGCACAGGCTCCCTGGATGAGGCCGTGGCCCCAGCCCCAAGCCCTGCAGAGTTCTCTTGGGTCTGTGCTGGGCTCTACTGGGTCAGGCTGGGCAGTGGGCTCTGAGACACCCCTTACCAGGGACATTGGAGGGGCCATAGTAAGCTTGACACCATCTGGGCATCCCCGCCCCTGCAGCCTGTTCCACCTCTCTCCCCATTGCCACTGTTCAGGATCTGGCCATCTCTCCTTGCCCACTTTCTCCTAGCGTCCACTTACCTGCTTGCCCTCACTCCCAGGTGGCTGGAGGCTGCTGTGGGTGGTCGCGGGGAAGCTGTGTGCCTGTGGGCCTGACGCGATTCCCGTGACTCAGGACCACACTGTTGCTCAGGGCAGCCACCAATGGCCACTCAGCTCATGGCCTAGGCTGCTCTGGCAGGCACCCCCACCCCCATGTTTCCAGGGGCCCCAACTCACCCTAGAGGTGCCTGTAGCTGGCTGTTTGAGCAGCGGTTGCACCCCCTCTTCCCTGACCTGCCCTTCCCAGGTGAATTGGCTGGAATTCCTTAGAATTGGCTCGGCCCCTGGCCACCTGTGAAGAGCTGCAAGGTGGGGCCTCCCGGGAACGGTGCCCCCACATGGCCCAGGAAGATGTAGGCCCCATGGGGGCTGGCCGGGGATTGCCGTTGGCTCTGGAGGAAGGGTAGCCTGTGGCAGGCCTGGGACCTGAGACTTTCTCGCCAGCTCCAACCGCTGGTCAGGGACCCTTGCGGAGCCCCTGCACTACAGGCCTGCCCCTGAGCAGGGAGCAGTTGGCTGAAGGGGAGGCCAGGCCTCAGAGCCTTGTCCCCAGTGCTGATAACTCAGCAGAACCAGCTGATGGCTCTGCGCCTCGTCAGGCCCTTGTCCCAGGGTTGCCCATGTCCTGCGGGCACCCAGAGCCCAGCCCTGTGAGCCTCACTCAGGGCCTTCCACGTGCACAGACCATTTGGCCAGCTCATCTCCCCTCCCACTGTGGGCTCAGCCACTTGCTTTTTCAGCATTTCCTTTCTGAAAATTTTTAATTTTTTTTTTTCTTTTTGAAAGCAGGGAGAGAGAGTTTCATCCACTGCTTCACTTCCTTAAGTGTCTGCCTGGGTAGGACTGGTCCAGGCTGAAGCCAGGAGCCCAAAATTCCATCTGGGTTTCCCACGTGGGTGGCTGTCCCCTGCTAGCCGGAAGCTGACCTGGGAGCAGAGTGGGCACTTGAACCCAGGCACTCTGATGCAGGAAGCAGGTGCTCCCGACATCCAGCCCAGGTCAGCGCTGCTGTTGTAAATGTGTGGATGGTTACCAGGTGCTTATGACATTTCTGGGCTCAGACCTCGGACCATGTGACCTCTGCCCTGGCCCCCATGAGGAAGACATGCCCACCAACATCCGTTTCATCCACTGGGTGCAGGACCTGACCTGGTCCCCTTGAGTGGCAAGGGTCCAATTGATTATGTGATTGAGGGAGCCTTCCTGCAGCTTCTCTGTATTCTGACCATCCCCATCCCAGAGCAATGGAATTGGCTGGGGAGCCTCCGCCCCACCTCCTCCTGGCTCCTCCCCAGCCCCTCCCCCAGCCCCTGGCTCCTCCCCAGCCTAGCCCCTACCACTGCTCCCCTGACTTAGCCCCCAGCCCCCAGTTCCTCCCCCTGAGCCCTGGCCCCCGCACCAGCTGCCACAGGGTGAATCACAGGCTGACCGGGGACACTGGTGACAGCCCAGGGGCTTAGAATTCATAATTCACAGACATAAGGACCACATTATCCTGCTGAATTACAGCACTGGAAGCAGGAATATGGGCTACAGGCGGCTTAACCACGCTCACTGCTGGCAGCAGGACCAGCTGTGGACAGCCTCCCGGTCCCCCCCACAGCTATAGGGTCACCGAGTAGCCAAGGGCACAGGTCCCCTAGGGTGAGTGCCCCTGTCCAGTCCTCGGGGCCACTGGGAGGTCCCAGGAAGGGCCAGGGCGTCACATGGTGGCCTTTTCTTCCCATGGGGACAGCACTGGGGCTGGGAGGCCTGTCTTCCCTGATTACGCTGGCCTGCCCCTTCTGGCCCTCCCATCCCACCCACTGGGAGGAAAATTCCCAAGGATGGGGGCCAAGCTGTCTGACTCCTGCCCGCAGGCCCAGCCCATCCTCCTGCTTCACCTGGCTGGGGTGTTCTCTCTGCCTGCATGTGGCTGCCTCTCTGCCCGTGTCCCATCTCTCCCCTGATGTCTATGTTCACACTCTGTCTCTCTTTCTCTCTCCCTGGGTCCCTCGTCTTGGACCTGCTCCCACTGTGTGTCCCCCACCGTCCTCCCTGCCCCTGTCCCTCCCAACTCCTGCGCAGGCACCGATGACCTTGTTCCCATTGTGAGACACTGCTGGCCCTGTGCCTTGGCACTTGCACAGGGAGCAGTGTGACCGGGAGGACTGGTCTCAGGGGAGTGGCCACAGTTGGGGCCTGGCAGGGAGGTGCACGGGGTTGGTGCCGCCTCCGGGGCCTGGCCGACCTGCTCAGCCCTTGAAGGCTGGGTGAGGCTTGTGTGTCTGACCCGATCACGCTGCCAAGGCCGTGTGCCAGGGGCATGCTTATGTGCTGGCTGGGATCCGAGGATCCTCGCATTACATTGAGGGCTATGGATCACACTGCAGGCACAGGGCTGGGTCTGATTTGGGTTTTAAGATGGAGCCCTGGCTGCCAGTGGCACACGGGCTGCTTGTGCTTGCTGGCACACGGGTCTCAGCAGAAGGCCTCTGGCTTGCCGTTTGTTGCAGGTGCCAGCGGCTGCCGTGTGCACCCACACCCTGAGTCCAGGCAGCCCCAGGATACCACAGCTCAAATGAGAAGGGAAGGGATACCTTTGTGGAGGAGGAAATGACCTCAGGGTCACAGCCAGCAGCCACGTGGGCCAGGATTTGGAGGCCCCACCCCTCGGCTTTGATCCCAAGTTCTTGAGATCCAACCTGGGCCCCTGTGTGTGTCTAGCAGGGGTGCTGTGCTCAGCCAGCTTCCTAGGTGCTGGGGTGGCAGCTGCCCTGGTGGCTGGCAGGGCCTCATTGTAGGTCTTGACAATGGGCCACCCTACCCACATCTCCTAGGAAGGGCAGGTGTTGGTGAAGGGGTAGCCACTGAGGTGACCCTGCCCGACCCCACTCCCCACACCAGTCAGGTTCCCAGGGCTCCTCCCTTCCCGCCAGGAGGTAGGTGGTGTCCGAGGGCCAGGGGCACCAGGGCCTGGTAGGTACTCTGTGAAGTGTATTGAAGTAATTGAGGCATTATGTAGTCAGTGTGGCTAAGTAGTGCCAAGTCCCCCGCCCTGCTTTCTCAAAAGATTTATTTACTTACTTATATATTTACTTGAAAGGCAATTACAGGGAGAGAGATCTTCTGTCCACTCATTCATTCCCAAATGGCCACAGCAGGAAGGAATGGGCCAGGCTGGAGCCAGGAGCTTCTTCCTGGTCTCCCATGTGGGTGCAGGGGCCCAGGGACTTGAACCAGCCTCTGCTGCTTTCCCAGGTCATAAGCAGGGAGCTGGATGGGGAGTAGAGCAGCCGGGACTCGAACCGGTGCCCACCTGGGTTGGTACTGATGTAGGTGGTGGCTTACTTGCTATGCCACACTGCTGCCTTTCCCCCCAATGCTTTCCATAGCTCGCTTCAGGGTCTTGGCTTTGTCAGCTCCCAGACAGCTGGCACCACCGCCCTGTTGGACTCCTTGCCTCTAGAACCTTTCCCCAGCAGCCCCCACAGTTGGCATTTCCTCACCACCACAAGACCTTTATTTGCTTGGGCCTTACTCCATGGCCGGGGGAGGTGGCCTGGGGCGTCTGCACAGAGCCCTGCAGCTCAGGGTGGCTGTGGTACATCCCACATGCGCACTCCGGGCATTGGGGACTTCTGTCCGGGGTCTCTGCCCGCTGGGGGTTCAGCCCCGGCTTGTAGAGGGAGTGAGCTAATGGGCACTCAGAGAACCAAGCCCCCAACCTGCAGGACCTTGCTATGTGAGGCTGTGTGACCTTCCTGATGATGGGAGGAGGGTGAACGGAGAGATGAGGGTCTCTTCCCATGTTGGCCAAGAGCAGGCAGCCTGTGTTGCTTCTGGTACCATTGTATTCTAGGAGCAGGGGACCCTGAGCATTTGAGCCGATGGCTCTGGCCAGCCCTGGATCCTGACATCTTTGCACAGACCGCTGGTCTGGGGGACAGTCCTGATGGGCTCCTGGGTCTCCCCCAGACCAGCAGTCTGTGTGAAGCTGCCAACAACAGGGACCCTACGAGTGCTGCCAGATGTCTGTGTGGTCCAGGCACACAGGGAGCTGCTGAGGTCTGCAGAGCGTGCCCTCGGCCACAGACAGGGCGTCTGTACTTAACACCCAGACCCACAAACCCACGGCCCACGGACAAGGTTCATAAGCCCCACGTTTGAGGTCTCAGGGTTGGCTGCCCGCTAGATACCTGGGAAATTAAACTACAGCCACCTGGCTCTCAGCCAGCTTCCCTGGTGCCAAGCTATGCACCGTAGGGCCCCCAGGACTGGGCTGCCTGACCTGTGGCTGCCATCCTGAATTGTGAGAGGGTTGGCAGCATGTGGGCAGAGCAACCACACGTTCACCATCGAGGCTGTGCTATTCACTCCCCTCATCCTCCTGCCACCTGGGGTGCATGGTCATCAGTCCATGAGAGAGGGCGTCAGCCTGGCCCGGGCTCCGGCAGCTCGCCACGCTGCTCTGCACACTCTGTGGGGCGTGGAAGGAGCCTCTGTGCTGCTGCTGGCAACAGATGGAGTCGGGTCCTGGGGGCGAGTCCTGGCCCTGCTGCTTCACCTGCGTGCTTGTGCCTCAGTTTCCCCTTCTGTAAAGTCTGCTGGAGGGGCAGCAGGTAGAGAAGACCATGCAGATCTTAGGTCGCGAGCGTGTGAGCTGAACGCTGTGACAGCTCACAGTGCTAGTCTGGGGAGGCATGATGATGGGAGGGGCGGGCCAGAGCTCCCTGCTGGGCTGCCGCCCTGCACTCTGTGGCCCGGAAGCAGCTGCTGTGGCAGTCAGCTGATGGCATCCCATGGGACTGCAGCGACAGAGCCCAGGCAGTGGGCCTGGTGGGGCATCCCCACTTCTCTGAGCTTTCCTTTATCGCCACCTGCAGGATGTTAGGCCAGAGCCGAGGACTCTAGGAGATGGACCATTTGGCATCCTCAGTGGCCATCTCAGGCATGGCCGTTCTCACCCACATCCTCTCTCTGGGACTGTCTAGGGACAAAAGGCAGGTCTGGGTGCAGGGCCACCCTCCTCAGCAGCGTCCCGGGGCACATGGCTGTGTGGGCCTTGGTGCTCCAACATCCCAGACTCCCCAGGCCAGTGGACAGATGTAGCCCTGCTGTCTGGGTGAGGAGAGCTGGGCACAGCCCAGGGTGACCCCTGCCTGTCCGCTGTGATGGGAAAGCCCAGATCTGCCTTGGGCGAGGGGCCACTGAGGTTCCGTGGCCAGCCTGAGAGAGGCACGAAGGCGCCCTGTTCTGCCATCTTGAGGTTACACTGAGGCTTTGGGGTCAGGAGCATGGCTGCATGTGGGTGAGGAGTCAGCAGTGACATGGGGCCAGGAGCGTTCCCAGCCAGGCCGTATCTCGGCACCCACGGATCCTTGGCCTGGCCCCAGTGCCCACCTGCAGCTGAGGGCGGGCCTGAGCTCAGGGCGAGAAGGACAAATGCAAGTGTTTCTCTTGGTTCCCTCCCAGCCTCCTCTCCCTGCTGTTGGGGTTTCTTTCTGGCTGGCAGTGTGGTAGCTTGGCACCCTCTGCGGAAGTATGTTGTGGTGGTCAAGAAAATTGGCACATGCCTTCTCCAAAATCAAACGGGACAGAGAGAAAGTCAGAAGACAGCGCTGGTCACTTGTGCCCCCCGCCCCTGCTCCAGTCCTAGCGAGGGAGGGCAGCACCCGTGCGCCTGGGTGGGCTAGGGAAGGAGAGGGAAGGGCCAGGCCCACAGGAGAGAGAGGCCAGCACTGCCCCGAGCCTCTTCGGTCCTTGCTGTGGATGGGAGTGCCCAGAGGGGGAGATCAAGGCCTGGCAGCAGGGTGGGTGGGCATTGTCCTGACCGTGACCCACCTGCCAGCAGGCATGGGGAACGGAGGCACAAGGAGGGCCTGAGCCCCCAGTGCCCACCTGAGGCTGGCTGGGCCACCTGCCCCCACCAGAAGTCCCAGCTGCTGTACTGAGCAATCCACAAGGGATCTCTCATTTCAACCCTCCGGCCACTGGCTGAAGCATAAACGCACTGGATTTGCTCTCATTCAGAGCACGGACAGGTTCAGTCTCACGTCAAAGGTACACAACCTTGTGGCAGAGGAGGCAGGGCTGGAACCTGGGGCGTCTGAACCTGCCCGGCACTTCCTGTACCTCCCCCTGCCCTGCTCCCAGCCCTGAGCAATAAGACGCAGCTGTGACCTCACTGCTCTGGGTCCACTCCCACACACCTGCAGGCCTTGCCAGCCACTCCCTCCTTCCCGCAGCTCGTGCGGAGCCCAGGTGGAGATGACTGATGACTGACTGTCCTCTGTCCCCTCCCTGCTCTCCTGGGCCTGACAGCAGCAGCAACAGCAGCAGCAGCAGATGCCCCGTAGCAGCCACGAGGAGAAGGAAGAGAAGGAGAAGGAGGCGGAGAAGGAGGAGGAAAAGCCGGACGCCGAACACGACCGGGAAGAGCTCAGCAAGTAAGGCCAGCGCTGGGGCCCTCGCAGCCACCTGCGTAGCGAGGGAAGCCTGTCCCGAGTCCTCCCTGTCTGTGCCAGACACCCCCCACCACCCAACAGTCAGCTGCCCAGAGAGGGAGGGCTGTCCTGGGTCCACTGTCTGTCAGGCAGCTCCTCTCCGCCAGCCGCCTGCCCAGAGCAGGAGACCTGTCCTGGGTCCACACCCCAGCTGCCAGCCCAGAGCTGTACCGGGTCCATCCCGTCTGTGCCAGGCAGCTTTCTGTGGAGCCCTTAGAGTCGGGTAACTCCTGAGCCCTGCTCCTGGGGCAAGGGTGTATGCGCTGCTCCTGCAATGCTGTGCCTCAGTAGGGAATCTCTGGTGCCCTGGGAGGGGCGTGGGGACCAGAGGAGCTCGAGAGAGGGCCTGGGTTGTGGCAGGTCCCTGTGCCGTCAGGGCAGAGTGAGGGTGCCGCTGGTACCAGGTAACTGCAAGGGGCCCACCCAGCAGGGGCCTTTGAGGGAGCTGAATGGGTAGGAGGGCGGAAGGCGGGGTCTACAGCAGTAGCCTGAGAGCTCTAGCTCTGTGCATGCTTACACACACCCCATGCCCTTACTGGGCCCGCCTGCAGGGGCCTGGCAGGGCAGATTGCCCCTGCGTCCTGCATGGGCACTGAGGCCAGGGGGCACGGCTTTTTCAGCCATAGGCTGTGAACTGGTCCCTTGGTGGACATGGCAGCTTGCAGTCATCCAGCGTGGCTCACACAGCCCTCCTAGCAGGGTGCAGAGTCCCGCTCAATGCTGCCACCACCCTCTGTCAGAACGGCCCCTCCTCACCAACTAGAGCAGACAGAGGGTGGAGCTTTGCCTCTGCCGTGGTGCCCGGCGCAGGTGGGAGTGTCCCCGTGTGTCACTATGCGTCTGCAGGGAGAAGACAGACGACACCTCGGGGGAGGACAATGATGAAAAGGAGGCCGTGGTCTCCCGAGGCCGCAAGACTGCCAACAGCCAGGGGCGGCGCAAGGGCCGAATCACCCGCTCCATGGCCAGCGAGGCCAACAGCGAGGAGGCTGTCACGCCGCAGCAGAGCGCCGAGCTGGGTGAGCCACAGGGGCCCACAAAGGGTCGTGGACTGTGGCTGGCCGAGGTCACTCCCTGCAGCTCAGGGCCTGGCCAGGTTGGGGTCAGATCCCAGCATCGGCCATGGGTCCCCACTCTGGGCCCTGTGGGGACTTCTCGGTTCTCCCTGTGTCTCCGTGTCCTGTCCTCCCTAAAGGGACGTTGCGGTAGGGGACCCCGACGTGGTGTCCAAGTTGAAGTATAGAAAGGGCCTGGAGGGGGAAGGTGTGCTGGGGGTGTAGACAGACTCCCCGAGAGTCCAGGGCACCCCTGATTCTGGGTTTTTGCCATGGGGCAGCAGTTGGTGATTGAGCCACCCTCTCTCCCAGCATGGCTCCCACTGTCCTACTGGGCATCCATGTCAGCCCCCGGGTTGTGGCCTCAAATTGTCTCACCTCTGGGTGCTTGGCTTGCAGCCTCCACAGAGCCACCCAAGGCCCCTGGTGCTCAAGCCAGGTCCTGCTGTTTCTCCCAGCCTGTGGCATGGGTGTTCTATTTGGGTTCTCCCTGGTTACCGTGGGTCTTGGGTCTGTGCCAGGCTATGTCCCCTCTTCCCTTGAGACATAGCACGGACCCATTCCATCAATGGATTCCTTGAGGGCACAAGAAAGGACCTAGCCTCCCAGAAGTCACTGGGACAATCAGGATTTGAAGCCAGCCCCCTTGGATTTCCAGGCTGGGCTGCAGGGTGGCACACACGGCCTGACTCCCCAAGCTGTTACAGCATCCCCCACTTCTCTCGGGAACTCCCCTCTGCAGCTGGAGCTGTTGATTCAGCTCCCCTCTGGTGGGGAACGCACACTTCCAGGCAGATCCTTGAAGGGGAGGAGCAGAACTCGCACCCAGGGCTTCTCCAAGGAGCACTCAGACAGCCATGCACCCTCCCTGGGCCAGCCTGGGGCCCCTCTGCATAGCAGGAAGTCCCCTCCTACCCTTCCAGATGGAGAAGGGGTGATGCCCCCACCTCCAAGGCACTTCTGTCACCCCTGGAGTGGGACACTGGCACGAGGCTCACAGAGGGGGCTCCTGCCGGACGCTGAGTGGGCAGGGGCGTGGAGTGCCTGGGGGTGACCAGCCCAGCTGAAGCTGCACAGTCACCGCATCACCAGGTGGGCTGGTCCCAGGCACAGGGGCAGCTGCCTGGTTAAAGCCCTTGACAAGCTCAGTTTGCCTGTCTGTGACACGGGGCCATCTTAGTGAAGGTACCTACAGCTGCTCGGGGTGGGGTGGACGCCAGTGGGAAGGCACTGCAGAAATGGAGCACAGCTGGGAGGTGGCCCTGTCGGGGACCCCCTAGGTTCTGGTCAGCCTGCCGTCTCCCTTTTCAGCTTCCATGGAGATGAATGAGAGCTCCCGCTGGACAGAGGAGGAGATGGAGACGGCCAAGAAAGGTAAGGGTTTGCCAGGGCCTTGTGGTGGCCTGGGCATCTGCGGCTGTGTGGTGAGAGAGGTGACCGTTGGACCGTTGGCCTTAGATCGGGGACAAGGGTGAGACTGGGATAGGCCAGCTGCGATCCCAGGATGTTTTCAGGTCAGTTGTTATTTCCCAGAGCCTTGATGTTGCCATCCAGGAAATGGGCGTGTAGGACTGTGTCCTGGGGCTGCAGACCTAGAGGAGAGTGGGGCACAGCCCAGAAACAGGAGTGGTGCCGTGCGTGGGGCTGGTGACTGGCCCCGTGGTGGCCCCTGCACTGAGGCAGGTTTTTGTTCTCCGATGGTGTCTTTCTCATGCCCGTCCTGGTGGCTGTGTGATTGCATTTCGAGTTTCGAGTGCCAGCAGGGACGGTGGGGTCTGGAGTGGTGGAGGCGTTGGGGTTGCTGGCTTGGTTGTAGGGGTTACATGCGCTGCAGGAGGGGGCTGTCGGGCATGTGTGGGTGTCAGCAGCAGAAGTCCTGTCCCTGAGACCCAGGGCAGGGGCAGGGCAAGCAGGATGTTGTCGTGGAAAGTGCACACACGTTTGCAGTGGGAGATGCCTGTGCCTCGGTGACCCGGGACTGGGCCTTGGTTTGTCAGGTCGACGTTGCGGGTCCTAAGGCCAGGCTGACCCACTTGGAGCTGCTGGGCGCACTGGCTTGCCACTCGCTGTGCCCATTGCAAGGCTCCTGATAGTGCTGCGCCTGGGCCCATGCCTCCGCATCCCCAGACCTGAGCCTTGGGAGGTGGGTCCTGTGTCTGTCCCAAGCACCTGGCGCTGGCATTGGAGGCCCTTGTGGCTGTGCTGGAGGCCGCATCTCCAACATGTGGCGTCCTTGTGCAGAAACCGTAAGCCATAGCTCCCAGAGGGGACTAACAAAGGCCCAGGTGCACAGGGCAGGGGTCCAGGACACTGCTGCCCTGCCCCCACCGTGCCTTGCCGGCGGCTGAGGGTCCTGCCGGTCACTGCTCTATATGTCTGTTCCCCTCGCACCCTGCCGCTTCCCCAGAGCCCTCAGCCTGAGGGTCTGTGGGACAGGAGGGGGTCCCTGCCTCCATGTGGCTGAGTGGAGCAGGCGCAGTGTGGTTGGTCATGCCACCTGTTTCCCGTGTGCTCTGCCCTTTCTTTGTGAACTAAGACTTTCCTGGAGTTGTGTCAGGTTTTCCTCTGATTTGTTGGGTGCTGCTGAGGCACACGGAACTTACGGCCTAACCCTTTAGAAGTGAGCAGCGTCATCTGTAGGAGGTGCAGTTCCCACCTCTGGCAAGTTCCAGAACTTTCCACTGCCCCAGGCAGCACCCCTTGCTGCTCCAGCAGCCCCAGTGAGCTGGCTGCTCTGGCGGTCCCCCGAGCGTGGCGGGTGCCTGGATGCCTCCCGATTGGTCGCTGTCGTCTGGTGCACTTCCCCACGTGGCTCTTCCTGCTGAACGATGCCTGCACACACAGGCGTTGTGCGTCCCTGTCCGTGCTGGTGGGTGTGGGAGCTGGTTCTGCCTTGGCTGGCGTGTCTGGGACTGCTGCGAACCTCCTGTGACCCGCCTTCGCCAAACCCTGGCTGGCTGATTGATGGTCCAGGGCTCTGGCCACCGGGCACTCCATGTGAACTGCTGCTGGTAACTGGTAACTGCCTTCCCTCCCTCCCTCCCTCCCCGTGGAAGGAAGGGACTGCGTTGAGTCACTGCGGAGACGGGCACGCACCCCACCGTCTCAAGGTTGGTCCTCGGTGAGGACGTGTGTGAGCTCATCACGGGTCTGGCCCACAGAGCCTGCGGCGGAGGCCCCGGGGGCTGCGCTGCCGAGGCTCTGCTCGTTGACATTTGCGCTCGTCTGCCGTGAATTACAGCAATCTGGCCAATTACACACAGGGTGGCTGGCTGCGGGAGGGAGGGAGGGCGCGGGCGGGAAGGCAGGTGCTGCAGCCCCCAGCAACTCCTTCTCTACAGCCGGTGGGGGAGAAGGCAGGGAATGTTCCAAAGCTTCCTGTCCAGCCCCAGGGGGGTCCTGGAGGTAGGGAAAGAACCCCCAGTGAGCAGCCGGTGTTCAGGCCCCTCCCCTTTACCCAACCCCTACTGGGCTGCTGCGGCGGGAGTCTGGACCATCTTTGGCTCGGGCAGCCGGCTGTGCTAAGGGCCTTGGCCCCTGGTGCCCATCCCAGAGAGAACCTCGTCGGCAGCCTCTTCCCCAGAGACCCTGGAGGCCAGTCAGCCAGCCTGCACATGCCGGTGTCTCCAGATGCACAGTAGGAGGCAGCACAGCACCCACTGTGCGCTTCCTGTGGCCACCACAGCAAGGTGACTGCAGACAACAAATGCTCCTGTGGTTCAATGAGCTGGGGCTGACAGGTGCGCCCTCACTGAGGCCCTGTGGGGTCCTGCCCAGCCCCCTCTGCTGTGTGCATCCAACTTCACGCAGCTTCTCCCTGTGCATCTGTCCACGCTGCCTCAGGTTGGAACCCTCCCCAGTTCCATGTGGCCCCATCTTAGTTCCACCTGCGGAGTGGGTTCTCAGACACGAGGTGCGCGGCTAGCGCTGTCTGAAGGCCCTGTCCTGGCTTGGCCAGCCCTGCTTCATCAGTGTCTCCTTGGCTGTGCAGCTGGGTGCTGCCTCCTAGAGACACCACAGGGTGACACGGGCGGACATGGGGGAGCTCTGGCAGGCCCCACAGGCCGCAGAGCCTTATGTCCTGGGTTCACATCCCTGCTCTGCCTCTTATGGGCAGGCGAGTGAGGGCACTGGGAAGGGTGCCCACAGGAGGGGCCCTGTAGTAGGTGGCCACTCCTGGGTCCCTTACTCAGATGAGAAAACCAAGGCCTCCAGATGGTTAGTGAACCAGGAAGGGCAGCACTGGGAGGGAAGCTGGGCTCTCTAGCTGTCAAGGAGGAATGGGGGCCAGCTACTGCTCACCATGGAGGCCAGAAGTGGGCATGGCCCATGCCAAGGCCTGTGGCAGTGAGGTCAAGTGAGAAGCTCAGAGGAGGAGGTGAGAGGCTGGGGTAGAGGAACTCCTGGGCGCCTTGCCAGCCTGGAGTGGAGCTGGACGGCGAGGATCACCACCTCCCCTCCAGCCTCATGTTACACAGATTGCTTGCTGGTCCTGAGCCCGGGTGAAGGGCTGCCTCCCCCTGGGGAGGGTCACCCTGGCCTGGTGTGGGCAGAAGGCTCAGGGCTTAGCTGGCAGCTCCTCCCGTCCCAATCCCTACTGTAGTGGCCAAGCAACAACCGTGTAGTATGTTGGGAGGCTCCTGGTCACTTGGTGGTGAGGGAGGTCCAAGACTTGGAGGAGGGAGCTGGGAACCCCCAGTGTGTGGCCATCGCCACAGCCTCATCCTGTGGCACATTGTGGGGTCCACAGAAGAGGAGCATCCTGCATGCTTGGTCTGGATGGCAGGAGACAGGTGGCCCCAACTGGTGACCAGACAGTGTGGGGTAGCAGTCAGCATAGGGGTGAGGCACAAGTGGCGGCGGGACCCCACTCAACGTGGGTAGTGGAATACAGGTGGGACAGTGTTGAGGGGAGCCGGAAGGACCAAGTGCAGCCCCCCAGGGCTAGCCCAGGTGGCGCAGGAGCAGCCACAGCTGGAGCCAGTGTTGGAGATGGTCCGTTAGGGTCCATGACGCCCTTTCCCTACCAGCTCACGGGGGATGTCCCGGCCCCCTCACTCCCAAGGGAGTCACAACGCAGTGTTCATGTCTGTCCTGACCCAGAGACAGCCGGGTGGCGATCGGCAGTGGCTCCTCTTGTCATGTGGCTGCTGCTCACACACGCGCACGATTTTGGCCATGCAGGCGTGGAAGCCAGCACAGTGTGGACCCTGACCGCTTTGTGGATCCCAAACGGGGCTTTTGTGCTCGTCTCTGCTGCTTAGGGAAAACTTGACGTGGAGAGCTGCCATGGCATTTCCTCTGGTTCCCTTCCGTGCACATGGATGGCCTCGTGGGCTGGAGCGGCTCAGTGTTGTGTCGCGACATGCCTGTCAGTTGCAGGTGCAGTTGCTGGAAAGGGTGTGAGGGCTCTGGCATGAAGGTGCCTGCTGATGCCTGACGCCACAACAGGGCTGGCAGGCCCCAAGGCCCCACACAGCAGCAACAGCTGCAGCCCCGTGGAGCCCCCAGCCCCAGACTTGGGGTTCCTGGGAGGAGGAAGTGGTAGACTCAGGCCTAGGGTAGCTGTGGGTTCCCCCTCTCCTTGGCAGTTTGGGGGAGTCTGGGGGTGACAGGCGCCCCTCTTGTTCACTGTCTAGGGTAGGGATTGATTTCCCACTGTGGCATTCCCAGAACATGGGAGGACCCATACAGGGGAAGAAGGTTGGCTGTGGTGTGTGCAAAGCATGCAGGCCCTGGGTGGGGATTGGTCCAGGAGTGAGACCTCCGCATTGCCCTGGAGATGGAGGCCTGGAGCCTGGGACCATGTCGCTTCTCTTAACATGTCATGGGCTCTGGGCAGCTCACAGGAAGTTGTCTCCCTTGGTGGTCAGGGCAGTTCAGTCCAGGCTGGGCACCCGAGCCCCTGGGGCCACCGCCAGCCCCTCCCCGGCCCCTGCCCTGCAGGTGCTGGGCCATTGGCCTGGTTTGCGCCTGCTCTGCACTCACTCACCGGTGACTCAGGCCTCCCAGCTGGACTTCCGTCTTGTGGATTTCACTTCCTAGTCCCTGTTCCCTGGGTCTTCAGAATGAAACTGCTTCCACAGAAATCAGAAGTGGGGTCAAGCCCAGACCGCAGGGTATGTTGGCAGAACGTGCTGCCTTGGGCTGGGTGCGTTGGGGGATGTTGCACCCCTGGTGTGGAGCGGAGCACTCCCAGCCTGTTCTTGTGAGATCCTCGGCACCCTACAGGGCTGTACACCCTGTCCCCCATCCCTTGGGAGTTTCCCAGGAGCTCTAGAGGTGACAGAGATGATGAGGAATGCCAACGAGTGCCAGACTCACTGCTGGGGGTGCCGGGAGCTGTCTCTGCCAGACGTGAGCCCTGCATGCCCAGCATGGTGGTTGAGAGCTTGCAAGGGTGGTCCGTGTGGGGGCGGAGGGAGTCAGGAAAGCATCTCCAAGGAAGAAAGATGGCAGAGCTATGCGAAAGCTGACAGGCACAGGGACAGCAGGGGCACAGGGACAGCGGGGGCAGCAGGCTCAGCTGCCCTGGGGCACACTCACGGGCTGGTGAGTGCCAGGGGGCACTGGGTGTGTTGCGGGAAGGTTGACGCAAAGTGGCCCAACGAGGTTGGCATCCCTGCAGTTCCTTCGGGACTGCCCTGCCGAGAACCAAATTGGGGCTTCGATGGGTCTGGGGCCGCAGATGGACCAGGGTGTGCACGAGACACCTGCGTTCTTCTGCCTCCATGGGCGGGACAGGGTGAAGGAGAAAAGGATGTGGGCGCCCGGAGAGTCAGGAAATCAGCCATGACCTGGATGTAGCTGTCCTGGGATGGCCGGCAGGTGTGTGGGGAGGTGGCCAGGTGGCTCAGACAGGGCCCCTTCTCCAGCAGCAGGGAGCACAGGCTCCCCTCCCTGGAGGGAGGTCCTCTTGGCCCTCGGAGAGGCCCCTCCAATCAGAGGCTTCCTGCCTGGAAGGCCACACCAGCCCTGCCCACCCACAGCCCCCCCAGAGAGCGGCCGGGTGGGGGGCCGACCGCAGGTGGAAGCGGCGCCGGGAGGGGGTGACAGCGGAAGAAGCTGTTTGCTCCCGTCTGCCGGGGGTGGAGAAGCTCTGTTTTTCTGGAAGCCTCATCTGTTCTTACCGCTGCTGACGCCGCGGATGGAGGGAGAGGGAGAGACGCTGGTGCCAAGTTGGCCCGCCCTTCTTGAACCTGGGCCTCTGCCACGCTCCCCCGCCCGCCGCTCCTGCGAGCCCCGTCTGGAGGTCACATTCAGTCCTGACGCGTCGCGTCTCGCTGGGTCAGGCAGCGCCAAGAGCAGAGCCCGGGAAACAGCCCTGCTGCCCGGGGACAGCTCTGCCCCGACGGCTTTGGGTGTCTGGATTCTGCTGGGGCTCAGGGCTCTGGGGGCTTCGGCTTGGGGTCCTGCGCCGAGCGCCCACCGGACGCCGCGTGTGCAGATGACGTCTGGCACAGGAATGCCCCGGGCACAAGACTGACAACTCGGCGGCCGTCAGCTGCCGCTGGGGGGCCGTGCCTGAGGTGGTGGAGGAGCCCTGGGCCACCGCGGGCAGCGCACCGAGCTGCCTCCCGCCCTCCGGAGCCAGCGCGGCCCGCCCTCCCGCCCGCCCGCGCTCTCACTCCCTCCCTCGCGTTGGACAGAGGATGTGAGCAGAGCCGCCGGAGCCCCAGCAGAGCTGCGGCCGCCCAGCCTCCAGCCCCCTTCTCCCAGCTCCGCTCCGGGGAGCATCCTCCCAGCCGGATGTTTCCGGAAAACTTGGCCGAGGGGGAGACGCGGATGAGAGGATGTGAGTGAGCGGCCCCGGGGAGGGGTGGGGGTGGGGGGGCGCGACGTGGCCAGCAGGAAATCAGGGCTCCTTTTGGGGGGTTGGGGGGAAGATTCCACAGACCCTGTTCTTCTCCCCACGGCCCCTTCCCTGTGGTTCTAGCCCAGACTTCTAGAAGCAGAGGGCAGGGCCGAGTGTGGGTTGTGGCACCAGGGTCTCTGGCAAGTGCTGCTCCTGTGACCGGGGAGGCCCCTGTCTGGGTAATGGGACACCCACCATAGCAGGAGGCGAGAGGGCCAGCTCTACCCAGCCTGGCCTCATACCCTGCGTTTCCAGAACGGGCCGGCGACCCCTGCACCGCGCTCGTCCCCCACTCCTCCCTGCCGCGTCCATGAGCCCAGTCAGTGAGGGCCCCAGCCCCCAGCCCCGCCGTGTTTGGTGTTTATGGACTGAGTTTGAAATGTCAGCCTCTCCAGCCGCCAGGCCCTGCAGGCCCCGCCCAACCCCCCAGCAGGCCCAGATGGGGGACCCGCCCCTCCCGCCCCTGGTTCCGGGCCTGTGATCCGCTGGCCCGACGTGTTTGCCTGGACTGCGTTGGCCCCAGCGGGGGAAATATAAATAAACGCACATGGCCGTCTGCAGGTTCTGCGAGTGGCAGCAGCTGCTGCTCGCGCAGGCGGTCGAAAAGGTCAGGGGGCCGAGTTACACTTGATCCCCCCCACCCCACCCCCTACCGCAGCCCCTGGCCTGTCCTTGAGGAACCCTGAGAAACCGACTGTGGAGCCACGTGACTTGTGGCCACTGCAGGCAAGCAGGTGTCCTGTCAGGCCAGCTCCACCCCCATGCTGGGGCCTAGAGGCCAGCAGGACAGGCAGCTGGCCGGTCCCCAGAGCAGGGAGCAGTTGGTGTAACCCCCCAACCCCGTATCCTCTCTCCTGGCCTCCAGTTCCTGTAACCTGGGCAAGGGACCCACACAGCAAATAGAACAGACCCCATTCTCTGAAAAGCCAGTGGGCCTCTGCCTGTCACCTAGCCACTTGAGGGGACAGTTTGTGGACATCTGTGCTGCTGTTCTTCCATGCTGGCTGAGGCCCGTGTGTAGCCAGCCAGCCGCTGGTGTGCTGGGATGAATGGATGGGGGGATGGATGGCAGGAAAGGCCCACTTGGACTGCTGCCGCGGCCCTGAAAGCAGCCTGGGCCACATGAGGTCACACCGGTGCCAGGAGGGGCAAGGAGGTGGTGTGGAGATGTAGACAGGGAGCTGGCTGGGCAGGTGGGCGAGACTTGGCCTGGAGGAGGTGGACCCCCATTTATCTTGAGATTGGGCTTCTCTGATCCTGGATACATGACATGGGCAGGGGCTGGGGGTGCACTCTGTCCTCAGCCTGTGGGCACCAGGGGCCCTGGCCTGGCCTCCGTGTACTTGGGGTTCCTGGAAGTCTGTGGGGGGCAGGGGCTGTGATACGGAAGCACTCCTGCCCCTGATCTAGGCCACTTGGGCTACAAGTCCCACGTGGGCTGCAGCAAGCTTTGGACCCCCAGGCTCCAGCTCCCGCCCCGGCTCACTCCAGCTCCGCCCTCCCGGCCCTGGCCTGCAGCGTTCCTTCCTTTCCCTGGCCCGGTGTGGCCGGAAAACAGCCCAGAGGTCTCCAGAGGCCTCGGCTGCAGCTGTGAGCGAGTGTCAGGGCTGGGTCAGCAGGGGCCGGCTCCCCCGGCCAGCTGGATCCTGGGCCTCAGCCCCCAGTGTCCTCCATGTCCCTGGGGGCCTTCCCTCCCAGACCCATCCTTTGTGTCTGCATCCACAGGCTGTGGGGTGCAGTTTTGGGGAGATGGGGGAAGGGGGATCTGCCTCCACTCCCAGCCCCGCTGCCCACCTCACCTGTTCCCGCATCCTGCAGGTCTCCTGGAACATGGCCGGAACTGGTCAGCCATCGCCCGCATGGTGGGCTCCAAGACCGTGTCGCAGTGTAAGAACTTCTACTTTAACTACAAGAAGAGGCAGAACCTGGATGAGATACTGCAGCAACACAAGCTGAAGATGGTGAGCTCCCCTCCCCCGCACGAACGGGCTCTCCCCGGGTGGGGGGGTGGGGGGCGGGAGGGCCAGGGGTGGCCCCCTCCCTGCTGCCCCCCCTGGTGTGCGCCGGGGGCGGGGAAGGAGCCTGGTAGGTCAGGCACTGAGTCAGCCAGGAATCCACAGCCGTCAGCGCCCTGGAATGAGAAGGGAGATGCACCCCGTGAGGGCCCCCACCCTGCCTGACCTCCCTGGGCCGCAGCCGGGAGGGGAGCTCAGGTCTGGGGGAGCTGGTGGCTCAGCCCTTGCCCCCCACCCCGGGGCGGGGGAGGCCCAGAAGGTGTGGGCTTCCTCCGCAGCTGTGGTGGGGAGTTAGGGGCCGCCGGGAGGCAGAGCTGCCTTTTCCTCCTCCCTCCTCCGTCCATCCTTTTACCTTCCCACACAGTCGGTCACCCTTTAAGAGCTGAAAGACCTGAGGTTCAGCCAAGTTTTAATCAGGTTTGAACCCACAAATGTGTAAATGCGGCACCCATGTTGCCCTGTGGATATGGGAGAGGACCACACAGCCCTACCCTCCAAGAGCCCTGTGCCTCCACTGTCTCCTCTGGGCTGCTTGTGCCTGAGCAAGAACCAGCCCCTTGGGCCTGCTGAGGCCCAGAGTGGGGTCAGAGAGGGCCTCACACCCCCTTGCACACTCTTCACACCCAGGCAGAACTTGAGGGCATGCTCCTGAACTGTAGGTGCCAACAGGGTCCCCTTGGAGGGTGTGGTGCACCAGGGTTGAACACCTGCTGGATACCCTTAGGGCAGAGAGGACCCCGGGGTAGGAGGAAGCTGGTGGAAGAGGCACATGTGTCTTGGGCCAGGGTCTCTGGGAGTCAGGTGTGCTCGGGACCACCCAGGACAGGAGACCAAATCACAAAGCATTTTGTTGCTCTGCTGTCTTCCTACTCCTTGCCTCCCCTTGCCCTCTTTGCCCCTCCCCGCTTCCTCCAGGGCTCCCCCCTCCTGCTCTTCTCACTCCCCCATCTCCCCCACCATCCCAGCTGCAACCTAGATCCTACCCCCTCCCTGCTGGCCTCTCCCCTGCTGGCCTCCCAGCCTGGCCTCCCAGGTCCCACATTCTACTGCATGAGTTAAGAACCTGAAGTACCCAGCAAAGTGGACAGTACAACCAGGCTGTTGCTAAGAGATGAGCTAGTCCCAGCTCCTGTGGGACCTTGGCCATGGCTTCTCCCCACAACCCCCTACCCCGATCCTGTTTACTCGCCTGTGCAGTAGGGAGCCACTCTGGGAAGGCCAGGGAGGTGGCTGTGGCATGACCCTGGCTGTATTTTCAAGCGTCTGCCCCTTCCCATGCCAGCTCCGATTGGCAGGAGTGGGAGCAGCTTGGGCAGGTTGTGGGAGCAGACCGGCTCCCCGCCTGCATGGCCGTGGGCAGGTGTCTTGACCTCTCTGAGTGAGAGCAGCAGGTGTGCCCGCCCCAGAGGCCGCAGTGAGGAGGATCAGAGTGGAGGGCTGCCCTGGTGTTAGCCAGGACGGTGGCGAGCGACTGTCCATTCTGTCGTTGCCTCCTTCTGAGGTACTTCAGTACTTCAGAGCGGGACCCCGGGGGTGGCATTTCTGTCATTGAGCACCTACTGCAAGTGACAGCAGGTACCTCGCGGCCAAGGGACGGCTGGGGCTTTCCTGCCAGGCCAGGCGTCCCTCCATTGGAGCACAGGCACCGCTGGAAGGTGCTGCAACGCTGAGCTTCTCCCTGGTTGCGGAGACAATGAGGCGGGGCCGACAGCAAGGTGGCCTCCCTCTCTGGTGTTGAGCATCCAGCAGGAGGGAGACCCAGAGGCCAGGGCAGTCACAAGTGGGCGCAGGCCACCTGGGCTCTGAGGACAGAAGGCACAGCGCGCAGCTGTGGGGACCTGGCCGCTGTGGTCCCTCCGGGCTGGGGCCACTCATCCCGCCAGGAGCAGCCTCCTAATGCCAGAGCACGTGGCCCACACTCAGTCTGGGCCTGAACTCTGTGCCCTCACAACTCCTGCCCCTCCCATCAGCCTCCCCGGCCTCTGGCCCCTGGCCCAGCCTGTCTGGGGCACAGGAAGACACGTTCCCCTAGGCCGGCTCAGGAAGGACTGCGGGAAGCGGAGGGCCGGCAGGGGTCCCCTCCCACCTCGCACCAGGCCTGGCCAAGCGTGGCCGCCGGCGACATCAGCAGGAAGCGGAGTGCGCCCCGGTTATGTAACGCTTGGCACTGGGTCCTGCCTGAGGTTCTGCCTCCCACTCTGTGGCCGAAGGTTACCCTTCCCTCTGCTCAGTGGGTCCAGGTCCCTGGGGCCTAGCGGCCGTCCCTGGCCTCTGTCGTCTCCTGTCCCAGGCCATGCAGGCAGCGTCTCACCTGACCTGCATCCGTGTGTGCGCCTCTCCCCGGAGGTGTGTGGCTGCCTCCTGGAGCTGCCGTCCTTGTCGGCAGGCCCATTGTCAGGGTGTGCTGCGCTGTGAGAAGTGAGCTGGGAGCCAGCAGGCAGGGGCCCTAGCCCTCAGGCAAGTTCAGACATGCAGATGCACAGAGGGGGCACCCGTGGACACTGATAGAGTTGGAAGGACTGCAACAGGGAGGGAGACATCTCAGAAGTGAGGACCCTGTGGATGTCTGGGCCAGGGCAGTGCAAAGGGCCTGTGGCCGGGGCATCTGCAATAAGGTGGGCGGTGCTGTCAGTGGGTCCAGATGCACGCCACCCAAGGCCCTGCCATTGTGAAGGAGCACTGGGTGCCTGGATGTGCAGAACAGGTGTGCAGAGTGAATTAATGCCCGGAGTCCAGCCCTCTGCTGTGCCACCCCGTCTCCCACCTGCCGGGCAGCAGTCACCCAAGTATGCTTGTTGCTAAAAACAGACTGGGGAAGAGGGGATCCCTCGGCCGCAGCCACAGAAGCCACACGCCACAGCCTGCTCGTGCCTCCATAGGCTGCAGCGGCTGCAGGCTCGGGGCGGGGCTGGGGCCAAGTGCCTGGACGGAAAGTGTGACGAGTGGGCGGGCTCGGGCCTTCCGCTTTCTCCTGCTGTCCCTGGCGACTGCACCCTGCAGACCACTGTTTGCTCAGGCAGCAGCAAGACGGGAAGTGACCTGTCGCCGGGTGGGGCTGGAGAGTGGCACGTGGAGGCCCCATCAGTCCCCCACAATCCTGGGACCCAGTGTGCTGGGTGCCTGCTGGCCCCTGGGCCTCAGTACCCAAGAGCAGCTGTGCCCATTTGGATGGGGGAAGGACATGGGAGCAGCGTGGCTGAGTGGAGGATCCCATCTCGCAGTTATGGGATTGAATCCTGCCCTGAGGTCTGAGGCTGGTGTGGAGCTGTGCTGGCACAGGGCCTGCCCTGGTGTGGAGCCCAAAGCTGTGTAGTGCCTATTCTGGTGTGGGGCTGCCCTGGCGTGGAACCTTCCCTGGCATGGGGCCCCAAGCTGTGCTGCACTTGCCCTGGCATGGGGCCCAAGGCTGTGCAGAGCCTGCCCTGGTGGAGCCTCGAGGCAATATGGGGTCTGCCCTGACACTGGGCCCCAAGCTAGGCAAGGCCTGTTCTGATGCAGGCTCTGATCCGGGTCCTTGTGGTCACTGGCCGTTGCTGAGCCCCCTGGCCGACACTTCCCTCTCTGGCCCCATCATCCTCTCTCCATATCTGGACCCACGTTCCCTTAGGAACGTTAGTGCCAGGGAGCTCAGCCTGACCCGATGTGGCACATCTGCCAAGAGCCCACCTCCATCGTACGCGTCCACGTACATCACTCGGCTCCTGGATGGAGGTGAGCTGGCCATGACTCTGTTGGCCTGTGGCAGGGACTTCCCCAGGAGCCACTGGCACCTCGGGAGCTCCATGTGCACATTGGTACCCCCTGAGAGCTGAGACTGCCACCCCTCTCGCTCTATGCTCCGCCAGTGATGGCAGACGGCTCTCACAGCTCTCACGTCTCTTTATTACTCCTCCACCTCGCCTTCTATACCTTTCCCGCGAAGTCTTTAGCCGAGCACTTGCGTACAGCTGAGCCTAATTCTGCTTAGTCCATACAGCTGAATCCAACTCTTTAGTCCAGGTGTTCTGCAGGGTTAAAAGTCTAGCCCTGTGCTGCTGTAGCTGCAAGCCCAGTTCCTGTTACTGCTCAGCTTAACAAGCTCCATCAGCTCCTTAGCCCCTAACAACTCTAGGCTAGGGTCTCCAGACACCTGCACACTCAGACCTCACTTGGTGGTACATGGAGCTTACACTTGAGGACAGTGAGGTGTCTGACCCAGGCAGGCACAAGAACAGGAGGTGGTGTGGCTGCAGAGGGCACTGGAAGGTTTCGCCACGCTGGCCAGTTCTGGCTCTGACATCACTTCCCCGCAAATGTCCTTCCCATCGTGTCTGCTGCCCTGCCCTGTGGGACCCTGCCCTCCTCTAGAGGCTGTGTCCCAGATGACAGCCAGCCTTCGAGGGCAGGGCCTGGGGCAGTCCCGGGCCCTGGGCTGTTCTGTAAGGGTGTGGTGGCAGCCTGTCCCTGGGGCTCAGACGCAGATGGGGCCTGCCTGGAAAGGGTCTATGCTCTCATTCATTCCCCCTAACCAGTGGATGGAGCTGACACAGCATCCCCAGAGTGTGGTCACAGCTCTGCCCGGGAGCAACCCCAGGAGGCCAGGCAATGCCCGTGGTGGTACCGAGGGGTGACACCTGGTAGTGATGAGTGTAGGGATGCTAGGGCGTGCAGCTGGGGTGACTGACCCTGACAGCGTGGCAGGGCCTAGGGGTTCTCAGGGCCAGGCCCTGACCTTCGCTCACCACAACTTGCAGGAGAAGGAGAGAAACGCTCGGAGGAAGAAGAAAAAAGCCCCGGCTGTAGCCAGCGAGGAGGCCGCCTTCCCACCAGCCGTGGAGGACGAGGAGATGGAGGGGTCGGGCGCCAGCGGCAACGAGGAGGAGATGGTGGAGGAGGCGGAAGGTAAGGGCGGCCAGGCAGGGGCCCCTAGTCACTGGGCAGGCCTTGGGAGGGGCTCGCATCCTCAAAGCAGGCCGTATCACCGTGTCATTGTGGAGATTCAGCAGTGGGGAAGTAGGCAGTGATGCCCAGTACCCTCAGTCCCCACCACAGGTGAGGGAGTCCTCGAAGGGGGGTCGTGCCATGACCTCAGCTGCCCACAGGCCTCCTCCGCACCCAGGCTGCTCCCCACAGCCACACCTGTAGGTGAATTCAGCCCGCACCCCCTTGGCAATGCTTATCTGGGCAGAGTTCAGCCCGTTTCAGCCAGCCATCTGGCCAGCACATGCAGGAAGGCCAGGGCTGCCCGCTCCTCTGCTGGGCTCACCTGGAGATCCCCTAACTACCTTCAGATGTGGCACAACCACGTGCAAGGGCAGGGTACACGAGCCACACTGTGTCGCTCACGGAGCTCAGGTGACCTGCCGGGGCCTCCCAGCGAGCGCAGAGGGCTCTCTGAGCGTGTGTAAGAAGCCTGCTGGTGCCAAGGGGCTGCACCTTCCACCAGATGAGCACTTTGGGGCTCACTCTGCCCGACCCTCACACATACAACCCACACTCCTGACCTCTGCCAATCCAGGCAGCGTTTCACAGGGCAGGCGGGGGCTGGTTGGGGTTCCTTGGAATCTTCCAGAAGAACAAACCAGCTTCCCCCACTCTTTCCCCCAGTACCACAAACTCCTCCGTGGGGCTGGCCAGGTCAGGAGCAGAGGAGCGCGGGTAGGCCAGGTACTTCAGTTTGGGCAGCATCTGTCATGGTCACAGCTTCCCTGAGGCCAGGACCGGCCCCGGGGCAGGCAGCTCTGGAACAGCTGTGACGAGGAGGGAGCTGCCTGCTGACCTCCTGGTTCCAGCTGTGTCTCTTGAACACCTGCTGGGCACAGCCGATCAGTGTGGCCTAGGGCTTACCCCCGAGTGCTGGGTTGGGGCCTCCCTGCCTCACGGCACCCCGGGGCTGGGGCCAGGGCTGTGTTGTTTAGACGCCCGGTACTTCTGTGGCATACTGCAGCCTGAGTGTGAGAGTGGCTAAGTGCCTGTCTCATGGTAAACTGAGGCTCCGCAGGCTTACCCCTTGCCACGGAAGCTTGTCCGACAGTGTAAAGGGAAGACATTGGTGTGGTCATCAGCATTTCTGCCCCCAGCATGGCAAGCTTCCTTGTGCCTCAGTTTCTTCAGCTGACAACAGAGATTGTCCCAAGTGTGGAGGTAGCTGAGCAGTGTCTGCATCAGCCTGTGTGAAGGGCAGCCAGGCGCTCAGCACACTCCATGCACACAGGTCCTGAGGACAGCAGGTAGGCCCAGCCGGCGAATGCTGTGCACGGGCTGGGGGCTTGTTAGGGCTCAGCAGCCCCTGCCTTCAGCCTCCCCCACCTCTCCCAGGACCTAGGAGCCCAAAGTGACTGAGGCTCGTCCCTCTCCCTGTGTGACCTGTGAGTAGGTGGCTGCCAGCAAGCCATGCGGCCAGGCTGGGGAGAGCTGCTGCCTGCCAGGACCCACCCCTGCTGGCCACAGCTGCCCTGCCAACTCCACTGCTCACTGCCACCTGGCTCTTAACTCTTGTCTAACTTCCTTCCAGCCTTACACGCCTCCGGGAGTGAGGTGCCCAGAGGGGAATGCAGTGGCCCAGGTATGACCCCGACCAGCTGAGTGGAGGCCAGAGGGAGGGCCGGGCTGGGTAGGGTGCCTAGCGTTGTGTGGGGGGTGCTTCTAGAATGTGCCTCCACCTGTGGGCGCCACCGTCTGCACTGCAGCCAGCAGCGGCTGCCCCCCCTCCCGTCCCCGTTGCTTCCTGCCCGTCTGTGTGCCCGACCCTGCTGCTCAGGCTTCCCAGTGCTTACATAGCAACTTTGTGAGGAGCTTGTGTTTGTCTGCGTCTCTATTTGTAAAACAGAGCTAAAAAGCTCAGGGGGCGAGGGAGTGGGGGCAGAGGCGAGAAAGAGAACTCCTATCTGCTGGTTCACTCCCTAACTTCCCTCCAACAGCCAGGGCTGGGGCTAAAGCCAGGAGCCAGGAGCTCCATCTCGGTCTCCTGCATGGGTGGCAGTGGCCCAAGCCGCCACCTGCTGCCCTGCTGGGCGTACCTGAGCACGGGGCTGGGTGGCTCCCCATAGAATGTCCCAGGCTGCAGCCCCTGAGCTCTTACCTGGCTTAACTGGCAGGAGCAAGCCCAGAAAATGAGACCCAAGAGGTGGCCAGAGCGGTGTTAGGGCACAAGAGCCAGGGCCAGAGGTGCACACAGCACCAGTGTTTGACGGCTGTGCAACTGCCATGGTAAAGCCGAGATGGGGTTCGTGGGGTCCTGTCCCCCTGGCTGCCTCCCAGGCAAAGGTCCTGTTGCACCTTGTCCTGTTGGGTGACCACTGTGAAGCAGCGTGGTGACAGGTTGCCATCAGGAGCCCTGATGCTCCCCTGGCTTACCCACAGAGTTGAGAAATAGCATTGAGGGGTGTCACTCCCTGTCATCCAAAAGCTGACCAGGCCTCCCATGGGCATGCAGCCGAGGAAGGACAGAGTGAGTGAGAGAACTTAGTAGGGCGCAAGGAGGCCTTCTCTTGCAGCTGCCTTTAGCCGCTCTGTGGGTTGGAGGAATTGACCAGATATGGCACCTCGGTCAGTATGGAGGAGGCAGCTGGGCAGGCTCTTTAGAGTGGTGGGGTGGAGGGTCCTTGGGGCTGCTGGGAGGGCCATGCCCCTAGGCTCTCTCACACTGTCCACGTCCCCTGCACAGCCGCTGTCAACAACAGCTCTGACACCGAGAGCGTTCCCTCGCCTCGCGCCGAGGCCGCCAAGGACACGGGGCAGAACGGGCCCCAGCCCCCACCTGCACCTGGGGTCTCCACCCCACTGCCAGAGGATACCCCAGCTCCTGCCGAGTCCAGTCCGGCTCCCAAGGCCGCCAGCTCCCCCACGCCCCCTCCAGCACCCTCGTCACCCGCAGCACCTCCTCCGGTGGTCCCCAAGGAGGAGAAGGAGGAAGAGGCCACAGCCGCACCCCCAGTGGAGGAAGGCGAGGAGCAGAAGGTGCCCGTGGCCCAGGAGCTGGTGCGTGCTGAGAAGACAGAGGAGCCGGGGTCACCTCCAGAGGAAGAGGTCAAGAGCGAGTGCAAGGAGGAGGCCCAGGAGGAGGGGTCGGACCAGGGCAAGGGGCCGGAGGCAAGCTCGGAGGCCACCCCAGAAGGGGTGCTCAAGGCTGAGAAGAAGGAAGGTGGGGGCAGCAAGATGGCTGCGACCAAGGGCTCGGGTGCCCCGCAGGACAGCGACTCCAGTGCCACATGCAGCGCCGATGAGGTGGACGAGCCTGAGGGCGGAGACAAGAGCAGGTCAGTGTCAGCATGTCCTCCCTGTGTGCATGGGTGCTGGGCGCCAACTGTATACAGGCCGCCGCTGCCTGTCCTGGGAAGCTCATGGTCGAGTCAGGGAAGAAGACTGGGTGCAAAAGGCCCTTCGGGGTTCCATGGTTGCCGGAAGTTCTCAGGGGAGTGCTGGGCGGCGGGGGTGGCTGCTCCTCCCTTGAGTGGAGGCCCTCTGTGGTCTCTGCAGCAAAGCACCACTCACAGTGGACCACAGTCCTGGTCCAAGGTGTGGACGGGCCACGTCGCGCCTCTGCTGCCAGGGTGTGCTCTGGCTCTGCCTCCGTCGGCACGTGGCTTCCTCCCCCACTCATCTCCATGTCCAAGTTTCCTTCTTATAAGGACACCAGGCCCTGCATTCGGGCTTGGCCAGCTCCAGGGTGACCTCATCTTACTTGGTCACAACGACAGGACGCCCCATGTCCAAATAAGGCCTCTCCCACAGGTACCCAAGGGTGAGGACTGAGTGTGTCTGTCCTTGGAATGGCAAGAACAGCAGGTGCAAAGGCCCTGGCCCACAGCCTTGAGAGAGGGGTCGAGGGTGAACACAGGGCTGGCGTGGCCCTGTGGAACACACTCACAGTCAGGTGGGCACCTGCCCAGGAGCCCTGAGCTGTGGTTCATCTGCTGTGCTGGAGCTCAGGTCAGGGTGAGAGGTATGAGGGATGAGATGGTGGGACCGGAGATGTGACAGTGCCATGTGGGCCTGGGGGCTCAGGCTCTCTCGGCCTCAGGTTAGGCCACTCTCTTAGATGCCCGCTCCTGCCGTGGACACTTCTTTCCCAGCTCTGGGAATGCTAGATTTTAACCCTTCCTGGCCCAGGCCAGGAAGACCAAAAGATGGAAGGTATGGCCAGTCCTGGGGTAGGGCCCTCTGTCCTGCTCACCCCTGGACACCCGAGGGGTTCTTTTCTGCTCAAGGCAGGCACGTGCTCCTGTTGAGACTGAAGAGTGCGGTCCCGGTAATGTCAGGCAGGCAGGTGCAATGACCTTGCTCACACGCTTGGATGAGTCCAGCTGTGCCGTGGTACACACTGAACTCCTGGAGACTTCATCCACAGGAGCACACCTGTACTGGGGAGCACGGTGTCTGGCCATGAACTTTGACAAACTAAGGCCAGTGGCAGGGTCTGCGCTTCTTGCCCATCTGATGCCGCTTAGCTTGACCCGGATGGCATTCATGGCCTGCAGAAGGGCAGGCCAGGGTCTTTGTGCCTAGGGGTTGGGGCTGGGCTAGTACGCTGACCCACCCTACTGCCAGCGCAGCAACTCCTGAACTGTCTTGGCTTCAGGTGGCCTACTCTTATTGAGTAGAGGGGCTGGCTCTTATGACATCAGAGTGCTGTGAGCATCCCCCATCCTTTCCCCTGAGAGCCCCACACTTAGGCATGTGTTCCCCCCCAGTGGGGTCTGGCATCCATCCTCCCCATCCTAACTGTTATCTGGTGTTTGACATCCCCCGCCCCCTGGGGAAGGAGCTTGGGGCTGGAAGTCAAGATGCTGGCTTTGTTGCACCCATGTGCCCAGGTCAGCCCCCAACCTTGCCCTCTGCGAGCAAGGCTGGTCTTGGGCTAGCCTGGTAACCTCTTTCTGGCAGGCAGCCCCTCTGCCCACCACACACACACACACACACACACAGAAGCAGGCACCAAAGGATGCAGCAAAATGCATCAGCACACAGTCCCACAGCTAAGGCCTCCCAGGAGGGCCCCTGCGACCCCAGCTCCTGGCTGCCCGCCCGTCATCCTCCTTCCTGCCCGGCAGCCCCTGGGCAGGCTCAAGCCCGAGCTCAGAGTGGCCCCTGCCTGGGAGGTTAGTCCTAGAGCAGGGTTGTCCTCCTCCTGCTCCTTACCCTCCCCCGCTCCACTTCAGCCCAGGAGCTTTCTTGGCAGACGACCAGAGATCCTTGCTTTGATTGCAGAGCCCTGAGCCCGCCTGCCGTGCCCTGTTCCATTTCCCAGACGAGGTACCTGGCAGGGCCCAACCTTAGGAAAGTTCCTTCCCAGGGGCCTCAGTTTTTTCATCTGTGAGATGGGTGTGGTCCTGCCAGCTTGGCCTAACGTGGCTGTGATGAAGACATGAAACACCAGTGGAAAGGGGTCAGGTCCCAAGAGGGCGGAGATGTGTGGCCAGTCTGTACAGATGCTGCCAGCCCAGCCTGGCTCTGGGGGTGGGGCAGCCAGAGCAGGGCCTCCTGGCCTGTGTCAGCGCGTGACAGGGGAGCCCACATAACAGGAGGGTGGCCCTCAGCCCCACCTCCAGTACTGGTTCCAGCCACAAGCAGCTGCTGTCTGCTTTCCTGCCATTCCACATGGGGACACTGAGGCATACTTGGCTCCTAGGACTTGAAGCAGGGCCACATGTGCCAGGTCAAGCCCACAAGCTCCCACATAGTCAATCCTCCAAAGCAGAAATCAGGGGTGGTGGTGAGGGGTGGGGGGGTGTGTGTCTGCAAGCCAGTAGCAGCTGCCCCTGCTCTCTTTCTCTCCGGGCCCCTCCTGTCTCCATGAGAGGTCCGGCTGGGCGCAGGAGACGCTGGGCAAGCTGCAGTGTAGCAGCCCCACCATAGGGGACAGGAGAACAGAGCTGGGCCTTCCAGAGTGGTGGCTAAATGAGGAGCCATGGGGAAACCGAGGCAGGAGAGCCCCCAGGTCCTGCCTGCTGGGCGGCCACTGGGGCCAGCCTGCGAGGTGCCCTGTGTGTGTTATTAGCACAGACTCTGTCTCCATAGTTTTATGTTTGCTCCTGGCACGTGGACATGACCATGTTTAATGTTGCTGTGCCTGTGTTTGAGCTGCTGGCCCTGCGGGGAGTGTGCAGCCTCCTCTTCACAGCCCCACGGTCTGTTCCTTTCCAACAGCTTCCATAAGCCATGACACTTGGGCTGTGCTGCTCAGCACTTGGGGGCATGTGCCTCGGTTGCCATGTCATGCCCAGCCCCATGTGCGAGTCCGGGAGGTGTCCGTCGCCCCATTCCCGCCCTCCTGCCCTCCTTCCTGTTCCCGATGCTCAGGCTCAGGGCAGTGTGGACCGCCTTTGCCGTGTCCACGGGCATCTGCGTGGGGTCTAGAGTTCGGTCATGGGCATTTGTTTCCCCTGGGTCAGGATGATGTGGCCTGCTGTCTTCCACGTGGCTTGTTGTGGTCTTTGCAGACTGAATGTGCTGGTGCCAGCCGGCGGGGGCGGGCAGCTGGGCCAGTGATACCATCCCGTTTGGACCCAGGTCAATGTGCCTTGGCCCAAGGGTGGCAAGGAAATAGAGCTAGGCCCAAGGCCAGGGGTGCCAGGAAGGGCTGTGTCCAGGGGAGAGGCAGTAGGGGGGTCTCAGGCAAGTCTAGGGCCTGTGTGGACAGGAAGTGGTGGTGGCTGGGTGTGCTGGAGAAGTCGAGGTGACCTTCCTCTGCCGCCCGGGCAGCTTCAGCAGGTGATGCCTGGTCTGCCTGCTGTGCCCACTCAATTGAACCTGTGGTGGATGTGGGCAGGAGGCTGGCACCCAGGGCCCTGTGCTAACTGTGTGTGGAGACTGTTGCCAGCAGGGGCAGTGCAGGCCCCAAGTCCATCCCCCACTCTGGAAGGCCATGTGTGTTGGCATCCCTGGGAGCTGGGGCAGCACACAGGCTGTGGAGACAGCCTCTGCCGCCTTCCAAAACTGGTCTCAGCCATGCCCTTCAGCCAGATATGGGCCCTGGCAGGAGCCTGCCCCCCAGCGGGCCTTGGCCTCACCAGCGCTGAAGGCCTAGGATGGAGCTGGGTTCTGCCCCCTCTGTGCGCCCCAGGCCCAGGGCTGGTCTTGACACATGGGCCCTGTAGGAGGAGGTGGCCCTGGGTGGCTGCACTGGCTCCCAGGCTGCAGGGGACCCAGCTCCTGCCTGGACGGTGGGACCTTCTGGAAAGCCCTGAAGGCTTCCTGCAGGAAGAGCCCAGGGAGCCACACCCCGATGTAGTGCTGAGCTGGAGGCTGTTTGCTGGGTGGTACGCACGCCACGCTGGCCTCTCAGCTGCTTTGCCAGGCGCGGGAGGGAGAGCTTCCAGCATCGAGTGTGGCTCCCTCACTCCCGGTTCTAGGAAACAGTGTCAGCTCTTAGCCTTCCTGCTTGGGCTGAGGAATGAGCTGTCCGTGTACAGCTCGATGCTGGCCTTCATCCTGGGGACCCAGGAGCCCGGCTTCCTGGCACCTGGCTGCAGTTGGATCTGGCCCTCCCCTCTGAGTCCCAGTCGGGTTTCTCTGGAGACGTTGTGCCCCTGGCCGCTGGCTCTGACCCCTCTCAGGGCCTCTGTGGGCAGCCCCTCCCGGTCCCACACCCGTGCCCAGCCCCGACCCACGCCCCATCTGGAGCTGAGACCGGCTGACAGTGGTCTCTCTGCAGGCTGCTGTCCCCAAGGCCTAGTCTCCTGAGCACGGCCAGCGACCCCAGGGCCAGTGCCTCACCGCAGAAGCCGCTAGACCTGAAGCAGCTGAAACAGCGGGCAGCCGCCATCCCCCCCATTGTGAGTGCCAGTTGGGGTTCCCCACCAAGCCCACTGTGACAAGTGGCTTCATGTGTGCTCTGCTGCCTGGCTGTACCTGTTCCCCAGGGGCAAGGTGTGAGTGTGTGTGCATGTGTGTATGGGGGTGGGGTCTAATTGTGGGTAGGTGAGGTCTCCTCTCCCCTCTGGGACTCCTGGCTTCTCACTCCTGCTGTGTCTTCCAGCAGGTCACCAAAGTTCATGAGCTCCCGCGGGAGGATGCCACTCCCCCAAAGCCGGCTCCCGCTGCCCCACCGCCGCAGCACTTGCAGCCAGAGGGTGACGGCCCCCATCAGCCTGGCAGCAGCCCTAGAGGAAAGAGCAGAAGCCCCGTGCCCCCCGCTGAGAAGGAGGGTGAGTCCTGTGGCAGGGATGTCCGCGGGGCGTGGTGGTGGGAGGCAGCTGGGGGTGCCCAGCTATCGTCCTCCCCCGATCTCAGGGTTCCCAGAAGCACCAGTGTGCAGAGACACTAGGGTTGGGGCTCTTCTGTCCACGTGTGAGCCTGGTGGCCCCTGCATTCCGGACCAGGCTGGCTGGGGCACCACTGGGGTGGCTTCCTACCCTGTGGCCATTGCCCAGGCTATATGTCATCGTCCCCACAGAGGGTCAGCGGTCAGAGCAGAGGACAGAATCACTTGTTTGTGGATCTCCTGCTCTGCCATGCCTTCCTGAACTGCGGATGAGGAGGTGGAGCCTGAGCCCCCACAGTGTGAACTATGGGCGCCTTGGTCCAAGGAGAAACCTGCCCTGATTAGCTCCGGACATGGCAGTGCAATAGGCAGCCAGGGGGCTGGGCTGCTCTGGAGCGTACTTGTACTGGGCCAGCCCAAGGCCAGTCCCCGAGCAGCACAGCCCAGTGCACTGCCCTCCCCACACCATGCCATCCCTGTACCGTGGTCATTGCCTCCATCTCCTGGGTGCCAGCTGGCCTTCGGCCATGCAGGAACCTGACCCATGACAGAAAGCAGTGCTGGCCCCAGAGGGGGGCCCTGGAGCCCCTCTTCCACCCAGTCAGCTATCCTCACCCACCCTTGAAGCCGCCTGCACCTGCTGTAGGAAGCCTGGAGGCCTCCCAAGCACAGGCCAGCCTCCCAGGCGGGATGCAGGACGAGCCAAGGCCAGCAGGGCCCAAGCAGAAGTTGAGCAGCCACAGCTGCCACACACCGTGCTGGGCTCCCCCTCTGTGTGAGAGACAAGAAAGCAGGAGGAGATCTGGGTGGTTTATCCAGAGACCCAGAAACAAGGCAGGCAGCATGGCGAGGGGTGCTCAGACTGTCTCAGTGGAGGGCAGGAGGAGCCAGCTGTGGGCAGACCTGGCAATGAGAGCCACGTGTGCAAAGGCCTAGGGGTGGGCACAGGCTCAGGGAGTGTGACACATCAAGGGTGGGACAGTGGGACTGCTCAGTGTTGACCTTGGAAGCCTCAGAAGAGCAAGCTTTGCCTTAGATGCCACTGGTGGGAGCGTAGCCAAGTGTGTTTAAGGGCCTGGGGCACAAAATCCAACTGACATCTTGGGAGAATGTCCCTCCGGACACTTACGGAGAGAGAGTCGGAGCGAGAGCAGGAACGCTGTGTCCTGCAGGGTCAGCGGCTGCTGGCGTGGCCAGTGGCCATGGGGATGGTGGAGCGGCAGGGGCTGTGTCGTCCTTAACCTCATGACAAGGGCAGGCTTGGCTAGCTAGCTGGGTACGTGTGACACACGTAAGCAGGACGCTGCAGCCTCAGGCACCAGCCTGGGGACCTTGGTGGCTTCAGCAGGTATGGGATCTGAACTGGGCTGGAACCACCTGGGCCCAGCCAGGGCCTGCTGGACCTGGCTACACGCCCTGGCCTGGGAGAGAAGAGCCTCCAGCCAGCAGCCTCTGGGCCTGGCTCTCCGCCCTCTGGCGCCGAGGGGCCAGGCTGCTTCCTGGATTGGCTCCCCACGGGGATGGTGCACCTGGCCTGGGACACCTCGTGCCTTTCTCACGCAAGCCAGGCTGCGACTCAGCTCCCCGCAGGCCACGTGGGAACTTGACACCCAGAGCTGCCTCTCTGGTCTCTCAGGAAGTAGGCCAGGCCGGCCCTGGCTCCTGCTTGCAGCAGCTCCGCCAAACTGGTCCCTCGGGCTCTGCCGGGCCCGGCTGGAGGAACAGGCTGTCTCTCCAGGCTCTCGGCCGGCCGCCCAGCCTTGGCCCTACTTCCTCCCCCAACCCAGGCTGAGCTGAAGAAAGCAGCTGAGGTACACGCCCGAGCTGGACTGCTGGACGAGCCAGGTTCATGGCGTGTATGGAATTTCCTGGCCCCTGGGCAGGCTCGGTAGGGACTCCTCTCCTGGGGGCCAGCTGAAGATCAAGACTCCCCAAGCCACATCACTCCCTTGGGCCTCGCCAGGGCTACAGGTGGCAGCTCAGTCTCTTGGAGAGAAATGGAGGCTGCACACACAGGCCTCCACTGCCACCTGCTGTGCCCACACCAGACATCACTAATCAGTCCAAGAACCACCTGGGGTCATCTGGAGGTTGTCCAAGAGATGACCCTTATCTGCCATTCCCAGGGTGTATTTGTGCCCCACCTCTGGGCCAGCGACCCCTCCTGACCCAGGGAGAGATTTCATCGAACAGCAGGAAGCTAGCCAGGGATACCATGTGTCCAGCCTGATGCCCACCCCGAGGCCCCTGGCGTTGTCTGCAGGGTGTTCCCAGGCTGGGCTTCAGTTTTGGGGTGCAAAGGTTAAGGTCACAACTGTGGTGTATAGCCCAGTGTGGGCGTGAGGCTGCCACGTGCACCTTGCTAGCCAGGGTCTTTGAGTGACTCAGCCTCTCGCAGGCTCAAGTGTCCATCTGTAAAGTGAGTGTATCATAGCAGGGACATTAACATGCAGCCTGCTCTGACTGGCCTGCACTTCTGAGACCCCTGACAAGTGCTGAGAGGCCGTCCACAGTGTGGGGGCTCAGGCTCCGCCTCCACATCCACCGTCCTTGGTCAGCAGGCCCCTCTCACCCATCCCAGGCACATGTGGCCCATAAATGGCCTGATAACTGTGCCGCAGGTGGGCCCCGGCCACCACCCGCTGCCCCCTTAGCATTTGCTTGGACCCCTCAAGACACACACATGCTGAGCAGAGTACAACAGGGCCCAGACTGGTGGCCAGGCTGCTGGGCCTGGGGGCACCTGGCCTCACAACCCTGTCTCGCCCTCAGCGGAGAAGCCCGCGTTCTTTCCAGCCTTTGCAGCCGAGGGCCAGAAGCTGTCGGCTGAGCCCCCTTGCTGGACGTCAGGCTTGCCCTTCCCCGTGCCCCCACGGGAGCTGAGCAAGGCCTCCACACACGCCCCAGAACCCTCGGCCTTCTCCTACGCACCACCCGGTGAGTAGCTCGGCCATCATGCTGAGCCACCCGCTGCACAATCATTGGGCACCATCTGTTTGCCCTGGTTTGGAACAAACAACATACGGTTGGCCCACAGCCTGACGGATCCTGATGAGGGAGACAGCCGGGACAGCGGAGGGAATGGGGGGCTCTGGGAAAGGGGCAGCCTCAGGAGGCCTGGGGCAGGAGGTGGCCCAGCCTCAGAGGCAGTGACAGCAGCACAGCCGGGTGGATCTGAGCCATGGCGTCAGTAGAAACGGCTCTACAGAGCCTTACAGATGAGGGTCCGAGGGCAGCCAGGTGGAGACAGAGCAGGGTGAAGACTGGGCCAGTGGTAGCCTGTGCTACGGCCAAGGAGCAGGAAAGAGCAGGTGGCACTAGGTGGCACTGCCTGGGTAGGACACGGGAGCCAGGCCAGGGGTATCTGTTAGCCCCCCGGTGCCAAGACCAGGGGCTCACAGCAAGGGAGGGGGCCGACTTGCAGATCTCTCTGGTTTTTGGCAGTGGGGCAGGGGGGCTACGTGGGTCTGTATGGGAACAAGGTCCAGGCAGCCCGCCAGCGGGGCAGGCCAAGCAGGGGGCTCTGCCTGTCACCAAGGGCAGAGCTCCTGGGGTGACCCCGCCAGGTGGGCAAGGCAGCCGTGCGAAGGGTTCTCGGCACATCAGGCATGTGCAGGGCTGCTCTGAGGCCTGTGATGACGGCCGTGTCCCTGCAGGTCACCCTCTGCCTTTGGGCCTCCATGACAGCGCCCGGCCCGTGCTGCCACGCCCGCCCACCATCTCCAACCCCCCGCCCCTCATCTCCTCCACCAAACACTCCAGTGTCCTCGAGAGGCAGATGGGAGCCATCTCCCAGGTGAGGGCTGCCCCTTTGCTTGCTCCAAGGACTTGCTCTTCCGGTTGGCATGGTGGGGCGGTAGGGCTCAGAGGCAGCCTGAGGCTGGGCTCCCGGGGCTGTCCCTTCTGGTTCTGTGGAGCTGGGCTGGAAGTGCCCTTAGGGCCCAGGACCTCATGTGGGGCCAGCAGGTGGCAAAGCCTTGTGGGCCTTTTGTCTGTCCTCCAGGAGGGAGAAGCCTGGAAGCAGGGGTCCAGAGGGGCTGGCAGCAGAGCCAGCTCGTGGCAAGCACTGGGTCCCCTGCCTGTGGTGGTAGGCCCAGCTCTGTGCGGGAAGGCATCAGGCGTCCCTAGCCAAGCCCCTGTGACTCCGTGCTCTACCCCTACAGGGAATGTCGGTCCAGCTGCACGTCCCCTACTCCGAGCATGCCAAGGCCCCTGTCGGCCCCCTCACCATGGGGCTGCCACTCACCATGGACCCCAAGAAGCTGGGTAAGGGTCCAGGCCCTGCCCCCTGGAGGCCCCAGCTCTCTGCAGCTGTCAGTGTTGGGCCTGAGGGAGGGAGATGTGGTCCAGGGAACCTTGGCCTGGGTGTGGGGGGGCTGGGGCTGCAACTCGTGGGATCCTGTGGGGCTATGCTTCTCCTGCCCTCCCCAGGGGCTCAGAGCTCACCCTCTCACTGGTCCTCAGCGCCCTTCAGTGGAGTGAAGCAGGAGCAACTGTCCCCACGGGGCCAGGCCGGGCCATCAGAGAGCCTTGGGGTGCCTACGGCGCAGGAGACATCCGTGCTGAGAGGTGAGTGCCCGGCCCGGCGGCTGCCCCTCCACAGCCAACACAGTCCTGGCAGGAGCAGGGGTGCCCGGCCCCGCAGCTGCCCCTCCACAGCCAACACAGTCCTGGCAGGGGCAGGGGTGCCCGGCCCCGCAGCTGCCCCTCCACAACCAACAGTCCTGGCAGGAGCAGGGGCTGGCAGCATCACCAGGCAGTCAGGCTCCTTCCCAAGGCTTACCACGCAGCATCTCCTCCCCGAGGGTCTGCGGCCATGAAGGGGCACCAGATCTTCCATGCTGAGACTAGGGCCTGGGGAGGGACCACAGGTGGGCTCAGACAAGTGTCTTGTGTCTTGCAGGGACATCTCTGGGCTCCGTTCCGGGCGGAAGTATCACCAAAGGCATCCCTGGCCCGCGGGTGCCGCCGGAGAGCCCCATCACCTACCGCGGTTCCATCACCCACGTAGGTGGCCCGAGGACAGCATCGGGGGCCAAGGGCACTGGTACCAGGCTGAACCAACTTCCTTGCCTTTGCCTTGGGAGCTGCTGCGTGGACCAGCCTAGGGGGTGACACCCCTGTGGACGCTGACCTTGTTGGTGTAGAGTCAGTTGTTTGAGTAGTGCCCACAGGGAGCTAGTGCTGGCCAGATGACAGCAGAGCAGGTTGGCCCTAGAGGTCGGCCCTTCATTGCCAAGTGATGCCCAGGGCTGTGTCTGGTGTTGCAGGGGTGTGGAGGCACCAACTGTGGCCAGCAGGAAGAGGGAACGAGCCGGGCAGGAATCGCTGCCAACAGCAGGTGCCCAGGCTGAGCAGCAGAAGGCTTGGGGCACAGTACTGACTGTCTGTCCCAGCACACAGGCAGAGGATGGGGCGCCCATACATGCTCAGACATGGGTGCGGTCCTGCGCACATGGGTGAGGTTTCCACCATCACGCTGTGGCTGCCAAGGAGGCCGTTGGCGCTCTGTGCATCTCTGAGGCAGTGAGCTCCAGAAAGCAGCCTGGTCCTGGGCCAGGAGCAGATGCTGGGGGCAGGAGCCTAGCTGACAGGGCTGTCGGGGCCCACACACGCTGGGCAGTTTCCCCTTTGGAAGCAGTGTTCCTGAGAGGGCATCCTGGAACTGCTGGGCCCCCAGCCTTCATGCACCCAGCTCTCTGGTGGCTGTGACGTGGCCGCTCTGGCCACACGCACTGCTCTGTTGCCCCAGCAGGGATCCAGAGACTCCCAGCTCCCTGTCGCGGGGGGCCAGCCCTAAGAGACTGCGGGCTTAGCTCCTTGAACCCCCTCAGGGTGGCCAGCCTATGTGACCAAGGGCAGTGCTGCTGGCTGTCTTGTTAGTGCCACATAAAACTCACTTCTAGAGGATGCAACTTCAAGGCCATGCCAGTTCTGTCTGCCAGGAGTCTAGCTTCCCAGTCGGCCTCTCCCTTTGTCCTGCCCGCATTCTCCCGTGCAGGGGGCCTCCCTGACCACTCGGGAATACCTGTCATGCCCCGGATGGTTACCCCAGCCCCTTAGAGGGCATAGAGACTTGGGGGTGACTCACTTGAATTGAGGGTATCAGAGCAAGGTCTGTGCTGAGTGCCCAGGGACTGCCAGGCCCCCACACACTCCCACAGGGAGCAGCTACTCCAGTGGGAGCCTCGGATCACCCATGCAGGACGTGGCACTCAGCAGAGCCCACTCTAGAGAGATGGGATGGCAGGACCCCTTGACAAGGAAGCCAGGGTGCAGGAGCTAGGAACCTGGCTGATCCTGGGTGGACACTGAGGGCCTGGGGTTGGACAAGGAGATCCCACAGGGCAGGCTGTGCCAGGAGTGGTCCCTGGTGGCACTTGCCTCAGCTTCACCACCTGGTATTTGGCACTGGACCCTGAGAGCCTTGCCTCGTAGGCAGCCATACAACGCCATCCCTGCAGGCGTCCTCCACATGCAAGGGGACTTGGCAACATTCCCAGAAGGTGCAGTTAAAGGACGTGTGGCTGGGTTCCGAGACGGACATCCACGCACAGTTCCCCCTGGCCCGACAGGCCCCAAGATGATAATGCCCTCAAAGTCATTCTCACACTGTTGGGCACTGTGCCTGTTCCCTGAGCAGGCCTGATGCCTGGCACCCACGTGGTGACGTCAGCCCCCACCCTGCCCCCTGCAGGGCACGCCGGCTGAAGTGCTGTATAAGGGTACCATCAGCCGCATCATCGGGGAGGACAGTGCCAGCCGCCTGGAGCGCGCCCGCGAGGACCCACCCAAGGGCCATGTCATCTATGAGGGCAAGAAGGGCCACGTCCTATCCTACGAGGGTGAGTGGGGACCAGGCTCTTGGCTCTGACCGGAGCTAGCTTGTGCTGGGACAGGAAGTGGACCAGGCCCCACAAGAGCCAGACAGGAAGGAGCCCCCTCATTACGGGCTGTAACAGATCAGGATCAGTTCCTGGAAAGTGGGGGCTGAAGGCTCAAGAGCCTGGAGAGACAGGGCCACTACCGCTGTGCAGTTGAGAGCCAAGGACAAGCTGTTGACTCGCATTCTAGAGGCAAGAACCCCGAGAAGCTGCCCGGTTCTGTGCGGTCGGCAGCTGGCCCCTTGAGAGTAAGGGGAGCTGGGGGTCAGGGGTGCGGCTGGCCTGTGGGGAGGCAGGGCTGAGTGGTGGTGACCTCCCTGTTGCTGCTGGAATACCAGGCCTGCAGGGAAAGGCCGCTGGCCAGGGTAGGCAACCCTTGAGCATCCCTCTCTGGGCATCCAGGCCCCCTCCTTTCCCCTTCCTCGCTGGGCTCTGGAGCCAGGGAGCTGAGTGCTGGGAAGCGAAGCTCACCAGGGCGTGGAGATAAAAGCTCTGATGGGGCCTGATGCGCTGGCCTCATCTGCACTGGGTCCTGGGAGACTCAGCATGTGCCTGGCTGCCCCACCCCCTCTTGACTGATTGCCGCTGGCTTCAAAGACCTCATGGGCACTTAGACATCTGTAGTTTGGTTGGAAACGGGTTAGGGCAGCAGCCTGGCTTCCCCCAGGTAGCTGAGGCTCCCAGGGCCCTTTGAGCTGGTCACCCTCTCTGCAGGGCCAGGCTGGGACTCCCCCTGGACAGGGTCCTGTGGAGGAGTTTCAGCCCACTGGGCCAGGCCCATCGGGTAAGGCCCCCTTCCTGTGACACAGCCTCCCCTGCCTGTGACATGCCGTGAGCCCGTGCACGCCCATAGCCTTTGCCTGTCGAGGAGTGGGCATGCGTGTGTGGGGCTGGCTGTGTCCTAGATGGCTATACCATCATATATGTACACACCACACTCGACTCTTATTCATGTTCCTCATGTGCTCGGCAGCTAACTCCTGTCCTCAGAGCCAGTCTCCCCCTGCCACACCCCAGGCCGTAGGTCTCGGGGCAAGGGGCTGCTCGGCCACGTGGCCTGCACGACCCTCTGTGTGATGGGGCCGTCTGCTGGCCCCATGCGTGTGCATGCGGTCACCACGTGCTTCCTCTGATTTCCAGGTGGCATGTCCGTGTCTCAGGCCTCCAAGGAGGATGGCCGGAACAGTTCGGGCCCCACCCATGAGCCGGCCGCCCCCAAGCGCACCTACGACATGATGGAGGGCCGGGTTGCCAGAGCCATCTCCTCGGCCAGCATCGAGGGTGTGTCCTACCAGCCCCAACTCTGAAGTTACAGATGGGGAGGGAGCCCTGTTTACAGATGGGGAGATGGGGCCGGGATGCTGATGAGTCCCGCTGTACACCCGATGCCATGGCTAATGCCCTGGGGTCCTCCCCCGCCTCCCTCCACAGGTCTCATGGGCCGTGCCATCCCAGCTGAGCGCCACAGCCCTCACCACCTGAAGGAGCAGCACCACATACGTGGCTCCATCACACAAGGTACCCCACACCATGCCAGGGTCGGGGGTACCACCCGCACCTTGGGACCCGTGCATATCTGGGGAGGGGTCCAGAACGGGGCCCCTGCTCTGCTGTATCTGGCTCGTGCACTGAGGCAGTGAAGCCTTAGTGAAGCCAGACCCCCCTCAGTGGCCTGTACCTGCCACCTCCCTGCCTGCCAGGGAGAAGGCCGTCAGCAGTCCCGCTCTGTGTGGTTCCCCTGGCTTGGAGGCCTGGGACCGTGCTGACTGCAGCCCTGCCCTCCTCGTGTGCCCGCTAGGAATCCCGCGGTCCTACGTGGAGGCCCAGGAGGATTACCTGCGGCGGGAACCCAAGCTGCTGAAGCGGGAGGGCACACCCCCGCCACCACCGCCACCACGGGACCTGACGGAGGCCTACAAGCCCCGGCCTCTGGAAGCCCTGGGCCCCCTGAAACTGAAGCCAGCTTCTGAGGTCCTGGTGGCCACTGTGAAGGAAGCCGGCCGCTCCATCCATGAGATCCCACGTGAAGAGCTCCGGCACACACCTGAGCTGCCCCTGGCCCCACGGCCTCTCAAAGAGGGTTCCATCACTCAGGTGTGCACCTTATGGTCTGGGCTGAGGGCCTGGGGACATAGCAAGGCCCCAGGTGTCTGTGACCATGTGGGCTGTTAACTGCGGCCCCAGCGAGGAAGGCATGGGAGGGGCTCTGTGCCACACCCCATTTCCCGGGCAGAAACACGGAGGCCCAAGAACATCAGGCAGACCGCTGACCAGTCTAGTCCCTTGCTGAGGAACCCTGCAGGCTGACTGGCTGAGTCCCTGCCACTCACAGGTTCCCTTTCCTGGTTCCCTGAGGCCCAGAGAGGCTGAGAGCCATGCCAAACATCACATAGTGTGACCGTGCTGGCTCTGAGCCCCTAACCCAGCCCCTACATGGGCCCCAGCCCCAGAGATGCCTGTGACAACTAAGGAACTGCCCAGCCACTGTACCTTCCTGTGGCCACAGAGGCCTGCTGCCCTGGCCAGGACGTGGTGATAAGGGGGTGTTCCCAGCTGGGGGCAGCAAGGGAACTGGGCTCTGCAGGTGGAGCTTGGCATCCAGAGCCCCTAGTGAGTGAGCGTCCGCCGTGTGTACAGGACAGGGCTAGTCAGATACATGAGCTCGGGGCAGCCTCGTTCCCATTCACCCCGAGCCCAGGCCGTGTGCAGGCCCTGCTGTGTCCCGCAGTTCCCAGGCCTGCTGGGATGGGTCGGGAGCGTGGGGCCCCGGCTGTTCAGTGTGCAGCCCTGACCATGGCTCCCCACTACTTCTTGCCAGAGAGGCAGACATGAACAGTGCCCCTGGGAGGGCTAGAGCTGAGTTCAGGGAGACACGGTGGGCCTGGAGGCTCCCAGATGGACTGTGTCTGCACTGGGGGACAGCCCGCTGCTGAGCTGGGTAGCTGTCAGTCCCAGGCTGGGCAGGCCTGTGAGTGGCACGTGTGCGCCCTCTAGGGGCTCAGCAGGAATCAGGCTCACAGCCCCTTCCCACAGGGCACCCCACTCAAGTACGACACTGGCGCCCCCGCCTCCACGGGCTCCAAGAAGCACGACGTGCGCTCCATCATTGGCAGCCCAAGCAGGACGTTCCCTGGCGTGCACCCGCTGGATGCCATAGCAGACACACGGGCACTGGAGCGTGCGTGCTATGATGACAGCCTGAAGAGCCGGCCTGGGACAGTCGGCAGCACGGGTGGCTCCATTACCCGTGGGGCCCCGGTCATCGTGCCTGAGCTGGGCAAGCCACGGCAGAGTCCCCTGACCTATGAGGACCACGGGGCACCCTTTGCCAGCCACCTGCCCCGGGGCTCACCCGTGACCACACGCGAGCCCACACCGCGCCTGCAGGAAGGTGAGTGGGTGCCCGTAGGAAAAAGGCATCTCGCTGGGCAAGAGGTTCTGCCCACAGACAGGTATCCCCTGCCCATCCGGACCCCCAGGGACCCCCAGCTGGCAGCCAGCGTTCTCGCCTTAAACAGATTTTTAAACATCTCTAGTTATTCCAGCAGCTTCATGCTGTGCACTCCACCGTGGCTGGGGGAGGCTGCTGGCTCCCCTCCCCGTGTGTCACCCTGCCTCAGCCGGCCCTCCCTCCTGCTGCATACACCCCGCGCCAGGTGGCATTTCAGCCCGTGGTTATGGGCTCGTCTCTCGCCCACGGGGCCAGGAGCCAGGAGTGTTCCGTCTGCTGGGATGACCCCAGCTCAGAATCGTGCTCACCATGCAGGCCACGTGTGTGTTTTGTGATCAAAAGCAGTAAACAAGGGAAGGAGTGTGAGGACAAACCTTGGTTTTTAAAAAAAGAACAACTAAAACGCAAAACCGAGTCAGTCGTCCAGAGTGAGCCAAGAGGCCGATGGAGAGGTAGACAAGATGACTGGTCCGACACTGGCACCCCTGCTTCCTGCCCTGTGACCTTGGCTGCCCTGCCCTGGGTCCCTGCACCAGGCATGGGGCTGCCAAGTCATGCATCGCCATGGCCCGTCCTGCAGGCAGCCTTTCGTCCAGCAAGACGTCCCAGGATCGGAAGCTGACACCGACGCCCCGTGAGATAGCCAAGTCCCCCCACAGCACCGTGCCTGAGCACCACCCCCACCCCATCTCGCCCTACGAGCACCTGCTCCGTGGCGTGAGCGGCATGGACCTGTACCGGGGCCACATCCCGCTGGCCTTTGACCCCACCTCCATACCCCGTGGCATCCCTCTGGACGCAGGTGAGGGCCTAGCATCCAAGGGGTGAGTGAGGTGGTTTTCTAAGGGGGTCCTCTCTCCTGCAGAACTTCTCAGTGCCTTTAAAATGGCAATGCCTGCAAGGAGGCCCGCCTTAGGGGTTGTAGCCACCTGCCTGGGGGTACCTTAGCTTGGGGACTCCTGGAGGCACCCCGAGTGTCAGGTTGGGGGTCAGATGTTTTCCTGTCACTAGACCTCGGCCAGGCTCTGGGGAGCCACATGTGCGTGAAGCGGGCAGTGAAGTGGAACCTGAGCCGGCCTGACCTGGTTCTCCTCCTCACAGCAGCTGCCGCCTACTACCTTCCCCGGCACCTGGCCCCCAACCCTACCTACCCTCACCTGTACCCGCCATACCTCATCCGCGGCTACCCTGACACCGCAGCCCTGGAGAACCGCCAGACCATTATCAACGACTATATCACCTCACAGCAGATGCACCACAACGCAGCCACTGCCATGGCCCAGCGTGCTGACATGCTGAGGGGCCTGGCACCCCGCGAGTCCTCGCTAGCGCTCAGCTACGCCCCCGGCCCACGAGGTGGGTGGACCCTTGCCGTTGGGGCTGAGCCTGTCCCTGGGGCATGGGCATGCTCTGGGTGGCCTGGCCATAGTGTACGTGGCATGAGCCTCCCCCGACGGGCACAGCAGGGTTGTTGGAAGCAGTGTGACTGCAGGAAACGGGAGGAGGGGCCCTGGCCTGCCCTGGCTGGGAGGTGGGGCTGCCTTTGGAACTCAAGCATCCTCCAGCGTGTAGGAGGCATCCGTGCTACTGGTGGGGCTGCGTCTCCAAAGCCCATAACCACCTGCTCCCACAGGTATCATTGACCTGTCCCAAGTGCCACACCTGCCCATGCTGGTGCCCCCAACTCCGGGTACACCAGCTACCGCCATGGACCGCCTCGCCTACCTCCCCACCGCGCCTCAGCCCTTCAGTAGCCGGCACAGCAACTCTCCGCTCTCCCCAGGTGAAGTGGCCGCGCCCCTGAGCCCCAGGGATGTGCAGGGTGTGAGCAAACGGGCAGCCCCTGGCTGATTCCCTAGCGGTGCCCACTGGCTTTCCCAGGAGGTCCCGCCCACTTGACGAAAGCGACCAGCTCAGCCTCATCCGAGAGGGAGCGGGAGAAGGCCCTCCTTGCATCCACCGCGACGGTGGAGCACGCGCCCATCTGGAGACCCGGTGAGCCCCCGGCCCCTGCCCCGAGTCCCAGGGGCCTTGCGGGCCGCGTGCAGCCTGCCGCCCCCCTGACACAGCAGCCTGTCGCCAGGTACGGAGCAGAGCAGCGGCGGTGGCAGCAGCGGGGGTGGGGGCAGCAGCAGCCGCCCCACCTCCCACCCCCACCAGCACTCGCCCGTCTCCCCCCGGACCCAGGACGCCCTCCAGCAGAGGCCTAGTGTGCTGCACAACACGGGCGTGAAGGGCGCCGCTGCCGCCGTGGAGCCCAGCACGCCCACAGTCCTGAGGTGGGCCAGGTTGGCACCCACGGGCACCGGCGGGGCGGGCGGCAAAGGCCCAGGATGTCATGGGCAAGCAGAGGCGGGTGTGCTGGCAGGAGCAAATGGGTTCAGAGGGCACACACAGGATGGGCTGGGAGAGGGAGGGAGGGAGGGGGTGGAGCAGGTAGGGTGAGGACTCCCCTGCCTGGAATGGCGCAGTGAACGAGTGGGGCGAGGTGGGGAAGCCCACGGTATGACGGAAAAAAGGGCAGGTCAATGGAGTGGGTAGGACAGATAAGCAGGGTCGGGGAGGCCCCGTGATGGAATGAGTGAGTGGAGTGGTTTAGATTGTGGTGCGATAAGCCAATACCTAGCCTAGGGCACACTGTGTGGCGTGAGTGAGTGATCCAGTGAGCGGGGATAGCCGTGACACGTGAATGAGTAAGGTAGGCACGACAGCGATGAGCCAGGGAACGGGAGGAGGGGCCCTGGCCTGCCCTGGCTGGAAGCAGTTGGCGCTGTAGACAGTGGGGGCTCAGTGTGGATGCTGTGGGGGCCCCACAGCCAACCTGACCCCCTCCTTTTATCCCCTCCCCTAGGTCCACCTCCACCTCCTCACCTGTCCGCCCAGCCGCCACATTCCCGCCTGCCACTCACTGCCCGCTGGGCGGCGGCCTCGACGGGGTCTACCCCACCCTCATGGAGCCGGTCTTGCTGCCCAAGGAGGCCCCACGGGCCGGCCGGTCCGAGCGGCCTCGCACAGATGCCGGCCACGCCTTCCTCGCCAAGTCCCTGGCCCGAGAGCCCACCTCCTCCCCCGGCAAGGGCTCCGAGCCCCGGCCCCTGGCGCCCCCCGGCCCCGGCCACACGGCCATCGCCCGTGCCCCGGCGAAGAGCGTCGTAGCCCAGCACGCCAGCCCGGACCCAGCGGCGCCGCCCGCCTCGGCCTCGGACACGCACCGGGAAAAGACTCAGAGTAAATCCTTTTCCATCCAGGAATTGGAGCTCCGATCTCTGGGTAAGACCACCCTGACAGCGGCCACCTTCATAGACGCGATAATCATGCGTCAAATTGCTCGCGATAACGGGCCGCGAGGAGGAGGTTCGCTGGCCGCCGCGGCCCCTCGCGACGGTAAGACTCCGGCCCCGCGCCCACCCGCCCCGCCCGTGGCCTCAAGACTCTCCGATTTCTGCTTGTTGTGCCCCGTTTTTGGTTGTTTTTGGCATTTTGGTTTTGGCCACGTCTCCGTGGTTTGCACGCGCCGGGGGGGCCCCAGCCGCCCTCCCCCATGGGCCAGGCTGTCTCGTCGTCTGCACGCTCTTTTGGTCATGAGTTTTGGATTTGGTTTTGTTGTTTGGTTTTTGGTTTTTGTTTGTTTTGTTTTGTTTTTTCTTTTTCTTTTTTTTTTTTTTTTGGATTTTCGCCTTTTTTTCCCTGATCAAGTGAACCTGTGATTTTGACTCCGCCTCCCCTGCCCAGCCTTGCACCTCGGTTGGGGAGCAGGGATGGGGTCCTTGGCTCACTCTCGCTCTGGAGGGAGTGGGGAGATCCTGTGTCCTGTGACCAGGGGAGTCGTGAGGGCTGGACCCCGGGGTGAGGCAACGGCCTGAGTGGGGCTGGGGGTTCACTGCCAGCTACCACCCAGTGCCTGCCTCTGCCCTGTCCCCTCCTCTGCCAGCTCACCCTCTACCTCTGCCCTCTCCAGGCCCCCCACTCTGGCTCTTGCTCCCGCGGGTCTATTGTCTGCCCAGACCCCTGCCTCTCCCTCCAGGAACCAGTCCCCGGCTCAGGGGGCTAGGAGGGGGGCGCCCGGGGCTGACAGGCCTGCTTGCTGAGCTCAGCCCCAACTACTGCAGGTTACCGCAGCAGTACCTATAGCCCGGATGGGGTGGAGCCCGTGAGCCCTGTGAGCTCTCCCAGCCTGACCCACGACAAGGGGGTCCCCAAGCACCTGGAGGAGCTGGACAAGAGCCACCTGGAGGGGGAGCTTCGGCCCAAGCAGCCAGGTATACCCCACCCCGGGCCTGGCACACCCTGGGTACCCCCAGCACCAGCTCTCCCCTGACCTGCTCTGCTACCCCCACAGGCTCTGTGAAGCTCGGCGGGGAGCCTGCCCATCTCCCACACCTGCGGCCACTGCGGGAGAGCCAGTCCTCCTCCAGCCCCCTGCTCCAGGCCACCCCCGGGGTCAAGGGTCATCAGCGGGTCGTCACCCTGGCCCAGCACATCAGTGTAACTACCTCTGCTCGTGGCACCCGGGGCAGGGACCAGTCCCAGGAGGGGAGGGCTCACACAGGGTCCCTTGGACTGGAGGAGGGGACAGGGAGGCTTCAGTCCCAAGGCCCAAGATGCTGTCCTCGCATCCCTGGGGGGCTGCCTGAGACACTGAGATGACCCCATTTGAAAATAGCCTTGTGGCCGCAGGCTTCTCTGTGCACATAGGCCCCAGGAGGCCACAAAGCTGTGGGCAAGTCACCTTGGGAGCCAGGGAAGGGTGGCAGGGTGCTGCCCTGACCCCCACCTGCCCCGGCCTTCAGGAGGTCATCACACAGGACTACACACGACATCACCCGCAGCAGCTCAGCGCACCCCTGCCCGCCCCCCTCTACTCCTTCCCCGGGGCCAGCTGCCCTGTCCTCGACCTGCGACGCCCACCCAGCGACCTCTACCTCCCGCCCCCAGACCACGGCCCACCAGCTCGCAGCTCCCCACACAGTGAGGGGGGCAAGAGGTAAGTGGGGTGAGGGTGGGAAAATGCAGATCGGGTTCCGGAAGGCGGCCGAGTGGCCGCTGAGGGTGCGTGGCTCAGCGGGCAGCTGCCCAAGGCCTGGCCTGCTAGTTAGTGCTTCCTCAGATTGCCCATGGCCCATCCATGGCTGGAGAAGTGAGCTCGCTTCGCACCGGCTCCCAGAGAGAGCCACTGGCCTGCCCTTGTATTTCCCGTTCTCACTGCCCCTGGACCCCAGCCTGCGCTGCCAAACGGAGGGTGCCCTCTGTGGGTGCCCTGTAAGTGCCCCTTGGGCTCAGACCAGGACCCAAGCAGGGGTGCCAAGCTGGCTGTGGGTTGACCTCACACAGACCTGAACCTGTGTGGCTGCAAGGAGGCTGCTCTGTTCTCTGGCTGCTTGCGGGAAAGCCGCAGCCAGCTGGCCGGGGTGACACCCACCCTGCGGAGAGCCCTGGTTGAGGGCACAGCCAGCTGGCGGGGGTGACACCCACCCTGCAGAGAGCCCTGGTTGAGGGCGCAGCCAGCTGGCAGGGGTGACCCCCCATGCGGAGAGCCCTGACTGACCACAGTTGGGCCCCTTTTCTGCCCAGGTCCCCAGAACCAAGAAAAACATCAGTTCTGTGTAGCAGCGAGGACACCGTGGAGCCCGTGTCCCCACCAGAGGGCCTGGCGGAGCCGGGGCGCCCCCGCAGTGCTGTGTACCCCTTGCTGTACCGTGACGGGGAGCAGGCGGAGCCCAGGTGCCTGCCCCCTATGCGGCCCCACCCCCATCCTGCAACACCCCACTCAGCAGTGTGGGCTAACCAAACAGTGTCACCAACTGGGGGCATAAGAGACAGTCCGCAGTCTCCCTGGAGGAAGTCCCATGTGTCAGGCTAACCCCTGTGCCCCTGTGCCTGGTGGGGTAAGGACTTATGAGAAAAACGTGTTGGGCCAGAGCATCGAAGGTTTGGGTGGAGATGGGGGTGACAGCAGGCAGGGGTGAGGGCGCTCCACTTTATAGTGGGTGGGTGGGGCTGTAGCAGGTGTCGGGAGCCCACCAGAGCTGTAGAAGTTTGGGTTTCTAACTGGTGTGGGACACAGGACGGGGTGGCAGAGTCAGGCTCTGTGTTGCTAAGGCAGCCCTGGGCAAGCTGACCCAGCCGTGTGCCCTGCAGCAGGATGGGCCCCAAGTCCCCAGGCAGCACCAGCCAGCCGCCGGCCTTCTTCAGCAAGCTGACCGAGAGCAACTCCGCCATGGTCAAGTCCAAGAAGCAAGAGATCAACAAGAAACTGAACACCCACAACCGCAATGAGCCTGAATACAGTAAGCGGGGGCTGGGGCCCCGGGGCAGTCTCCGCTTGTTCGCCCATAGGAGCTTGTGACACCCGGGCTTGTGTGCTCCCTGCCCAGCCCACTGCACATGTCGCCCCAGCTCACACAGCTGGATCCCCATCCTCAGCATAGTGCCCAGCAGGCAGCAGGTCTGCCAGCAGGCACAGGTGCCATCCCAGGTCCTGGCCTCAGGCACCCTTGGTCGCTGGGTCTCAGGGAGCTGCTCCTTATAGGCCATGGGCACCTTGCAGTAGCCCTTTGTCCAGGCCAGCAGCTTGAGAGCCCAGCTAAGTGCAGCCCCCCCCCCGCCCCTTGTTCTGGTACTTGACCCCGCCCTTGCCCCTGGGTGTTGTGGGGCCCCTGAACAGGCCCACGAGGGGAGAAGACCTCCCGGGGCCTGCAGGCTCTGGCCTCACCCTCTCATCCTTCCTCCCCAGATGTTGGCCAGCCCGGGACGGAGATCTTCAACATGCCCGCCATCACTGGAACAGGTGACCGTGCTGCCCCAGCCCTGATCCTTGAGGCTCCCTCCTGGCTGTGTCACGGGCAGGTGGCACCGGCCTTGCTGGGGACGTGGTGGGAGCCTGCACATTGCAAGGCGCCTGTCCTTGGGGCTGGGAGTGAGGAATGTGCACTGGACACTCACCTTGACCAGGTGTTGGGTGGGCAGAGGCAGGTCTGGGCACACAGTGGGCCTGGCATGGCTAGCCTCATATTTCAGGGGCCTGGGGCCGTAGTGACCATGTCTCTCTGGGAAAGTCCCACCGCTGTGGGGCTGGAGCCCTGGCAGCTTGCTTGGTCCCGTGCCGTGTTAAGTGGAAACGTAGGGCTTGGGTACTGTTCCGAGCGGCCAGGGCCCTGGGGTCAGACCCGTCTGTGCCGCCCCTGCAGGGGCATCTGGGGTGGGACCTGGGACGTGCCTTGGGGAACCAGAAGTGAAGGCACTCAGCCCAGAGCAGCCTCCAGGAGATGCCCCCACAGGCCCGGTGCCGACACTTCTGCTCCTGTGCCCGCGCCAGGGGACGGCCAGGTACACCCTGGGAACAGTCATGCAGGTCCTGGGGGGCAGAAATCACTGCAGCCTGTGACTGGGGAACTTCTGCCAGGGGCAGTGAAGAACAACCCAGTTTGATCGAAATAGCAAGGTGGTTAGAAATTTATAATGATAATGGAATATTCCAGATGTTGATGGGAGTGCTATAGGCTTGGGTGTGTCGGCATGCAGAAACTTGGGGAGCGGCGCCCAGCCCGGCATGCACAGTGTGTCTCCTGGTTCCTGGTAGCTTGGCCATGTGTGCACCTGCTGGGCCGCCTGCCACTCCGGCCCTTAGGTCAGGCCAGAAGGCAGGCCCCTTCCATGGCCCTGGACCTGCGCTGGCCACTGCCTGTGGCCTCGTTTCCATTCCCCACTCTGAGCACGTGCCCTCTGGGACCTGTTCGTCCCCAGCACTCAGCCCACTAAAAACAGTACTTCCTCCCGGTGAGGTCGGTTGCCCTGTAGGTTCTGCTGGAGCCGGGCGCACGTGTGGCTGCAGCAAGATTGGCACCTGAGGGTAGGGGGCCCAGAAGGCAGCTGCCACCATTGCTGTCTGCAGGGCGTGGACCCCCGTTCTTGCTCTGAGCCGAAGCCCTGGGCTGGGGTTCATGCTGCCTTTCTGGAGCAAAGTCTCCCAGAACAGTGCAAGAGGACAAAGACAGGACTGCCAGCCCGGCGGGGATGGGTCCCAGCAGCCAGGGCCGGGCCAGGGGCGGCCCTGCACTCATTTCCAGCTCTGCCCTGTCCCGCGCACGCACGTAACTGCATGGCTACACCCCCTCATCTCAGGTCCCTTTCTGCTCGCCTCTTTCTCCTTTGTCTCCTAGGTGGGGAGAGGTGGGTGGGCAGAGAAGTCAGACCATGGGGTAGGGACTGGGAGGGGGCATAGCCCCGGCCTGGCAGGCCATGGGAGGTCCCCACCGGTCCCACCCCCAGCACCCAGCTCTGGCCTGACCCGGTTTCTCTGGCCCCTTGCCCACGCAGGCGCCCTGTGCTCTTGCAGATGGCAGCTGCAGACAGCTCTGACTGGGATTGGGTACAGGGGCCACAGATCACCCGGAAGGAGGCCAGGGGGCATTGGCCCTGGCCCTGCCTGGCGCTTCAGAGCCCCTGTTAGAAGCCCCCTCCCCCATTCGGCACCTGCAGGCGTGGGGGAGGGGGTGGAACCATTGCTTTGCAAAATGTGCTCATGTGAATTTCTCTCCTCCCCCTTCCCCTCTCGCTCCGCCCTCTCCCCCTCCAATCTCTCGGCCGCCCCTCTGGCTCCCTCCCCTCCCCGGCCCCTGTGTGTGTGTCTGTCCGTCTCTCTCCCAGGCCTTATGACCTGTCGGAGCCAGGCGCTGCAGGAGCATGCCAGCGCCAACCTGGGGCTGGAGGCCATTATTAGAAAGGCCCTCATGGGTAAATATGACCAGGGGGCCGAGCCCCCGCCGCTCAGCGCCCATGCTTTTAACCCTCTGACTGCCAGTGCCAGCCTGCCCGCTGCTATGCCCATAACCGCTGCTGACGGACGGAGCGACCACACGCTCACCTCACCAGGTCTGCAGGCCCCGTCCGTGCCCACCCCGTCTGTGCCCGCCCCGGTGTCCTTTGTCCTCTGCGTTCTCTGGCCCCCTGAGCTGTGGAGCCTGACTCTGTCGTTGTGCCTGTTTGACGTTGTTCTGGAGCCTGCTAACCCGAAGCCGGGCCCGTGGCACCCGGCCTGGCCCCTCCTGCCCACGAGGCCCTGAGCGCTGCTGCTTCCCGGGGCCGCTCACTCTGCCGCCAGTCCCTGCCCGCTCCGCCCCTGCCGAGCCCCTGGGGGACACTGCCAGGCTGGAGGGAGGTCTTGTGGGGGAGACAAGGACAGCGGCCAGAGCGTGGCCCGTGGGGAGGAGGCCAGAGTGAGCTGAGGAGTGAGCCAGGAAGAGAGGGACCAGCCTCCCAGTGCCCAGTGCCCGCCACACCCTCCAGTACAGGGCAGAAGGTCCCGGGCTGTCATCCAGGGCTGTAGGCCAGACCCGACACTGAGGCCTGGCATGTTTAGACCCCAAGCTGGGACCACCGTTTCCCTGTAACAGCTAATAGCTGATGGCTGGCCGTGTCCTGGATGGTAGCCGGGTGGACAGCTGACAGCCAGGCGGGCACTGCCCACTGTCAGCGAGACCCCCACCCGGTGCAGGGCTCACTTCTGGGTCTGCCAGCGGCTTGGCCTCCCCGACCCACCCTGGCAGGACTGGACCTTCCCTGTGCCACAGCCTGAGCCAACTATGGGTCCAACACAGCCACTTCCTGCTTGTTCCCCACAGGCGGTGGCGGGAAGACGAAGGTCTCTGGCCGACCCAGCAGCCGAAAAGCCAAGTCCCCGGCCCCGGGCCTGGCGTCCGGGGACCGTCCACCCTCGGTTTCCTCGGTGCACTCGGAGGGGGACTGCAACCGCCGGACCCCGCTCACCAATCGCGTGTGGGAGGACCGGCCCTCCTCAGCAGGTGTGCACGCGTGGGCCAGGAGGTGACGGCCGTGTGGGCTGGCAGGGTGGTCCCAGAGAGGAAAACCACATGGGCTGGGTGGAGCCCGGCTTCTGCCACGTGGCCCGGGCCAAGGGGCACCCAGCCGCCGCTCACACGATGCTCTCCCCACAGGCTCCACGCCCTTCCCCTACAACCCTCTGCTCATGCGGCTGCAGGCGGGCGTCATGGCCTCCCCACCCCCGCCGGGCCTGCCCACCGGCCCCCACCCAGCCTGGGATGAGGAGCCCAAGCCACTGCTGTGCTCCCAGTACGAGACGCTCTCTGACAGCGAGTGACTGCCATTGCTGGGGTGGGGGCGGCGCCAGGCCCCAGCCAGAGGCAGGTGCAGCGCGGGGCGGCCGCCAGTGCCCCCACGAGGAAGGAGCCCCCGAGTCCAGTCCGCCTGCGCATCTGTCCATCCGTCCATGCCGAGCTGGCATCCTTGCCCGTCTAAAGCCTTAACTGGGACCCCGCCCCGGGCCGGCCCTGTGCAGTGACCTCACTCAGGGGATGCTTACCTGGTGCTCGGGAGGGGAGGGGAGAGCAGGGGCCACACGCACGCGGCCGGGCCGGCCAGGGACTCACAGCAGGACGACCACGCACCTCCACGCCCCTGCCTCCCCCCTTCATGCATCTGGAACCAAAGTCTAACCCGGGCTGGCAGCCCCGTACCCTCCCTCCCGCCTCCCGTCCCGCTTAGCACTCTGTGCACCGGACACGGACGCCCACTCCCCCGTGTGCTCGGCCCGGCCTTGTGGGCTGCCACAGCCAAGGAGACTGCCGGTGGGCGAGTGGACGCTGGACGCCGGGCAGGGAGCAGGCGGGAGCCCCTGGGAGCGGGACTGCTCTCAGCACGTCGTGGCCGCGCGTGGGGCCAGAGAGGAGGTGTGGACGCTGTATTGGTTTACAGGGTATATTTTTGATACCTTCAATGAATTCACTCAGATGCTTTCGGCAAGGAAGGGGGCCGCCGGTGTCCGGTGTCCCTTCAGCTGTGCTTTCCAGCTCTGCTTCCCGCTCAGGAGGCGCGAGCAGGCGACCGCCGGGGCTCCCGTGGTCCACGGCCCCCAGCACCCGCGGCCTCCCTCCCTCCCTTGGGCAGAATGAATTCGATGCGTGTTCCGTGGCCGCCGTCTGCGCACGGCCGTGGCATTCTGTCATTTACACACGTGGTTCTAATTAAAAAGCAACTTATACTCGAGTCACACAGACCCTTCTGTGCCTTGGACCTAGTGGCCGGGAGGTGGCAGGGCTCTTGCAGATAGACCTCGGGGCCTTGGGGAGGGGCTGGGTACCCCCACTGTGGTGAGGGTCTCGTTCCTGCCCATGCAGGAGTAACCAAGGGGACCACCATTTATTTTGTTATTGAAGATTCACTTTCAGGCCAAGTTACCGATGGAGAGCTGCCATCTGGCAGTTCATACCATAAATGGTGCCAGTGGCTGGGGCTGGACCAGGCTGAAGCCAAGCGCTTCATACAGGTCTCCGACGCAGGTGGCAGGGGCCCAGGCACTCGAGGGAGCCGCTATCCACTGCTTTCCCAGGCACAGAAGCAGGGAGCTGGTGGGAACTGGAGCAGCTGAGACAAAGCTGGGCTCCGATGTGGAGTGAGGGTTTTGCAGGCGCAGCTGAAGCCACAGCACTCTGACCGCTGTAACTGCCCCTGTGGCCGTGGGAGGAGCAGACCGACCCTCTGCTGTGGCAGAGAGGGATGCCTCCGGATGGTGTGGGTCTGGTGGTCGCAGCCTGGGTACCGCCTCCCCTCTGTGCCTGCAAGGTGGAAGCTCACTGGACCCTGCTCAATGGAGGCCTCATTTGCCCACGTGTGTGCCCTGACACCCGTGTGGCCATTTAGTATGTCTGGCTGGTGCCCTGACATGACAAGTGTGGGGGTGTCTGAAGACCCTCACCAACCCAAAAGCCATGTGAGTCCCCCCCAGGAATGTCATGCAATGGTGGCAGTGTGACCTCCAACCCTACCCCTGCCTTCACAGTGATTCTGGAGCCATTGTGGGTGAGGGTCCCCAGCCTTATCTGCTTCTCCCAAAGACTGCTGCCTGCACTCAAATTCCTGGGGGGCAGGGCATGCACCACGCTGCAGTGCTGAGGCAGGCCAGCAGGTGGTGGTGTGGGGCCAGCAGATAGCCAAGTTCTTGTCTGGAGTCCAGGCGGGGTCAGGTGGCGCTGGCCCCTCAGGCAGCTCTGCCCTGGCCACCGTCCCTGTTCTGTAGGTTCTGTAGGTGTGTACCACCAGACCCTGGTCTTTGCCTTGGAGTTGGCACCACCTGGCACCTGGCCACTGCCTTGTCTGAGGAGTGATGCCCCGACCGATATGGGTTTCTTTTTTTTTTTTTTTAAGATTTATATTGGAAAGGCGGATATACAGAGAGGAGAGACAGAGAGGAAGATCTTCCGTCCGATGATTCACTCCCCAAGTGAGCGCAACGGTCAATGCTATGCCGATCCGAAGCCAGGAGCCTCTTCTGGGTCTCCCGCGCGGGTGCAGGGTCCCAAAGCTTTGGGCCGTCCTCAACTGCTTTCCCAGGCCACAGGCAAGGAGCTGGATGGGAAGAGGGGCTGCTGGGATTAGAACCGGCGCCCATATGGGATCCCGGGAGTGCAAGGTGAGGACCTTAACCACTGCGCCACCACGCCGGGCCCCCGATATGGGTTTCTGATGCCGCCAGAATCCACTGCCTCTCGTCTGTCAGCCAGAGGTTCTTCAACCCTTCGGAGTTCCTCTCGCCCCATCTTGCTTGGTGTTCTTGCTGTTTCACTTTTACAGTAGGGGTTCACGCTGTGCCTGAGCTCCCTGCTCCCCCAGCCCCCAGATGGAACATTGAACCAGACCAGGCACATGCTGTGAGGGTCAGCTGCCAGCAGGTGTCCCCACAGCCTAGGTGGACACCCCCAGGCCCAGGGCGGGCCTGGGAAGCTGTGGGGAGCTGGGGGCAGCCTGGGGCTGGAGCTGGCCCACAGCCAAGAGATGCTGCAGGGTTGAGCCGGTTTTCTGAAATCGGGGTATGTGGGCCAGAGTGTGAGGCCTGAGAAGGTGGGTTCAAGTGCCTGGATTTGTGCCGTCCACATGGGAGGTGTGGGTAGAGGGCTGCTCAGTTCTTCTGCCCATGGCAGCCATCTCGGAGGGAACCATGCATGAAGGTCTCCCTCTGCCACTAACTGCCACTCTCCCCACCACTCCACCCGGTGCCATCTCATCAGTTGACCTTTCCAAATTAATGAATGAATCTTCCTGGAGAATGACGGGAGTGGCCAACTCTGTGGTGGCATGGAGCAGCCCTGGGCTTGCCCGGCTTGGCCCAGCAGCCGGTCCTGCCTGAGCCAGCAGAGTGACCGGGGCGCATTGCTGATCTATGCCTCACGCTCTGCTGCGGGGGGGTCCCCCCGGGAGTGCTCCCCCGCAGCGGGTGAGGGTGAGGCCAGCCAGCCGGGGAGGCTGGAGCTTACCCGGCAGCCCGGTCAGCAAGGAGCGCTTAGCACTGCCATGTAGACTCAGTCCCCCAGCCCCACCTGCCCGCCATAGACCCTGGCACAAATCGCAGGTGGGCCGTCCCCGTGCCCAGCATCAGCCCTGCGTGGGAGGAAGCCGGGCAGCCCTGGGGACGGGGGTCTGAGGTCTCAGGTGGACACACACAGGCGGTCCCCCGAGTTCACACGTTTTATTGACGTGGTTGATCAGAAGTGAGCCATCCTCGGCAGCCGCACTCTGTGTAGTTGCAGGCATACCCAGTCCTGCCTCGGTGGGACACGAGCTCTGGGCTGCCCCTTCCCAGTCCCCCAGGGACTCCTGGGGGGCTACAGGGAGGGGCTGGGGCATCGAGGGCTGAAAGAGGACAGCTGGCACGGCAGCTCAGGCAGCCCAGAGCCACGCGTGTGCCAGGGTGAGCCTGTCAGGCCAGGGGCAGCCAGGTCCCAGGACAGGAGAGAAGCTGGCCCCAGTGGTACATCTAGGCTGGTTGACTCATCAGTCACAGCGCTCACGGTACCAGGGCTCCAGCAAACAGTGACAGCATTTCCCCTTGGCACCTGGCTCAAGGGTTTACAGCTAACAGTCCCAGCCCCAAAGGCACTTCATGGCAGGTACTGGTCAGGGATGTATACCCCAAAGGGGAGGCCGCCTTCCAGGGACCCTGGGGACAGCAGAGGCTCCGGGCTGTCTCTTCGGCATGACCAGTTCCAGTCTGGGCCCCATGTGCACCAGCCGGAGCTGGAGTGTCCCCACCCCCAGAGCCCCAAGCTTGCTCCTCCTCTCCCCAGGCTGCCTGGCCCTAATAGAATGGAGGCATTGATTGGGCCCTCCACTGCAACTGGGCATGGGGGCCAGGGCAGGCGGCCAGGAACAGCTGGTCCCAAGCCAGCTGGCCGCCGCCTCCTTCCTGCCCAGGCGCCGGCCCTTCCCGGGGCACCCGCCCATCAGAGCGCTGTGGGGCCAGGCACGGGGCCCCCACCGCTCTGCAGCCGCACACTGGAGGTGAACCAGCGGCTGGGCCGGCCCAGGCTGCAGTGCACGGTGGTCCGGAAGGTGCTCCTGGCACACTTGGGGAAGACGATGGCTGTGCTGTGGAAGTGCAGGGCGCGTGGGCGCGGCTCCAGGGTCAGCTGGCTGCGGTAGCTGCGCCACGTGCAGTTGGGTGCTGCCACAATCGTCTCGCTGTAGCCCGTGACCGTGGGCACTGGCGCGTAGAAGATCTTGTCCCGGAAGTACTTCTCAGAGTCATACTTGATCTCAGAGTTGCAGCTGGCAAGGGCACGAAGGGCACCGGTGAGTCCAGGGGCCAGGCTGGGACCACAGATGTGACCAGGGCCAAGCGGACCTGACGGCATGCAGGGAGGAGGCCAAAGGCAAGCCGAGGGGCCCGGTGCCCAGGGGACACTGAGGCACACTGCAGCCTGGACTTAGGATTGGTGCTGGGGGGGAGCCTCCATACCCAAGCTGGTGGTGACAGGGTACCCTCAGGTCAGGGGTGTCACAGAGGCCCCCAGGGACAGTCCCCAAGGTCACCAGGTACCCACAGGGCTGCCTTTGGGAACTAACTAGGGCTTGTGGCAGAGTGTGTTGAGAACCGGGAGCTTGCTGAGCGCCCCGCCGGGACAGGGACCCTCCCTGGCCCACTCACCGGATCTCCTGCGTGGGTGCTGGGGTCACCTGGATGCTCTCCCCAAAGAACACAGGCAGCATATGGGGCCTCATCCTGAGCGCAGGGGATGCCTGCTGAGGGAGGAGGTGCTGTTAGGCAGCAGGAGCAAGGTGTATGCAGCCCCCACCCCACTGGGCATGGCTGAGCCCCCCAAAGCCAACTTCATGGACCCCCACCAACTGCCTGCTGCCAGCCTGCAACCCACACCTGGACAGCCTCTCACTGCAGCCCCTAAGTTTGCAGTTCACGCCTCCTAGGGCCAGGCTCCCAACCTCTCCTGGCGCTGCCCAAGGCTGGACACCTGCTGGGGGTGGACACATGAGGAGCTGGCCAGGCCCACAGAGGGACAGGCCCCCCGGTCCTGCCTCCCTAGTGGCCACCTCTTCCCAAGCACCAGGATTGGCTGAGGCATGAGCCTGTCAGCCACACTGACCAATGAGAACCGTGCCCGGGCTTCTAAGGAAAACTTCACCCCTCAGAGGTGGCTGAGCAGGTGGGAAGGTGGGTAGGTGGGTGCACTTGGCCCCCAGCGGGGAAGGAGGCCAGCCCCAGGAAAATGGAGCCGATGATGGTGGAAAGCCAAGTCCTACCAATGCTCCTCAAACACCTGGGTCAAGCCATGCCTGACACTAAACCCATGGGGGTGCCAGGCTCAGGCGCCTCAACAGCCTGAGGCCTCCTGAAGCCCTGCCCAGGAAAACCCCAGAAAATCTGTCCTTTGGTGATCACAGGAGTCCTTATCGGATGGAAAGTTCCAGAATAACCCCTCCACAGGTTGCACTCATCTTTTATGACAGTGTCTTGTCTGAGTTATGCATTTCTGTCTGCTGTTGATTCATCAATTACACTTCAGTGTGATATGCGGCGAACTAAGCCTGCCAGAATCAGGACTGGAACCACGCAGCAGACAGCCATGCCAGGCTGAGGCCCCTCTGGCCCAGGGCTGGGGCCACCCAGGTCCTCCCTAGGACCGGTCCCCAGGCTGGGAAGAAGCTCCTGGAACCTCCCTGTCCTCCCCCGGGGCGGCAGCAATCATAATCCACTGGCGGACAGCGCTGCTGGCTGGCGGGGGGTGGGCATGATGGCCCCCAGCCCCTAGCCTGTAGCCTGCTTGGTAACTCCCCACCCCACTCCAGCATCCGATGGAGAAGTAGCACCTGGCTGCCCAGGGGACACGCATGTGGGGCTGGCCCCTTTCTCCATGGCTGCCCATTCCAGGGTCAGTGGGGCCCTTAGCACCCAGCAGCCTCTGGGGCCTGGTTAGGTCTAAGCATGGCCCCTGCCGATGAAAGACTCTCCTGGAATGTAGCCACAGGCACCTGCTGAGCACCTACCTTACTCTTGGGCGGTGGCTGGGGTGCAGCACTGCCTGGCTCATCCCTGGGGGGACATGGGGAGGCCAGGGGACAGTGCTGTGGGCACAGGCCTGCACCTTCCCAGCAAAGGCTCACAGAGCAGGCGGGTGTGTGTGGGAGGCACGGTCCCGCTGCAGAGCCTACACCAAGGCCTGCTGACCCCACCCGCCCCCAGCACAAGGCCGCCAGGCAACAGGCAGCCCCGCCCCACCCAGCTTGCTCCCACGGCTGCCAGGCCAACAGACAAGGCTCCATTCACAGGCTAGGCCAGGAGTGAGGCCCAGGGCGCGGCGTCCAACTGGCACACGGGGAAAATACCTCCAACCCACTGAGCCTGGGGCGCCACAGGAGGGCAGGAAGCTGCTGCGGTGCAGGTGGCAACTCCCCCCCACACACACCGCCACCAGGCCCCAAGGGGTTGCCAGGAACCAGTCTTGGAACCCAGCCAGGCAGACACAGGCCAGGGGGTGCCACCATGGCCCAGAAGGCTGTGGTGGTGATGTGGGGGGCTCTGAAAGAGAGGGGCCTCAAAACCAGGAAGCCCCCCGAAGGCCTCTCCCCAGCCCAGCTCTTCCCACAAGGCCCAGGGCCTTATCCTGGTCTAAGGAGACTGAAAAGAAGATGCCAGCCACCTGCTCAGGCACTCTGCCTCAACTTACCCTTCTGAGAAAGGAGGTTGTGCCTCCCTAAGATCCGAGCCTGGTGGCTGGGAGATAGTGAGGCAGGCACAAGCTGGCTGGCTTCCCAGGGCGCAGATGCAGTGCAAGAGCCAACTGGCCCCAGAACAGACCTCTAAGACCCAAAGGCTCTCAGTCAGCACAGACCACACGGCTGGGCTGGACCCCTCGGCCTCGCAGGCCTGGACCCAGTCTCCTGAGCAGGTATGAGGACCCAGCAGGCCTCCACAGGCACAGGCTTCACAACCTGGCAGGCAGGGAGCCACAGCGATGAGTGGTGGCAAATACTTCCTCAGTGGGTGCTTCGGCTCCACCCTCGCTGCCGCGGCCCTTGGCCCAAGCCAGCCCGGGAGGGTGGCCGCCCTGGGGAGAGCCTGGGCGAGGTTCAGTAGCATTATGCCCAGCCTGGGGAGAAACAGCCCACTGCCAGCATAGGATAGATCCACCAGCACCCTGTCCACACAGAAGCAGGGAGCAGGTGGGGGCATCCACCCTGGACGGCTCCTCAGGAAAGGTGCCTGCCAGGGAGACCCCATCTGGCGTGGCAGGGGGTGCGAGGCCAGGGCCGTGGAGCCCTCCTCCAGGACACTGGCCTTGATTGTGGTGGCATCCATCTGTCCACCCATTTGCCCTCTGCAGCCCACACTGGGTCTCAGTGTCTCAGACCAGAAACAAAAATGGGAAAACGCGGGCCTCCTTGCCTGGCCCAGCGAACAGCCCTGCTGTCCTGGGATCCCACAGGAGCGGGGTGCTGCCAACGCCAGACCCGCAAGGCACAGCTGGCACTCTGGGGAAGGGGTAGCCTGGCGAGGGGCCAGAGTGTGAGGCCCCAAAGCTGAGCGGAGCTCACCCGGTGCCAGTTGTGAAAAACTGCAGGTACAGCGGCAGTTGTTTTCCAGGCTCACACACAACTCGCATACACACACATGCACACTACAGACACACGGTTAGCCCGTTGTTTCCAAGGCTCCTGGGCTCCATCCACCGCAGCACAGCAGCTGCCCTCCGGACACTCCCCTGGAGCCCACGGACACATGTCCTCCGGGTGATGCCAGGGAGACTAAAGCAGCAGTGCAGACAGCTGGGGACAGCTCCCACCAGGCATTGTCACCTGCGTCAGGAGCCCCAGCAGAGCGGCGAGCTGTGGCCAGCACTGCTGTGGCTGTCCCAGGCACATACGTGGCCCTGTCCTCGGGGATCCCGGCGGTGGAGGACCCCAGAGGGACCGAGCCCCAAACCACGTGCAGCACGTAGACTGGCCGTCGGGCTGTGCCAAGCCCCAGCCGTTCCCTCAGGGAGGCCGGCAGCAGAGCTAGCAAGCACAGGGCCAGGGTGCATTGCCAGCTCCACTCGCCAACCCCGTCACTCCTCAGAGACCCCCACCCGCGATTCCCCTGCACAGACCACCTGCAAGGTCCCAACCCAGCCAAGCAGCAGGACTTCCGGGGGGATGTGGGGTACAAACCCTTGGTTCCTAAGCTGCAGGCACTTCCTGGGTCAGTGAGACCTGCCAGGGAAGGAGGCCTGGGGACCAGTCTCCCCAAGTGCGGGATCCCAGTGGGAGTGAGAGGAGCCCATGGCACTGGTTGGGGGCGGGGCTGGAGCTAGAGAAGGCTGTAGGCTGCAGCAGGCAGCCAGGAGTGTCCTGGGCAGGCAGCCCCACTCCTGCGGCTGCCCACTCCCCACACCCGCAGCCTGGGTGTACCCCAAAACCAAAGCTGTCTGGCACGAGGCTGTGTTCCCCCAGGCTCCCAACCCAGGCTTCCCCAGGCTGGCCTCCCCTCCACATCAACACCTTGACAACCCTCAGAGAAAGGGTTCCTGTCTGGCTTCGGTTAAAAAAAAAAAAGAAAAGAAAACGAAAAAAGTTTTCATGTTGGCAGCGCGAGGGGGCGGGGTAGGCAGCAAGCAGGGGAGGCAGGAGGGGTGCCGGGTTCTCCCAGCGGGCAGCCAGCTCCGCTTTCCCGCGGGCTGTGCATAGGGAAGCCCGAGGAGAGAAGCCCACGGCCGGGGGTGAGGGGCCGTCCCCGGGCCCTGGCACAGCCCTGCCCACCCGGAGCCCGCAGCCCGGATCCCGTCCTTACCGCGCCGGCCTCACTAGGTCCAGGGGGCTCTGAGGCATAGAAGGGCGGACTGGGGCTGGGGCTGGGCGGCAGCCCGGAGTCGGGGCTGTCCAGCAAGGCCTCGCGGCTCTGTCCCTGGAGGTTGCCCTCCATGGCCTGCAGATGCAGGTGGCCCACCATGTCTGCCGGGCTCCCGGGGGGCTCCGCCGCCGAGCTGCGGGCGCAGCAGAGGCAGCGGCCGCGCCTGGCGCCCCGCGCCCGGGGCCCCGCACAGCCGCGCTCGCCGCCGCTGCGCCCCAGCTGGGCCCTCCGCACCTCCCCGACCCGCGCCTCCTTTTCTAGGCGCCTCCTCCGCCCCCGCCCTCTCCCCGCCCCGGCCGGCGCCTCCCCGGGGCGCGGCGGCCCAGGCCTGGCTGGTGGGCTCCCAGGGTTTCTTGCGGCTCTGCTGAGGGCCGGGTGGATGAAAGCGTCTTCAGAAAGGACTGGGCTGGCACGGGTCGGCGACTGGCAGCCGGGGAGGAGGTGGCGGCGGCGCCCCAGCCCTGCGCGCCTTCCACCCAGACGACCGGGCCCCCTTGCGGGGTTCTGGGGGGCTGCTGCCAGCTCCCGCTGGGGTCTCGGCTGACGGACACGCTGGGCCTTTGCGGTGGGGACAACCTGATCTGGGGACAAGAGCCGACCTGGCAGGCGCCAGGTGCAGGGTTGCGGCTGGGGTCCTGCTGGGGAGCCCCCTCTCAGTCTCTGGCTGCCCCCCCATCGGCTTGGCACCCTCACACACCCCACACCCGGGGACAGGCGTTCTCCCTCTGAGGTGACTTCAGGCTGGCAGAGGGCACGGGCAAGCGTGCCTCCTCTGGCCTGTGTCCACCTCCAGGTGCCGGCCCCACACCAGGGACTGGGAGACGGTGTTGGTCTGCAAACTTCCCCACAATGCAAGGGGAATGGAGACCCAGGCAGGAAGTCGCCTGGTCTCTAAGGTTCAGCACGCGAGTCCCATGGCAGGGGGCCTGGCTGGGCTCGCTGTCCAGCTGGCCTGAGGAGAAGGACCGAGTCCACCAGCCGTCACTTGTAGGCGGGGCTGCTCCCCACGCGACAAGGCCATCCCACCACCTGTGGGGCGACAACCTGAGGTATCTCCCCAGAGGGCCTGAGCTGTTGCCAAGTTCAGCACCTGCCTTGGCAGTAGACAGAGCCCCCTCTGTGACCTTGGCCAGAGCGGGGGGGGGGGGGGGGGGGTCTTCAGTGGGGCCATTCAGCGGCTGCCAAGGACACCTGCCACCAGTTAGATGGCCTGGGGCCCATACTCAGCCCCCGCCCCAACTCCAGCGTCCCGTTAGTCCGCAGCCTGGGAGGCCGCCATGAGGGCTGCCAAGTAGGGTCTGTCACCATGTGGGTTCGGGATCCAGCTCCTGGCTCGTTGGGCACCTGGGTTCCTCCGGGGAACCAGCAGACAAGGCTTCTCTCTCTTGTTTTAAAAACAAAAAAAAGTATGCTGCAGTAAGGATGCACTCACCCTTCGCATTCATTATCGAGATCGAATGTGGCATACTGTATGTAGCCACAGGAGGAAAAGGCCACGGACATTCTGCTCGGGTTTTGAAATGTTTTTAAAAGCTTATTGCTTGAAATGTGAGACAGTGTCCATGCAAAACAGGACCGAGCTACGAAGGCTGGGAGAGGTGGGATGCCTTCTGAGGCCACAGCTGCTAGGTGGAGGGTGAGCCTGGTGGGTGCAGCAAAGGTCTCTCATGTTCCCCCACCGACCCCCAGACTTGCAGTGAGAGCCCGGAGGCAGGCCGGCCGCTGGAAGGGGAGCACCCCAGGAGCCTCATGTGTCCAGGCTGAGCAGAAAGCCGGCCTGTGCACCTCTACACTGCCAGAGCTCAAAGATTACTGCTGGCTCCTGCCCACTGGCCAGAAGTTTCCAGGGACACGCCTGCTTCCTGGTATGCAGCTTGCACCCTCGCTGGCTCCAAGGTATGTAACGGTGCTTACCCCACGCCCCAGCGGGGTTACTAGCCATGGCTGGGCAGGCCTGAGGGCCGTGGTCCATCAGGCAGGCCCCATCCGGACAGACTGGCCGGCTGTGGCGAGTGTCTACGCTTTCAAACACTGGCCCAAGCCGCAGAAGTGGGCCTTGTGGTTCTGCTGCGGGGGCTCCCGAGGAGCAAGGAGCTGTCCCCCCATCCCACGCTCAGGTAGGCTCCACTCTCTCCAGAAGAGCAGATCCCAGCTTGGACGGCAGGAGCCACCATGGCTGACATGTGGGCACAGGGGTGCAGGGAGGCGGGCACAGAGCATGCAACCTGCAGGAGCCAGTAGGCGGAGACGCGGTGGGGCTTGCCTGAGGACACAGCGCCTGACCCAGCATGCTGCTGTGGTCAGGTTCGGCTTACAGGCCTCCAACCCGCGGGCCCAGCCCCTGGTGCGCATGGGACCCACTCTGGGTAAACAAATGCCAAGTGTGGCCTGGCAGCATGTGACTCTTTGCCAGCATTGTGTGTATATATTTACGTGTTACATGTGCATGGGTGCAAGTGTGTGTGTGTGTGTGTGTGCGTGTTGTTGTGGGGTACAAGCGACAGCACGCCAGACAGGTCTCGGATGTACTGGGGAGCCTTTATTAACCAAGCCTGGTGATAACAGGGCCCACTAGAAATAGCAAATCACAAGTCCATATAATCGAAATCCCCAGAGTACCAAATGCTCATTACCCTGAAGTCAGTCCGTTAAACTGAGGCCCTGGATCCCAGCTTCCCCAGCAACGTAAGTTATCCTCTCACACACACAGTGAACGTATTGGGCACACTACAAAGCTGCAGACACTCACCTTTCCCTGGCTTCTCTGCCCACATTCCATCACTGCTAGGCCTCACCTCTCCTGGAACTCCTGATACACACATTAGAAATACAAAGCATCTTAGCATTGCTGTCTTCACTGTCCCGCCTGAGCAGCGAACAGAGGGTGAGGGCTACAGACACACAGGGGCCATGCTCAGGGCTGCCTGTCCTCGAGTCTGTCCGCGGGAAGCCAGAGAGCAGGCAGGTCCTGGGGAGGCCAAGGGCCGGAGTGCCAGAGCGACGGAAGCTTGTGGCCAAGAGAGCGAGCCCCTCTCATCGTGGGCCTTTACGGGGTGGGGGGCTTGCAAGGGGAGTGGTTACCCAACTATGCAACGCCTTTCAGGTTCCAGGTGATGATAGGTGAGCATCCCAGGCTGGCAGGAGGGAACACCCTAGGTGGTGGTGGGAGGTCGCTTCTAAGTGTGACCCTGAAACTAGCTGCCTACCCTACCACAGTGTGTGTCCACAGGTGCATCTAAACAGTGTCAGGCTCCCAGTGCTGAGAACGAGGCAGTGCGCCCCAGTTCCCTCTGCCCCAGGGTCGGCCCCCAGGTCCCTCTGCCCCAGGGTCGGCCCCCAGGTCCCTGCTGCCCCAGGGTCGGCCCCCAGGTCCCTCTGCCCCAGGGTCGGCCCCCAGGTCCCTCTGCCCCAGGGTCGGCCCCCAGGTCCCTCTGCCCCAGGGTCGGCCCCCAGGTCCCTGCTGCCCCAGGGTCGGCCCCCAGGTCCCTGCTGCCCCGGGCTCCCATTCCCAAAGCAGCAGGACCGCTACCTGGAGCTCAGGCAAGTGCCCTGGCCAAAGTGTCTCCCCACGCGAGCTTTACTGCCACACAAGCAGAGAGGGGCTCAAGCAGTGCAGTGCTGAGGCGTGCCCTCTGGCAGAGCATCTCCTCGTGGCCTTCAGGTCCTCTTCCTCTGGGGGACTGCCTGGCCCTGAGAGAGGACACTTGGGGTTAAGCCACCCGGCAGGGACCAGAACTCCACGTGGAGGCAAAGGGCGCTCCGCCTGAGAAAGCAGCCCGCGATGATAAAATGCTAAATCGTTTCCTCTACATCTGACAAGGTCCAGGAACTTGGACTCAGGGCAAACAACAAAGACTGTGGCTTTTCCCTTCGCTCTTTCATCTTTCCAGGCTGCACGCACTGCCCGCTCCCGCCGTGCAGCTGACCTTTCTTACAGCTCTTTGATCCAGATGTGACCTTTAAGAAGTCCAAGGATTTAATCACCACTTCCCCAGATGAGCTGGGTCTTTGTCAGGTCGGTCTCAGGCCCAGGACAAGCTCCCTGAGGGATGAGGAGCACGCACCCAGAGGCCTGGCCCCTCGGCAGGTGGCTTCCAACCCAGTCTGCACCTGTCCTTCTCCCCTGCCCTCCTCCACGCACCTGCTAATAGAACCCCTGGCACCACCCAGTCCCCACCACCCCGGGGCACTCCGCAGCCCCCTCGGCCTCGGGGCACTTGCTGGCCGGCCCTGAGGTTGCAGGCGTGGACGCTGCTTCCTTCTGGAAGCTTCCCAGGCTGCTGTTTTCCCGATCCTGGCTATCACATATTTCCTACTACTGTTTTTCTAGCCTAGTTAGTCTAGAAGACATTCATGGGGGTGGGGGAATACCACAGTGGGCAGGAAGCTTTGGCTCCAGTTCCAAACAAGAGAAGAAAAACAGGGGCCGAAAGGAAAGAGAGGATCAAACGGAAGACCCAGACACTGAGCCGTACGATTCTGCTCGGCAAGTCATTTCCAGGGGCTGTCAGCGGCCATGGGGAGGAGACCCCTCTGCCATACTCACCTCCTGGGGTTCACAGCTTGTGCCCAGGATCCGGGAGCCGGCCAGGTAGGGAACAGGGCCCCCTCCACTGCTTTCCCAGGTGCGTTAGCAGGGAGTAGGATCGGAAGTGGGACAGCCAGGACTTGAGCCGGCACCCTCATGGGATGAGGGATAGTGTGCTTGCCTGGCCAAGCTGCAGTGCTGGCCCCAAAGGCAGGGCTTCTTCTGCTGGTTTAGGGCCTACCGGCATACCGCTGTATCCTCCAGGACGCCCGCTTCACCTGGGCATCCTTCACCGCCACCTCTGTAGGATGTCTCCTACAAGAGGCCATGTTGACACAAGTGTCACCGTGCCAAGACCACCATGCAGAACCTGAGGAAGCCGCTGTGGAAGGCACTGAGTTGCCATCTGCCGCATGGGTCCTGATGCTGAGCTCGCCTGACAGTCCCGGGCCCCATGTTGCCCACAGGCTCCTAGCAACCAGTACCTTCCCCATGGAGGTCTCTGGTTTTCTGGGATGCCAGGCACACTCTACCCAAATTGCCTCTATGGTTGATGCTGGTGGGGCAACTG